AAAGTGTTCGGTATTCGTGTTCAGTGTTTTAGAATTAGTGATACTTATTACGTGTTTCAAAACAATCAAAATATAACTTCTTGTTTGTTTGTATGCAATGAGCACATCTTTGCTATAGAGAAATGATCGATAAATCTATTTATAAACTCACGGAGAGATAAAACAAAATGTTTATAGAAATGCTGCGCGGGAAATGATACTTAATGCAAGTTCAGGGTCAAATTGTTGCTTTTAATGGAAAAGCTTCTATGACAGTTAATTGAATTCATGGCCAAATTTTCTGTCCCTTTTCGGGTATGTCAAGTTAATGTTGTGAGTTGCATAACAAAGTTAGAATCAAGTTTTCTCAATGAGATGCATGGGGAAGGTTAGAAGATTACTTTTATGGAGTTTTAATTATAATTAATGCGAAAACATGCTTCATATAGATAAACATTTTTCTTTTCCTTTCTTCTTTCCAATGTGTCACGTTGCCCTTTTATTGAGGACCTTTTATCGATTATTATCCAAGTCATTGAAGTCGAAAATCCCAAATCGGTTGTTCATTTTAATTTTTGTGGTGAACACTTAGTCATACTCGTTTGTCAATGAGGCAACATTCTGGTTTTCCATTCAATGAAAATAATTTCAACAAACAAATGACTTGGGTTGCTTGACAATTGACTAACGATGAGTCCGCTTATGTTGTTGTCATTTATAACTATGAATAAATTGGAAGCTTTTATGTGTACACAGCTTTAATAAAAGCTTTCATTGTTTGCTGTGTAAAATGTTCTGGGAAAATTATAAGCTTATTTAAATATAATTATGAAAATGAATAAACATATCAACACCACACATTTCATTTTATCATAACACAAAAATGATTTTAAGGGCATATGAAAATCACTTTGTCGGCATCAGCATTCCTCATTCGCACCTTTATTAATTTGTTGTCAATGTTTGCTTGCCGACTCATCATTTAATCATTCGTCGGTTTTGGTGAAAACTGAAAATTGCGCTTTTACGATGTTCAGATGAAGTTTTGCAATGGACAAGCTTTTAAGACTTAATGGTAATTGAAATTTATTGCTGAGAAATGCAATTATTTAATCGCAGCAAGTGAGTTAAATTTATAGAGAGAAAACTCAACAGCTAATGCGGAAAATTCATGGCTGAAGTTGAAATGTTTTTAAATTGGATTCAATCTTTACTCAATAACGTTTGAGGAAGTTTGTTTGCTGATAAAATGTTGCAAAATGTAATCCAATATAGCTGTAAATGACTTTCTTTACTTTATTCTGAAATTGGATGAGCTCTAAGTTTCCCTACTTAGTGTTTGAACTCAGTTTGATGGAAAAATTAATTCCTCAGCCAGTTGACATTGGGATTATCTGACAAAGAGATGGAAAAGTTTCTCGATAGATAATTGGATCAAATTGATGATTGTTTTCATATCAAAATCAACAATAAACATTGAAGCTGTAATTAAGACAATTGACATTTTTTGTTGCTTCAGAAACACTGCCAAAAACGAAATGATCTGAACACACAATTTAAGTTAAATTCAATTAAACTTTTTCTTGATATTTGACATGGTTGACAAATGATTACAAGCGTAGATTGTGAACTGAAAACAAAAAATTGATTTCAATCGAAAGCGGGGGAGGATTATCGTTGAGTGGAATCGAAGAGAATCAATAGGAGACATCGTGTCATCAAACACAAATTAATTTCATTTGCGAATGAAACGAACAAAAACAGTTTTCGCTTCGACTTTTTTTATGAAATATCAACAGAATATTGCAAAGCTTTTCCATGAGAACAAAGCAATGAACTTTTGATGAAAACTGATTAAAAATCGACAATCAACGATAGAAAATTGAATTTTTTTGAAAGCACTCAGAATGCAACGATGCAGATCAATTCAATTTTCCTCATTCCCTTTCACTAGTTTTTCCTCATTCAGATTCTTTAACGATGCTGTTCGCTTGTTGAAAGCTTTATTTCTTAAAACATTTTTCTCCTTCAAAGGAAGTATGCAGGGCTTGATGTGAAAATTGAATTAAAGTTTAAGATTTTCTTCTTCTTTTTCTCTCTCTTCCTAATGGCAAAAGGAAAAAATTATGTTTGACGTTTAATTTAATTTTCTCGCTTTATAACAGTCTGATAATGTTTTCTTATCTAAAAGTTATGATGAAAGAAGAAAATTGTGTGATAATTTCCGCAGTTTTTCATCAACTTTTATATGAGACTGGAAAATTTCAGTCATTGGACGCAATTGTTGAAAATTATCAGAAAATTCTATTCATAGAAACATTTGCAACATCATCAAAAATCTCTATTTGAAGTTAAAAGAAATTGAGTGAAGCTGTCGTTTCTTAAAGATAATCTTTTTATGTTATGTCGAGACTCAATTGAAAAGTTTTTTAAAAGAATAAATTAAGTTGAAAATGAACTCACTACGACAGAAAATGTGTAATAAAAAGCATAGCTGGAGATGTTTTGTTTCTCATCTCATTTTGGGTGAAAGAGATTTTCAAAGCGCCGGGAAGAAGAGCTGCTCGAGGGCGTGTGATAAGTCTCAACAACAGAAAATCCCATTAGAGTCATGATTTATTCAAAAAAACGAAACGAAACAAAAGAAGACAAAACAGAAAATATTCAAGAAGAATTCATTGAGTCGCGAAATTGAATTCTTCGCCAAACGATATATTTATTTCTGGAGATTCACTTCTCTTTGGATTTCTTAGCTGACGGTTTTCTTTTTGAAGAAAAGTTTCACTTCAGGGTATTTGGAAAATCCTCAAAAACGTTTCTTTCAAGAGATGACACAAAATACGAGTACGGAAACAATATTTGTTTATCCACAAAACATTTGCTCATGATTTTCATCATCATCATGAAATCTGTTCCCAAAAGAAAATGAAACGAAAGCAAATACAATCGGGTTCGTATTTGAATCTAAATGAATAAGAAATAATAAGAAGATGAAGAAAAATTAAATAAATATACAAGAAAATGTTTTTCATGCCTGTGAAGATCTGATCGGAAGAATTTTAGTGTAAATTACGCGTTTTCATCGATAAATAAATTAAATTCATTTTCTTCCGATCAAAAATTCAACTTTCAAGAACGTCGGTATCAAGTTATTGGTATGTGATTCACAAAAATCTTATTAGGCTTCCCATCGTCTCGTTATCACATGTGAACATTCACTTTTCTTTCTTTTTATTCTTCCTTTTCATTTCTTATCGGAAAAATTCGTATGTTGTGTAATAAATCAATACAAAGCGAGGATTCCTTGAGCTGCTTCACTCCTACCGTTTATAAGCGGCATTTACACACACACAAACTGTTCACACGACAAAAAAAATGAAATAAAACATTGTGAAAAGCGGGAAATGTGCGGGGGTGGGGGAGGGTAAAAAGAAATGAATATATCATCATCACATTAAATAATTTTTTTCTTTCATTTTATAAAACGTGGGACTTTATGTAGACGCGGAATAAAAAATAATTTTATGCTCTTGAGAATTTCTCATTTTTTTTCCTGGATTCAGCAACATCAACAACAATAATTTTAAGCTAATTGCCATTCATTGTTGTTTTTATCACGCGTCACGTACCGAGAAAAGATTATTGTTAATGTCATCTCAGCTGTCGCCTCAACTTTTTCAGTTTAATTAACGACAATTAAAATGTTTTTGGTTTTCACAACTCTGCGGTCTCATGTTTCAATACATTTTTAATTCCTGATAATTACGGTATGAATCACACACATTACAATTCCACCCATAAAAAAAAAGTCATAAAGAAATAATTTTCATTTAATTATTGAATCATTCGCAAGTGAGAAAAGGGATCGATTTGTAAGCAAACATTCAACACCGGCAGTAGCAAAAATATTTACTAAACATCAACTTCTTCACATCAAACTTTAAAATTATAATTTTAGATCGCATGTTTGCTTTCTACCTTGAAATGACAAATGCAAAGTGTAGAAAGATGTCGGGATGTGATTAAGAAATATTTTCAAGACTGTTTTACTTTTGGTTGTAAGAAAATAAAGAAAAATGTTTTGTCCACCGAATGAAACGCTTCAACAATTGACGGAAAAGACGAAACTACTCGCTCAGAAATGTACACAACAAAAACGTGTGAATGCGACGGATCAATTGAACACATCATCGTCGACATCATCATCATTAGACTTAAGCGGTCGTCAACAACAAGTGGCGACTTTTAAAAGTTACATTTCCGAAGTTGAGAGTGAAACAAATCCGGAAAAAATTGATTTGCCAAGCTCCCAACCGACACCTTTGAGTTACTTAACAGTAAATCTGGCGTCACTAAATCGAATATTCAAAAATCGATGTAGCTTTATTAATTCACCAACTTCTTATCATTGCAATACATTTCCAAGAAAAAGAGCAAAGAAAGCAACGGCAAAATGGTTCATCAAAGTAAGTTTCTAAGCTAACCAGTCTGTCGTCATTTCAATGGTCCAATTATTTATAATTGAATTCCACTGTCCAACAAATTGAATCGGGTTCATTCTCTCTTTTTCAAGTATAAGAAGACAAGACATTAGCTTCTCCTTTGTACTATTTACTTTGAATCCGACGACATAAGACAATGAGCCATTGCCATTATAAACAATGAATTTGAAATTATAATTTTTTTAAAAGTCATTTGAGTTTCACTTTGATACAAGCAGTTCTTGGTTGTCACTGAGAAGGTTGAATGATGCATGTGTTGAGCTAATTATTGGATTGATGTGCTTTTGTTGATTTTAATCTTGTAACTAATTACTTTAGGGGAAAGAACTTCCTTTGATGTGTTAAATAATGAGAAAAAGAGAACCTATTTGAATCTTAATCTTTTTCAGACAAGAAAGTTTCCTTTTTATATTCTACAAAATGTTACTTTATTCAAAAGCTTCAAGAGTTCAGTAAAATTTTAGTTATTTTAATCCATAGTGCTCAGAATTCTTGCTACAATGTTCACTGAAGTTTCATGGTGAAGCAAATTTAACATATGTAAGTTTCAAGTTAAATTTATGAGAGCAGTAAGAACATCACATAAGCACACACAAGAATAAATATTAGCTTGATTCATGATCAATTTAGTAGAGCTACGACCCTTGCTATTGTTTGCGTTCGAAAAATTCTCATCTAGACTGAGTCATGCATAAGACAAAAAAAGAAAAACTCACTTCATTGTTACATTTAAATGGATATGGAAGACAACAACAGAGTAGTTGAATAAAAGTGTACACAACAACTTCATTGTATGTATTTGTCTTCGACTTAAGATACGCTATATGGAAACCTAATGGGTTAAAAGAAAATTTCTTTAGCCAAGCGTAAAGCAATTACCTAACAAATAAGAGCGAATCTTGCTTTATTTTATATTCTTTCGTGATTTGAATGTTGAGACACGATATGATGTACATGAACGTTTGCAATTTTACGGATATGAAAATTCAATTAGTCGTCAAAAGTTTTAAATATTAAATTTGAATTTCCTATCTAATCGAAGTTGTTCGTTTATCTTCTTATTTTTTATACTCAAATTCTTTCATCACAAAAACAACGTAAACATTGCTACCAGCAGCCCACATGGCGACTTTGGGGTGAAGAACGCGACAAAGACGCCATTTATACTGTTTACTTAAAGAAGGTGCGATATCATCGACCAACGCCAAGTTACACAAATACTGTAAGAATTCTTAAACATTGAGTAATATTATAAGAGAATAAAAAAACGAATTCCCATCATGTCTTTTCGAAGCAGAATGACAGCGATGATGAAATATCACATCTGGAGTGGGAAACTGTAAGAGTACGTTTTGTGAAAGCAGCAACATTGGATCGCTTAGTGGACGCCTTGGTGACTGACGATGGAGAACTTGAAAGCACTTTCGTTAATGTTTTTCTCGGTGAGTGTTCTCTTTTTTAATTTTTTATGCAAAATGAGATCGCAGCTAATCTTCATCATGAAATAAATTTTCTTCTAATTTCTTTTTTTGTTCTTTCACTCACAGCAACATATCGAACATTCACAAAGACGGAAAAAGTTTTGGAACTTCTGCTACAAAAGTTTGAGAATCTTAGGAACTCTGAACAATACAAAAAGACGCTCATATCAGTGCTACATCTCTGGTTAGATGGATATTCAGATGATTGGGATGGAGACAATCTTCAAACGCTTTTAACATTTACATCAAGTCGTTTGCCCAATTCAAAGTTACATATGAAAGCTTTAAATAAATTCACTGCTAGATTAGATAAATATTCGCGTGTGCCACCACTTTCATGGAATGATCCAATGATGACTTCTTATCAGGATATGACAGATCATTTCAATGGAATGTGCTTATCACCAGCATTTCGTGGAACACCAAATTCACATCTCCTTTCCACATATCGCTTTCCTAACATTTCAGTGAAGCACTTTGCGGAACAATTGACACGAATGGACATGGAGTTGTTTAAACGTTTAATTCCACATCAATGCTTGGGGGAAACGTGGTCGCATCGTGATAAAATTGAGTGTGGAAGTGTCTTAGCAACTGTGCTACAGTTTAACGCTGTTTCTTATCGTGTTATTTCCACAATACTCATTGAACCAAAATTAAAGCCTCAGGTAAATATGAAAGAAAAGACAAGACAATATTTGTTCGAAATTGTGATTAATTGCGATGACGAAGTGTTTGCTTTTGCTTATAAACAATTTTCTACCATTTATAGGAACGTGCGCTTCTAATTTCAACATGGGTCGATATCGGCCAAGAACTTCGACTGTTGAAGAACTTTTCATCCCTCAAGGCAATCATTTCTGGGCTTCAGTCTAATTCAGTCTATCGATTAAGCAAAACGTGGGCGGCATTGTGCAAAGAAAAGGTGAGCGATTAGTTAAGAAAAGTTCATATCTAGGATAAAATATCCGGTTAGAATAAACGGCTGAAAGATGTCAACGAAAAAAGAAGAAGGGGGTTGTGAATAAATTTATTTTCATTAATTTTATTCCTCTGAAGAGCTTTGAAGTTATGCAGAAACTTTTACTTCAAAGCAATTTAATTACTTTATAAATTATTATAAAAAAAAGAATATTTAAAGGGATGTCTTGGGAGTTCGGTAGAAGAGTTTATGATTTGCTGACAATTTTGCAAGTTTTATTAAACAATTGAAAAGTTTATTTAATTTTAATTCAGTTGAGTAAGAATGTTCAACTTTCAATATTGAAAGAAAAGAAGTTTTAAAGCGTCACAAAGTTTTTAAACTTATAAGCTTGTTTTTTCTCATTTTTCATTTTCTCCTTTCATAGTTTGAGTTATTCAATGAATTGGCACGAATTTTCTCGGAAGAGAATAATGCATCAGCGCAAAGAGCTGTTTTGTGGCGTGAGGGAACAGCAAAGGTAGAATGAAATAAATAAACTAAAATGGTTGAGTTTTATTTATTCATGTTCTTTTATTACTTTTAAAGTTTGCCGATACTGTTGGTGAGAACGACCGACATTTACAAAAAGTCTTTCAGAAGCAAAATACTTTCATCAGTCATGGAACAATTCCGTACTTGGGGACGTTTTTAACTGATTTGACAATGATTCATGCTGCCATTCCCGACAAAACTTCTGACAATTTAATTAACTTTGATAAAAAGCGAAAAGAATTTGAAGTGTTAGCGCAAATTAAACTTTTACAAGGTGCTGCAAATTCTTATCATCTCCCTGAGGATCTATTGTTTGACCGTTGGTTCGCGTCCCTTCTAGTTCTTGATGAGAAAGAAGCACACAACATCTCATGTCAAATTGAAGCTCCACCTGCTAATCAAATTCATTTAAACCAGTTGTATGTAGAGACGAAGAAATCTGGTGGTCATCATAAAAGTGATTCAATCACGTCAAATTCCAGTAGCGGAGTTGGTTCACATTTCTTTTGTGACATCAATAATATAAGTTACAGGTGAGTTTCTTGCTTTGTTTCTCCTCTCTTCGAAGTTGCAACAATAAAATTTTATTCGTTTTAGTTCGAGAAATAATTCATTGGATCGAGGCATGACGCCACCACTGAATTCTTCTATTCTATCTGCAGCTAGTAGTGTGTCTTCCCTTTCCATGGAGTCAACCACATCGGGTAGTCAAAATCATAGTAACAGCAAGACACCGTCTAAAACCCCATCAAAATCATCCAATAACCATGAACTGCCACCACACATAAACGCCCAACTTCAACCCAATTCCCCACTGTTAAAAGCCAATGGCACCAACGTCGCTCCCGACTTCTACATCATTAAAGTAACATGTGAGAATGACAGTGCAGAAGTTGATGGCATTCTATATAAAAGTATCATGCTGTCGAATAATGAAAGAACACCGCAGGTAATTCGAAATGCGATGATGAAACTAGGACTTGAAGGCGATCCAGACAAGTTTACACTTTCACAAATTCTGCCAGATAAAGAATTGATGCTACCAACAAATGCAAATGTTTATTATGCAGTTAACACACAATTCAATCTGAATTTCATTCTACGACGGAAGAAAGATGTTTTAGTTATTTCCTAGATATAAAAGCAATTAAAATGTGAAAATGGTGCTTTGTAAATATGTAATAATTTTAATTATTTAAACAAGAGTTGTGATCGGATCGATGAATCTCCTTGTCGCAATAATAAATGTATGACAATATTTAATGATGATAAATTTATGTAGAATTTATCTAGAAGGATGTTTAATGCTTTATTATTCACTCCCACATATCAGCGAAATTTTAATCTCAACAATATCAGAAAAAAACATCGAAAATCAATTTTCCAGGATCAAATCACATTGAAAATATTGTTGGGATGTGTGGGCGTTGTATAATATTTGAAAGCAATACATCATGAAATTAAAGGAGGATTTTTTGTTGTATGATTAACAATGATAATTTATCAACTGACATGGAAAGCAAACACGTTTACTGTGAGTATTTATTCCGGGTATATGAAGCTCGAAGCGTGTTAACATTGATTGATGGTTGTCTAATCCAATAATATTAATCAAATCACAAAAAACAAGAAACCAAGAAAATGCCAAAACATTTAATGTTTTCCTATTTCTAGCGAATGAATTAATTGTAGAAAGCTTCCCATCGCCACGAACAATAAACTTATAACAAACGATGGGTTTAATGATGAAAAGAATAACGTCGAGAAGCTTTTTCGAGTCTTTTGAAAAATCTGCTGCCTTTGTCCATGTTTTTTATTTCATTCTCGACAAAAGCAAGGAAAAATCGTTGCACAAAAGAAGCTAAACACTTTCGGTTTCATCCTTTTGTGTGAGATAAAAAAGGGTCGAAAATATTTAATTTCCTCGCAATTTTTCAATTACAAAAATACCACAAAAGCTTACCAAGATGAAACTTAAAGAGAAGCAGGATAATTTATAATGTCTGCAAAACCTCAGAGTCAAATCTTTCACTTACACACTCTCAAAAATCGTTATTTTGTTATAACCTAGAGCTTAAGGTTTTACTTTTCTACATGTATGAGAATTTTAAGTTATGTAATAAAAAATTGAACCGAGCATTATATGGAAATTGTTTGTTAAAAATTTGTTTTGAATATCGTAAGGGGAGAGTTTCTAACCTTTGTAACATTGTCATAAACTGCCTGAATTATGTACAATAGAAACAAAAGCATTGAAGCATCTCACAATTATTTGAGTTGACATCAAAAATTAAGCACGCAGTCAAGTCGTAAAATCAATATTCCCAGCGTTACCCTCCAAAAATATTCGATTTTTTTTCACATATAATCGCATTTATTCGAGATTCGTCGTAAAATATTAAAAACACCACATACAAAACCAATAAATCCCAGTAAAATTTTCATCCTTCTAACTCTTGACTTGATGTTGTGCTTGCTCGAGTGTGTCATGAAACTTCTCTGCATCGATTGAACATTTTTGACATTTTTTCTCTTCTCTCCTCATCTTTGCTGTCTGTAAATTTCTTATGAAAACTTGACAGATTATCTTCTTTATTGAAAGTTAATAGATTTTTGCTTTTCAAGTTCCACACAAGTTGAATGGAAGCCAATAACATCAACAAGATGAATTTCATTACTTAAGAAACTTTTAAAAGATTTCATCTTGTGTATCAAATGTAGAAATTCTTTTGTCATTCAACATCAAAGGATTGTAAGAATGTAATAAAGAAAGTATTTATAAGCTTTAAATGTCATTCATTAAGAAGAAAGTTTAAAGCATCATTGTGAGAATTGTTTGTCATCTTTCACTTCAACATTAAATTCTTGGGAAGTTTGATCATGCTACTTGCAAAGTGACAACATGTTCTGCATTTTCTCGTAACATTTCTCACAATTTTCAAATTTACATTTTTCAAATGTTCGAAATCATTGGAAAATTTCGCTTTTCAGACATTTTTTTTCTTAACGAATCTTCACTTAACCCATTTCTGCATGTTATCAGATGAATGTTTTCTTCTTGAGGAGTTTAAATCTTTGTTTTCTCACATATCTTTCTACCATTGCATACCAGATTACCTTGCACGAATGTATAATGTTCTCAATTGCTCATGTTGCCAATTCATACGAAAAAATGAGCTTTTATTCTATTGATTTCATGATACATACATTTATCGATTTAAATGTTCGATTCGTTTAACAGACGGAAAAAAAGAAGACAGAAGAAAAACAAGATTCGTTCCATCGATTTAAAAATACTACATGGTTTGTGTTTTCTACAGATTTGGTTTTGAATAATGCATTTGAGATATTGTAACTTTTATGTTTTCTGAAAATTCTCTCGAACATTTTCATCGATGGCTTCCCAGTCAACAGAAAGCAACTTTCATGCATCTAACTTATGGCAAGTTATGTGTGTATGTGGGTGAGATAAAAAAATAGGTTACAACGTAATTTAGATAAAACCTTAATTAAATTACCAGAAGAAGCGCTAACCTTTCTCGTTTAAGCTCATCCGAACCCACAACCGACTTTAAACTATTCCCATCAAAATTTTTAACAAAATTTTCTTTGCACCGCTGAATCTTGATGTAATTCCAAAAAAATGTTATTTTAAATTTTCATGACATTGTTTTTATGCTGCTGCTATTCGCTATCAGAGATATCAGATTTTTAAAGTTTTGTAATGAAAGAAAAATAAGAAACTGAGAAAAAAGTTGGGATTTGCATTTGGGAAAAGGAATTTTCTTGAAATTTACGAGTTTTGTCCTAATTCCTCTGATACGGAGATAAAAAGCAGGAAATTATTTGGACCAGGAGTCTTGAAATTGAAACAAAGCAAAGCAGAGGCAAGCAAGTACATAATGAAGCAAAGATTCCTGTACATATGAACAGATATTTTGCAGACTTTAGCGTTGCATGCGAGGGAAGAAGGAAATTTATGAGACGTCCCTGTGGGATCCTCAATTTACGTTTTCATGTTCACTGAGTATGAGAAGCATGCACAACTTTAATTTGGAATGAAATTGCTTCAATATTCTGGCAGTTGTATATTATGAATGTTTCTTCCACACGACTTCTTCATCTTGCCTCGACGACGGAAGATTTCTTTGGCAAATTTATAACTCTCGTTGATTCCAATCATCCTTTGTATTACGCTGAAATCATCAGTAAGCAGACAGAGAGAGCTTATTATGTATGCTATACCTTATGTCTGCGACATATATCTAACTTATAACTTCCGCACACGCTCAAGCTTTCAACTGTCACAATTTTAAAGCTTTCTGGAAACAACATTTTCCCATTTGAACGTGAAATAGAAATAAGTTTACTTGAAATAGCAAAAGGAATATAAAATGGCAATTTTTCTACTCTTTATCTTTTGTTGACGGAGAATTTAAATAAATTCACGAAACCGAAGAGATTTTCTACTAATGAACGGAAATTCATCTTCAATGATACTTAAAAGTATTTTAATTAATACTTTCGCTCTTACCCTGATGTCAGTTTCGGTTTCTATCAACTGTAAGCTTATTTAATTTAAATTCTGAGTTTTCATTATTTAATGTTCATTAAAGATTATCAAGTAAAATAAATTGAGATAAATCTTTTCTACACATCTATTAAATTCAGCAAACTAAGAAAAAGCAGAGTAAAATTATTGCGGGATAAAAGTTTTGTGAATGATTTAAATCTAAATTTCAAGCTTTGTAGGAATTTCTTTTGAATTCTGTAAAGTAAAAATCTCTGTCGGAGATAGAAAAATAATTTCTCTGATTAAATATGAATGACTTTTATCATAAATCGGATTTTCCATTTTCTCTTCGAACTTTGAAGAATTAAATTCTCGATTTTGTTCCTTCACAACGTTAAATTACTTGGCGAGATGGACAAGGAAGCTTTGAACTTCACATTACATGTTTGCGGGTTTCTCTTCACTTTTGAAATGCGCTTGACTGTTTACTTTGCTATTAATTTCATATTCTTAATCATAGGAAAAACAAAACTAATTTGTATTTCCACTTAATTCTTCTCTTTTCACTTCCTTGTTAAGGACTGGAATGACTGCGGATGTTGAGAGACGCTTTCTAAGAACAGAGAATGAATACACGAAATAAATTCTTGTAGACTTCAGAGACAATTTTCCACGCTATGTCAGGAGAATAAATTCCAATTGAAAATTTTCAACCTTCAATTTTTCTTCTCTTAATTCCTTCCGCTGATGTTGAAGTGGAGGGTGAAGGAGAATATTTTTTACTTGTATCATTTAAGACTAAAAAAAATGCGGATGTCTCCTTCATGGTTCACTTCAAATTGCTTTCATTCTTTTTTTTCTCCTTGTTCATCTTGTCGCCATCAAAAAGCAGTTCAAAAGAAATTTCCATTTAGAATGATTCAGCACAAAAATATCTTTTTTTTACTCTTATTTTAAGGCAGGAGAGAAACATCGTTAGTCTGTAATTTCCTTGGAAAGTTTGTGATCTCTGGAAGTTACGTCTTACGGTCATCTGTCTTTCAAAACATGATTTTAATATTTAAATATTTTCTATTTACTAGCATGACATGCTTTAAGCAATACTCCCACGCGATCACACAAAAAATATCGACTCATTGTAAATCCTAGCTTTTCACCGAGTTTCAAACTCTAAAAACAAAACTCATCAAAGACTTCTTTTTTATTTCAATAAAATTACCATTGACAAGAAAGGAAAGTGGAGAAAAGCAATGAATAAAATCAATAGCCACCCTTAACACCCGACCTCATAATTAATCACTAGGAGAAAACAAATGGCTCAAGAATTGAGAAACATTTCGACATGAAAATTCCACATTCAGAAATGTTAGTTTCTTTTTCTTTAGTGACCTTCTTTTGGGGATTGTCATTTATTACCCCAACTGTATCCGAAATTGTTCCTTCATTTGGGTAATTTGGGCGAACAAAAACTGCCTCTTGCTTATCGAAAAGGCATCTTCTTAAAACGAATGGATCATGATAAGACGAAAGATTCCGGTCATATAAAAGAACAGCGACAAAATGCCTGTAAATTGTTCTGTTCTGTTTGAAACTGGGTATGGGCAAGAAATGTACGTTAAATGAGAAGGAAAAACAGAAGGAAACATTTAGAATCAAGCCTCTCCACCCTCAGGTAATTCTCGAGAAAAGCAATAAATTTCCATTTTTATCTCAATAAAAAACTGTCTCGCTATTAAGAATGTCGTACGTGCCTTAAGGCTAATTGTTTTAAAAGGAAAATTTATTTGATTTTATTGCTAGTTGAGCAAGTTCAAGGAATCCGAAAATCTCTAAAAGATAAAGGGGGAGAAAATGGAAAGAATTTGAAAAATTCAATTTCACAAAATTTCATTTGTGAACTTTCTTTCTGTTTTATGTTTTCTTAACTTCAGAGTGAACTCAGTAAAGCTTTGAAATACGATGATGTTCGCTTTCGTTAGAATCATCAACGATTGAAGCTTGAAGAAGGTTGACAAACAATTGCGAATAAAGTTCTTTGAATCTTCGTTTTTGACATGTTTCAGATTTTACGCTGGTTAGACATTTCAATCTTGATAAACTTGTTACAAAATTGAAACATTTTTGTTCCTTTCGAATTCTATTTTCCTTTACCTTCATCTGGTATACAAAGCACAGAGGGATCATGAGAAAGCACGGTAAATTGTTTAAAGTTTTTTTTTTCATTTCATTTCAGTAAATTGAGTTCACTACTTTTTCATATTTGTCTGTTATGGCATTTAACTAAAACTTTTCCGTATGCTTTTGTAGAGCTTCATGCCGATGTAATGTATGAAGCTCTCGTTTCCTCTCAGGTTTCGACTCTTGAATTTAAATGTAATTTTATATTTTTAAAGAGCTTCCCTTTATACTCGTAATGGATTTAATTAAAAGTTGAAAATAAATAAAAATATTTAAAACATTCATCAGACGTTAGATGTGAAACTTTCACAAATATTTTATCCTAAGCATTTTAAAAATGGTTTTATTTTTATCAACTCTGGGTTGGGAAATTTATTTCCATAGAAAAATGTGAAAAGGTTTTATTAACTCAACTACATGTTTATCCTCTAAATCCTTTAGCACACAAATGGATCATAGTGAAAGTTTTTTATGTCGAATGCAATGGTCATGTGAAACACTCGGTGAATTACAAGACTAAGCGCTTGTAAATTAGTTTTTCCCTCCCAATGGCATTTCGTCAAAGCCACTGAATGAAAAATGAAGTTCTTTCACAATGCTTCTACTTACGCTCGTATTTCATGCCAAGTTTCATATGAAGTAAAAAGTTCTTGCCATATGTCATCAACATCTTTGAACCTCATAAAGCATTTATTTTATTTTTTTGTGTGTGTATCAAAGTGTTTTGATAAAAAGAGAAAAGGAATATTACACAAGATTCAATTTCATAAAAGAACAACAATTTTACAAGTTAAAGATTTGAATAAAAGACGAGATAAATGTGAAACGTTCAATTTCTGTTTCCCTTTTTTCTCCCCCTGTTGTCACTTTTTTTCTTCGATATGTATTTTTGTTCTTTCCATTCAAATTGCTATCAAAATAAATCACTTTTTACTTCATTCTGTGATTCCATGCTTTCCCACTTTTGATGAACCTCATCATTCTTGCCAAGTATTTTTTTGTTCCTTTCTTTTATTTTCGCTACCATTTCACTGTTACGCTTTAAGGCTTTGAAATCATTTACATTTAATGTTTATTTTTGCTGAAGAAACGAAAGGAAAAATACTTTTTTCTCCTTGCTCTTGATTTATGTTCTCTTGAAAGGTATGATTTTTATTTCCATGGGTTTCTCTCTCCTTCTCTCTCACACAGAAGTTACAGGAGGGGGGAGGATGGAAACAGAATTCATTTTTTTATTCCTTCTTTGCAGAGGCTTTCGGTATTTGCAAAAGAGAAGAACGAAAGACATAAATTATGAATTTCATGTTAAATATTGAGATATTTTTCATCATAATGTTGAGCTGTGGAAAGCAATTGAATTACAACACTAGTCCTTTTGCACAAACCATATTTTATATTTTACAAAGCATATCCGCCAGAGTTTCCATTTCGAACGAATTTCAAATGGTTTTCTCGGTTCTTTCGTTTTCCATTCCGACCCCCTTAGATGGCAAAGTGTTCTCTTTACACCATTCGTTGGTTGGTAATGGCACGAAACGGAAAATGTTTATTCGCGTCGTGTGGAGGGCGACTGAACAGTTTCATTAAGTATTTTTTCCCACTCACTCACTTTCTCTCTCCTTTCTTCTTCCTCCTTTCCTTGTTACCAAAGGAATAATAATTCTCCTCACCCACGCTTTCAGCTTCGCTCAACTGAAAAGGCAGAATTTTTTTAATCAAAGGTAATGTTTGTGGGATAAAATTGAAAACGAAAAATAACAGAGAAATGAAGTTTAATAATTGAGATTTCAATTGGGAACAACCTAGTTATGACATCTTTATGTTCAACATAAAAATAAAATGAAAGTTGTGTCTTTTGAAATGAACAAAGATTCAATTAGATGACTTTAAGGATTAACTTTAATTGAATGAGATGATACAGGAGGCGTCATGAAGAAGAAATAAAGAATAAATAGACAAACACATTTAGTGTTTATATTTTGCATACACAGTTTAAAACTTTTCCATTTGTTCTTCTGTCTTTTTAAAACAGATTTGCATAAATTAGTGAGAGATGTTCATACATATTATGAACGCAAAACTTCATGACATAAATCTTGATTGTTTCATTAAACATTTTTACTTTATTTAAAGCACAAATAACGCCAACAGGGAGAAAGATTATTAAGGCATATGTTCAAAAAAATGTTTTCTTTCTTCTCATTCTTGGTTAACGTCGACGAAGAAAAAGGAAAAACTGAACATTCGTATTTAAATTTAGAAATTTTCAGGAAAAGTTTTGAGATCTGTCAAAAAAACAATGAAACATAAACTTAGCATAAATAAAAGTTTCCAACTTTATTTCCATAAATTCAGAAGACAACAGAAAGTAAATACTCAAGTTTTATCCTTAGAAATTGTTTTTTGTTTCTATAATAACATCGCTTTACATATTATTAATCTCATTATTACAATCCACCCCAAAAAAGAAATCTTTTTGGTACAAGATACAGTTTTCAACGTTCCATCTTCCTTTCTCTACTTCCAACCACTTGAAGCTCAAAAAGCAGACACAGCAATAATTGAAAACTTTATCTCATACATCATTCATTAAATTCTAAAAGCTTACATCATTATAATCACGACAAATGAAAATTTTGCTAGCTCATTTATGCGCATAATTATGTTTCATAATACACAGTTTAGAAATGGAGACTAAATGAATATTTTCATGTGGAAATTCCAAACTCAATGTATGAATTTTGTACGAACAATATCAACATTTGAATATTATTTCTCATCTTTTGATGAATTTTGTTTATTATCGGTGAGTTCATTGAAGTTTGATTCCTCGACATTTCGGAAACGTTTCAGTTTTCTTGCTCGTGAATTTCGGTTTGGTGACTTTACCAAGGAATTTGAGAAAATGTCAACACCAGCTTGAGCCAAAACTTGCCGAAAGCTGTCGCTCGATGAATAATTTTCAGTTGAATCGAGTCCTCGACTATTACGTTGTGATTGATTACATTGAGCACAAGGATAAGGCACTTGCAAATATTGACCGGAAAGTTGATTTGAATGATTGCTGGGTGAACAATGAGGCACAAACAAAACCGGAATGAAACCTATAGCGTATTGTACTTGGGATTGCCATTGATTATTTTGTTCCATATGCTGTTGCCATTGCATTTGTTGTTGATTTTGAGAAGAATAATTTCCTTTTGGTTCAGCAAAGTAACATGGACAAGTTGGAGCGAAAGGAAAAGGAAATGGAATAATGAAGAATGGCGGCTGATTTCCCGGAACATATAAATTTGGATTTGGCGTTGTTGGGCGTGTTGATGGTGGTTGAACACCAAGATTACCTGAACCCGAACCCGTTGGATTTGGTGTGCTCATTGGTCGTGTTGGATAAGTTTGTTTCGGTCGTTCTGTTGTATATTCGGTACTTGAAGGCGGCACATATGATGGATAATTACTTGGAGAAGTTTGAGGGTATTGAGTTTGGGTTGTTGGTCGAGAAGATGATGGGCGCGGTGAAAAAACTGTCGTCTTTCTTGTTGTAGGACGAGTAAAAGTTGGACGAGATGTAGTTGAATGTTGATGATCAGGATTATTACAGTTGTTGTTCTGGTGAGAATTCTCAGAATTGTCTCCATTGCCACCTTGATTGAAATAAAAATTATTAACTTTAAAATACATTTGTAATTTATTAATCATACCGTTACCACCGGAAGGTCCATAACCACCTACAAATTAAATTATAAGTTAATAATAAATAATTTTATAATAATTATAAAATTTAACCTGATGGTCCATTTGGTCCATTTGGTCCATCTGGCCCATCTGGGCCATTTGGTCCTTGACCTCCATCAGGTCCGTAACCTCCTGAAAATATAATTTAGTTAAAAAATGACAATTAAATGAAAAAAATTGTTTACCACTCGGTCCGTAACCACCTCCATTACCTTGACCTCCAGAACCTCCTATAAAACATAAAACGTTTCATAAATTTTCATTGTTTTAACAAATATCTAATTGGAAAGCATAAATCCAAAAATTAATGTTATGATTTTGTATGCATTTAATGATTGATTTTTTAGTCGATACCTGATGGACCCTGAACATGTTCGTAAGGTGGAGAGTCTGGACCGTTTTCACCGGGTTGGTGGACATAACTTCCACTGTTATCAGGAACATATTGTCCGCTGTTGTCAGGTTTATATTGTCCTTGTTGACCCCAAGAACCACCTGACTGATGAGATCCAGAAGTTTGTCCATGATGACCTGTGTGAACGAAGGAACCTCCATGTTGATAGCTTCCACCATTTTCATGAGATGAACCTTGATGCTGACTATTAATTTGTCCAGAAGTTGTTCCGTGATGACCAGTGTGAGTAAATGATCCACCATGTTGATGACTTCCACCATAGTTATGGTTTGAACCTTGATTTGGGTTACCTGATGACGAACTTCCTTGATGCTGACTACTTATCTGCCCAGAAGTTTGTCCATGATGACCTGAATGAGTAAATGTTCCACCATGTTGATGATTTCCACCATAGTTATGGTTTGAACCTTGATTTGGGTTACCTGATGACGAACTTCCTTGATGCTGACTATTTATATGACCAGAAGTTTGCCCATGATGACCAGGGTGGCTGAATGATCCACCATGTTGATGACTTCCACCATAGTTATGGTTTGGGTTACCTGATGACGAACTTCCTTGATGCTGACTATTTATCTCTCCAGAAGTTGTTCCATGATGACCTGTATGAGTAAATGATCCACCATGTTGATGACTTCCTTCAATTCCATGGGAAGATCCTTGGTTTTGATTTCCTTGGCCTTGATTTTGATTTCCTTGACCTTGATTTTGATTGTCTTGGCCTTGATTTTGATTTCCTTGACCTTGATTATCTTGGCCTTGATTTTGATTTCCTTGACCTTGATTTTGACCTCCATAAGACCCTGAAGTTTGATGGCCTCCAGAAAGTTGACCATGCGGTTTGTTAATAATGAAACTTCCTCCATGTTGGAAATCACCCCCAGACGATTCTTGTCCTGACTCAGGTTTAGGATAAGAGTAGCCACTGTTACTGGGCTTCCCATTCTGATCAGTTCCTTTATTATGATCCCATGTTGCACTTCCATGATGACCTGCAATGATCTGACCTAACGGCCCAGAAATTGAGAATGTCCCTACATGTTGTGCAGCTGCATGTGATCCATGTGCAGACTCTCCTTGATTCTGTGGATTCCCATGTGAAGAACCTGTTTGGAATGAACTTGATGATTCTGAATTTGGATGAGATGATGATGATGATGATTGTTGTTGATGTGAAGAAGAATAAGATGATTTTTGTGATAAAGGTAATTGTGATGACAATAATGGTATATTTGATCCACCAAATTGTGGATCAGATCTTTGCAAATCAATTGGCAAACTACCTTGGCCTTCACCATTTCCATATCGGCCATCAACTGATGTGTCAGAACCTTCTTGATTATATTTAGGATTTCTAAAGTCAACATTATCAGGTGATGAAGATAATGAATTCGAAGCAGATTCTGTGTTTGTTGTTTTATCATTTGAAGGTAAATTTTTAATTGAATTCACGTCAACACCAGGTTCAGGTAAATTGGGCAATCCTTTAAGTCCCGCTTGCTGTTTGAAGTTATCTGAAATCACTTCAAGATCAGATGATCGACATTCGTTGGGCATTTTAAGATCCTTCCAATCTGTAAATTTTCCTTGTTTGATTACAAAATTCTCAGATTCATCTGGCGTTAATATTCTGTGGAATAAAAATTAAATAAATTAAAAGATGTTGAGTTGAAAATGTGTCAATAAGTTGTACTTTAAACCAGACGACTTTGGATAGATTCTCGTTGGTTTGTTTGATTGAACAACACGATAACCATGATCATCGGCAACATAGTGAGTTACAAGCAGCTTTTCCTCGGTATTAACATATCCGAAGCATCCAACTGTGACGCCATCACTGCTTATTTCATGGTGAAATTGTCGATTTGGTCCGAGTTCATATCCATAGTTGTAAGAGCCTGAAAATTAATTAATAATAAAACAAATATAATTGAAACGAGTTGTGTTGGAAGTAAGAGAGAATGTTGAAAATTGATAAACGAGTATTTTCCATTAACGAGATGAGATAAAAAATGTAAGTTAATTAAAGGAAGAGAGTGGAAGTGACATGAAAACTATTTTTTATGTTATCGACCAATTTCTATTTGAAATTCACAATATAAATAACGTTCCATATTTTTCTCTTTATACTTCTAATGCTTGGTGACAACACAAAGAATTTCGTAATCAATTTAAAGATTTTCCAGAGAAAAAGCCTTCTTTCGTTAACAAGCTTGCTACGAAGCTTAACAGGCTTATGTTAGATTAATACTGTGAAATGTACTTACTCGTGTTGAAATTCGCCTCATGGTACTGCGTCTTATCAGCATCGTCAATCGACACGATTATATCTTTGTTCAAAGCACTCGTAATTGACAAATAAAAAAATAACTGCAAAAATTATGCGATGATACGCAATTAGTTTTTGTTTCCTTTCATTGTCTATAATTATGTCGACGATAAATTTAAGTTGCTTATGGCAGAAGTTTTTCCTTTTTTTCCACTTGAGGGTAACAAATAAAACTTTATCATCAACCGTTCTCGTCATGATCCGAGTGAGTTTTAATAAATTTAAATCCGTAAAGTTTTATGCTTATCTGGTTTTAAAAACATTCATTATGAAGTAACATTTTGTGATCATTTAACACATGTTTCATCTTTTTGTAAGTAAAGTGAGCGGAATTGCTATCCATACAAGTAAATAAAGCATCGATGTACTTGACTTTGTTGTTCTCTTCATGGCATTCGAATACCTGAATTGTATTATCTTATGGGGCTTGGTTGAATTCCTTAAAGAAAACTCAAGCAAGTCATTGATCTCTTAAGGTAAAGGGAAAGTGAATTAACTCGTTTATGGAACGATTGTGCAGACCATAATTATAACGACCTTGCCGTCTGCAATCCATCTTTAACGACCTAGAAAGTTGCGTCTTTTAAAAGGCAAACTCGAAGAGGTAAAGAATTAAATCAATGTCAATCGATATCTTCGATTGAAGAAAAAGAAGTTTGAATGAAATTGCTTCACATTTGTTAAGTCTTGAGCAAATATTTTACATCCCGATTATATGACGATGGCATTTACGTGGAAGATATTTGTTTTCATTTCTATTGTAAGACATATTAGAAGGCATCAGAAACACCCACATATGGATCTTACTCTCGCTTTCATACCTCCGTTCATTTTTTTTCTCGTGAATTATTTTTTTTTCTTCATCTTTGCCAGAGTTTCAGCATGAGACTATTTAGAAGCTGTAATTATGAAATCAATAATTGTTACTCTTGTCATTCATAAATTAAATATTTCTTTCATGTAAGTAAGATACATATTGAGAGTGTAAAGACGAACATACTCTTAACTACTTAACTTAGATTTACTAAGGTCAAATGATTCACAGTAATTTGTGTTGTGAGTACCTACGACTGAAACATTTGAAAGGTGTAAATGAAATATTGTTTCTTTTTAAATCCGGGTGGCATTTGTGAAACGCATCAGCAGAAGCATATCCACCTCTTCAAAACTACATTAAATGGAATGATGAAGATGATTATTTATTAAGCATAAAATAAAAAGTTATATAATTAATTTATCGAAGTTTTATTTCAATGAAGAAGACTCGATAGAAAGCAAATATTTATGAACTTCTTCCCTGTTATAAAAACGAATTTTATGTATGTTGAAAGTTTAATTTCGGTTGCTTCTTTCATGTCGACTCGTTTTATTCACGCACGACGACAGACAATCAATAAATCTTTTCTTAAGACTAAAAGAGCTTCGTTTAACTCAAACACACGAGACCTTGAAGTGATTTGTGAATTAATAGTCATAGAAAAGTCCACTAAACTAATGATGATTTCTTCAGGCGAGATTTTTTTGTGCTGATATGAATTTAGGTCAGTAAAGAAGAAAAAGAATTGGCAGGTTTTTTGACCCAAAGTTATTCATCAAGTTGAGTGATGGACAATTGACATTTATGAAATGTTTATGTCTATAATATGAACAGTAAAAGTGCGTAACTTGCAGCGAGATTAAAATGATTTTATGTTTTTATATTTAGTAATAACTTTTGGAATAACAAAATATTCAGAGCATATGATTTTTGAAGTAATCTAAAATGTTGATCGCTTTTGAATTTTTAGTTCTAGAATCTTTCCGGTTCAACATGATATTCAACTATTAGCACGTAAGAATCTAAAGCAGCTTCGAAATATCAAGGAGAATTTATTTACATGCAGTGATGTTACGGAAATAGCATTTAAAAAAATATTTAACTATGCTGATTTCGCGAGTTGATAATCGGAACGAGCCCACGATTGATGCATACAAATTTTATAAGCACCATGACGTCTGTCAAGATATCTCACTTAATGCAAATAAATACACAAAACTCACCAAAAGAGTCACTCGAACGACGCTTTTCATTTTTGTTTTGAACGTGAATCTCTCAAACCTCGAAAAGTGAAATATTTTTATGTAATATTTGGTTAAAGCGCTCAGGTAAGTATCTCACACGTTTTTACGATCGATGTTTAGTAATTTATTTGATTGCCGTTGACACGAAATTTGAGAGCTTAATTAAACTGATGGCTTAATTAATCTATGTTTGCGTATTTGTTTCAAAATTTGTCTCTCATCACTTCACTTAAATTTTTTTTTAACTTTATTTTTGCTTAAATATTTCCATAAACAACTTCACTCAAAGCATCAATTTCCTTTAGAACACTAACGTGATGTCAACACCACGAATATTCTGATGCAACTAACCAAGAATCTACATCTCGAGCAGAACTTAAATGAAAATTTTTTGCATAAAGAATATAAAAGAAAGGAGAAGAAAAAAAAATTAATCCAATGAACTTCAAGTGATTCGAGTTGCAACCACCCAACTAACGTGAAGAATCAACTAACAATGCTGTGAGATGTTAGTTTGACTCACTTACCTTTCCAACACTGCCAAAATGACAATGAAGAACAGAGTGCTCCATTGATTGGGAGGCTTACTCATCTCTAATGTGTTTATGTATCTCTCGCACGACGTTGATCATGTTCACTATTTATTCGACGCTCTTACACACATATGATGTGAGAATTCAAACGAAAAAACAAATATAACTTTGACTCTCTCGTATGAATTTTGAATTCATGCATGCTACGAAAAAGGCTGCTGCTGTAAAGCTTTTGCACGCTCTCCGCGTGTCGCATGTGTGTATACATTTTTATTTATTCATTTGGTTGTCTCTCAATGACAATCTTACCACCACAAAATCATCATAAATATATCGTAATTTCATTACATGCTGAACGACTTTTCATTACGGGTCTCGAAACGGGACATTCTTCGTATCCTTCTTAACATTGTACAAATGGCAGAATTCTTCGTCTTCTGCCATTTCTTGAAGCGATAAAAGCAAACCACGCCAGCCAGAAATCTCACGAGATAGAAAGAAATGTTGAATGACAGATCACAGCAAGTCGGTCTTATTTATTAATCGTGTTCAAGCTAATCGCATGACTTCAACTGTTACATCTTAATGGATGAACTTTTATTCAATTTTTTATTCATTAGGCAGACTTAGATTTCAAATTGCTTCATAAATTCCAGAAAAGGATTAAAAAGTATCTGCGAGACTGACTTCTTCTGATGTTTTATCTACTTTGTTTGATCTTTGATATATGTTAGAGTAAATAGAATGTTGCCAATTGAATTTCATATTGCTTTGACATGGCACGTATGAGATGTGACAAAGAAGCGTGCAAAGGTGATCAATAACGACGTTTAAAGTCTACATTACCGTTGTTCTATTTCACCTGAAGTTGATTTTCAAGAAAAGCTAACAACGTTAAGTGAGAACATTTCCAAAAGTGAATACAACAAATTTTGATATCTTCAATAAAGAGATCCAAACCACTTGCGTTACAAGAAAATTTATTTCGGCTACCACATGCCATAGCACCAGAAACTTATTAATTCAGATTGTTTTCTGGTGAAATTTATCTTCTTTCTTTTAACGGATACGAGGAATTTATTGGCTGACCAGATGCAGTTGAAAACATGTTGAAATAATTTAATAACAAAATTTAATTCTTTATAAAAGTTTTCGAAGATGGTCAGCCATTGATGATAAAAATAAATCGAAAATAATCGAATTCGTGTACTTTGATAATAATTCAGCAATTTTTTTTCCTTCTCTCGTTAGCTCTACATACAAGTTGCGAGTTGTAATTTTGTATGCGTTTGATATCATTAGCCAGAAATATATTTTTCCTCTCTTGTTTTATGAGATTGAGCTCCTACATTTATTTATTTTGTTGCCTTACAAATTGTTTATAAAGGCACGGAAATATCTGTGAAATGAAGGACGACAAAATTCGTGATGCGAAAGAGTTTTATATTGAATTGATCATCAAAAATTGGCGCCTACGAAAATTTCGTTTATTCATTCTCTCAACAGAGTTTGAAATGAAATTAAACTGTCGATTGTGTTGACTTATTAATACAATTACTTTGTTTATTTGATAAATTCATCAATTTATTGAATTTCATTTTTTCGTCGCTGCTGGAATCATTTATAGAAGAGAAAAAGACAATTTTAGTCACAGCAAGAGTTTTGGAACTGGCTGCAATGCATTTCAGGATTTATCTCTTTGTGCTTAATTTTAATTAAACCGTTGCTGAAAATTTTTTCATCTGCAAAGTCTTTAAAATCCACAATTTCATTTCAACCACAAGAACCGTGATAATATTAGCCAAGTTGTTAACGGAATACTTTTACTAATTAGAATTATGCAAAGGCAGGAATTGTAGATGGAGAAAGATAGAAAAAAGAATTCAAAAACAATGAAACTGTGGACTTGTGCTTCGTAATCGTAATGGATAAGTTTAAAGTTTTAATTGGAATTATTTATCTGATAAACTGATGCACATAAATCTTTTTACTGCAAGTTGAATTACAACTTTTTCTAAGATAATGATGCGGAATAATCGTCTGCCTAAAACGACTTAGTCATGCCTAATTGGCATAAAATCTTTTGTTAGATGTTTTTTTATTTAAATGCAGTGCTAAATATAAAACAGAACCATTGCATTTGAATTCTTGATTCGATTAACACAATAGTAATGGAAGCAGACAGAGAACAAAGTGAATGGCAGTTGAATGAAATTATAAACACTAAAGTCGTTGATATAAATCTTTAAATTGTTCTTTTATTCATGTCGCTCGAGTATCGAATCTTCCGTATCGCAATTTTCATCCGTTACACAAAATTGTGCATCATTTAAAACATTTACGCATACAACCCTCAATTTATATCAAATTTCTGTGGTTAATTGTAGAATGAAATCAAGTATGGACAACAGAATGTTCGACAGTCAATATTTGTAATTTTATTAAGTTTCAATTGAAAAGAGAAATGAAATATTTGGCCTCGGGGAACATTCTGAACATTTATTCTGAAAAGCGACACAAATAATAAAGAAAAATAAGTGAGAAAACGAGTTGTAGATTACGTTTACAACACGTCATCATCATGCTTCTCAATCACGTTCAAAAAGTTTTCTCTCACTTGTTTCACTCGACATAATGAAGCGAATATTAAAATAATGCATTTTTTATGATCTGCTGTAGTCGCAGAATTTTTTTTTGTTCTGTTCTAATAGTTGTAGATGAATGCGATAGCTTTAGTCATTCAAATCATGATATTTTGGGGTTGCGGGGAACAAACTTCATAATCCATTAGAAATTCTATGTTGCAAAATGAATTTAAAGTTTCATTCCTTTAACTAAATAGCATCTTGATTCATGGAATGGAAACGAAACTCGTACTCGTAACAACTTTTCAACTTCTTCTTTCTTTTATCACAAAATGTATGAAACGTGAGGACTTTATGTTTAGAAAAGTTTTCAATCTTATTTGTCTTCATCCCGATAGAGATAACTTACACTTCAGCTTCTACAATTCTTCTTTCTAAAAAGACCTTTGAGACATTTGCAGATTGATAAATCGAAAGTTTATTATAGAATTTCATGTTCGGTAATGGAAGTTAAGAAACATTTTTATAATTTATTTTAATTGAAGAAATTTTTCTTTTTTATAACTGTTTACATCAGAAGATTCAATTCACACTTACGCGTTACATTGCACTGATGAAGGGCATAAAAGGAAAAGAAATTAGAGACGTAAGTTAGTTTATGGACAAGGAAGAAGATTTTGCAAACATTGACGATCCAGCAATGAGGTCATTTCATTTTAAAATTGCAAAGCAGCTATCGCAGTACCTATAAAGGTAATTTAAAGTGTGAAAGTTGATAACTTTAAAAAAGTTTTCTCATCCAAGTTAGTTACATTGACACTTGATAATAATTCAATAAGGTCAACAAACTTTCTTCTGCAAATATTAAATTTTCTCCGTTAAGTGATTAACTTTAAATTTATGTGTGAACCTTTCATACGATTTTATTTCTTACTTTATTTCCAAATTTCGCTGTTGTCGCTTATGAAAAAAAAAGAAAGAAAATAATTTATGATGTTATAACCCGAGTATGACAAGCGGCATTATGAATTTTTCAACCGGTAGCGGGGAATGCACAGCTTTTGCTGTATTGTTTAACATTCTTCGGAAATTTACGTTGGTCTGGTTGCAAAGTGCGAGACGAACTATGTACGTGTTGATAAAGCGAATGAAAGAAGGAGCGCCACATGAATTCAATTAATTGAATTTTCCACTCATTTACTTTATCCCATGAATAAATGACTGAATTCTAGAATATGTCACGAATATCAAGTGTCGTAATTGTGAGGTTTGCACACCGCAGCATCGTCTTGAATTTCTTCATTCTTTTCTTAAAATAAAGTTTACTGTCATTATCAAATATTAAGTTGATAACGGTTTATAATATCACTGGCCATTTGTTTTAATCATCCAATTATTTAACAAAACATTTAAAAAAAAATCTTTTCATGAAACATAAATGAAGTAAAATTAATGAGTAATTGATGACCGAGGCAATTCCTTATGAGAAACATACAAAAAGTTTTGCAACACCCGAAAAGTGACCAAATAAATCTTCAAACTTATCTCGACTTCGTATTTTCACACAACGACTTCTCTTGAAAGTTTTAGAATTGTTTTCATGCTTTTATCGTGTCTCTCATTTAATTTATGGTGAAAGTTTTACTGATATCAGCAATATAAGGCATAACATGAAGATAGCACATTTTAATAAATTACGAAAGATTTCTCGAATCGATTCATGAATTATGAGCATTTTGCTGTTGACGAAAGTTTCTTCGAAATGACAAATGTTGAAGAAAAGTTTTCACCAGCCGCTACAAATCTGAGACTCTCCCATCTAGACAATGTCACCTTGAAGGGATTTTGATGTTTTTCTTCACAGTGCTGACTTGTCACTTGTCATCAGTTTCACCCGGTATTAAGTAATTGGTTAACTTGTGAATATTAAATTTGTAACCTAATGTCTCTCATCGCTTGACGTTCCTTCCTCTCAGCGTCGAGGAAACTTTAAGACATCCTGAAATTAAATAAAATCTGTCAAGAGAAATTCTCAGGTGTTCATTTAAAGTTGAATCAATTTAATGTTTCTCCGTCTTTTTGGCACGAAGGAACAAATGGAATGAGAGGAAGAAAAGTTTTAATGAACACGATAGCGAAAAACTTTTTTTCCACAATTTTTTTTTGTTTCGCTTCATTTGTTCTTCTTTTTGGAGGGAATGAAAAAGTTTTTCATTTTACCTGATTGCAATTCGGTAAGACACAAAAACCTTTCAACTCAACGATTGATTGAATTTACTTTTACGTTGCAAAAAGAATAAAGAAAAACATTTTGAAGCGAGTTAACCGCGTGTAGTTTCTTAATTGACAATTCTTGTTCTCCGTTTCACTTCGCTTCACTCTTTAACTTTAAAGTAAAGAATAGACATAAGAGGTATGTAGGCTGAATAGATAAAGGTTTTGATTTTATCATCTATCACGTATTATTAGGGGTTGAATGTTTACACAAAAAAAAGTAAAACACAGAAGTCGGATATTAAATCATTTTCAGATGAACAGAACGTGACAAAAATTCATTCATAACTTTATATGATGATATGAGAGTCAATGTTTGAAAAGATAATATCAGCTTCGTGATTTTATATCGTTAATTATGATGCTAACATACACAATCAGATTACTATTAATAGAATTTTTTTCTGATCAAGTCATAAACAAAATTTCTTTTTTTTTTCTTGTTATTATGTTGGGAGGAAAGATGGTGAGGATAACATGCGTCAATAAAGGTCAGAAAAGAGATTACTTTTCATCTCAACTATACTATCCAACATGTATTTCCTACTTTTGATCGATCCTTATTCAATTATTTTATTATTCATGTTCACTGAAACGTAAATGGATCGAACCTATCAATCATGTTTGATGATTTGTCATCCGATTTTCTATTTTTTTCTTCCTTTTCTTTTCCTCTTTTTTAACGAAACATCGGAAAATATTTCAAGCGAATCACTTTGTTAAACTTGTCTGTCTTCTATAAGATGAATTGAATGATGTGAAATTTTCGGTTCTTCTTTTAATATATTAACATGAAGGAAAGTCGTCTTAGATGTTGTGATGTGGAATATGCTTGAGATGGAGGAAAGCACTTTTATCAGATAATAAAGCTCAATTATGCGCTAAAAGCTTCTCAAAAGAGAGTTTGATATGTAAGACATGAAATGAGCACTTAAGAGTTTCATGTAAACATCTTTCTGTCTTAAATGTGTATAAGGAAAGTAAACAATTTCTCTAAGCAACGTTAACAAGCTTCATTTTATTCTAACTTAAAATAAACTTGAATTATTACTTCGACTTTTTATTTTATTGATTTTAAATGAGATACGCTAAAACTAACATCTGCAACATTCACAGTTTTATTACAAATAAATAAATGCTGACAGATTGCAATGAAGTTGATAGATATCAAATGTTACTCTATATTAAGCAACTTTTCTGGATTAGACTTCGCTTCGTAGTTACTTCCACCATCTGGTAAATCAATTATTTTTCATCATGTAATAAAAATACGTCATAAAAGATGTAAGGGAGAAATTTAATATAAAGTTGCTAACTCAAAGCTAGAAATTGATTCTCTAAGAATTTCACATCCCACGTCTATGGACTGAATGAGTGGAAAAAAGGGTCTCGTACAGAGAAATGTCGATAAAGCCCTTAATAAGCTCTTAATTGACATGTTTTCTCGAGAAGGAAATCAGAAAAGTGTAAGAAATCTGGTAGGAGAAAAAAAAACAAACATTCAAACTTTAGTCATTGCCAGATTGAAACATAGCTAAATGACTTTCAAATGTAACAAGAAAGAAGTCTGCAAAAGAGAATGAAAAGAGATTTGTTGTCTCATGTGAAGCCTCTCTTCACAACATAATTATTTTGCTGATAACTTACTCTCTCAACCGGAAAGCGAAGCGAAGCAAAAAAAAAGTTTTGTCTGTTTTTGCCAGAACTTAAGGAAGATTAATAATCTTAAAAAAAACATGACTTAACAAACAACAGGAAAAAAAAGAAATGAGGGAAAACTCATCCTCATATTTTCCTTTTTGCCACTGAAAATAAAGTCACTTCCTTTGGTTTTAATAAAGCGTTATAATCATGATATTATGTTGTAGCATTGTTGAACCAACAGAACGACATAACAACTGGAGAAACATTCCCTCTGATTATTGTTTCATTGTCATTGTTTTTCATTTTATTACAAATAGCCAGACCACCCATGTTACCACGATTGTTAAGAGACACAAACTCGCGAATGTCTTTCTCATTAATTAAATTATAACTTGAACACCTAAGACATGATAACAAATTCCTTTCATTTCTCTCTTTTAAAAAGGCATGAAGATGAAAGCCGGTTTACTTTTAAAAGAAACCACGGTAATGTTAAGAGGTAAGAACGCATGAATGCTTCTGTAAGCATCCCAAGTATTCAACTAACAGTTGAAGCTTTTAACATAATTGTTTGTTTCTATATCCATTAAAAGTCGAATTGTGAACATTTTTTTGTCACTTTGTTTTAACAAAGGTTCAAGTTTTTTCCGCCAACTTCTACGTTTAACTGTGATTGTTTTTGCATTCATATTCGTTTTTTGTAAAATGTAGTGAAATGCTTTACTCTTCCATTATTCAAGAATAATTGAAACATCCTGAAAGCTGTACAATCTGAATGTATCTTAGTGTAAAGCATTTCACCGTATTTGATTTTTTTTAAAGGCAAATTTTTGTGCTTTTATTTCAAGCTTCACCACGCAAAGAGCTCAGATAAAAGAAAATATTTAACCTTTCTAAATGAAACTAAATTATTTCATATTTCCTTTTATCATTCTAGTTTGACCTTATGGAATAAAAATGAGAGGGTAAAAATATAATTCGAAAGTGTATGCGAGTTGATATTTGGTTGATAAAGGTAGGATATGATGACATAACAAGGGTATATGTTTGTTATGAATAAAATATAATATGCAAGCGGCAGAGGAGAATTTATCCAAAATATTTAAATTGAAATAAATAAAAAGGGGAGAAAGAAAGAAAGAGAAGTGAATTGGGTCATATTGGCCGTAAATCAAATCAAATTCATTACGAGCGATGATGAAGCAGCAAAATGCGATATAAATAATGCTTTGCGATGAAAACCGAAAAGAAAACCAAAAAGTCGTCTTAAATTTAGATTTATTGCTTAGTCGTCATGGAGGATCTTTTATTCACGTTTGGAAGATAGATGAGTTGTGGTTGTTAATATGAAGTCAACGAAGAATGCGTTAGACATTCTAAGATAATTTTATAAATTAAACAGATATGCTGACATTGTCAGTCGAGATTTTATTGGTTTAGTCTGTGGGTGGTTGAAATTATGTCGACGTAAATCCTTGAAATATCGAAACTAATTAATAAAGTAAATTGCAAATATTTTAAGATTAATTTGATAATTCTTCTTCTTCCTAAAGTTTATCTTTTTCTTTAAACATCGACTAAGAATACTAATTTTATAATTTGTTCAAACTTCTTAACAAACTTTTCCGAAAAGTTTCGAGAAAAAATTTGATGCAAACATAAAGTTTTTGTTCATAAATATAGAAGAAGTTTGGATGATATTTTCTCGAGCTTTTCCATAAATAAAAATTTTTCTTCAAATTTTTTGTTCATTTGATTCTTCCAGTTGATGCATCATCATAAAGATAAAGTTTTTTCTATTAAAATTCTCTTTGACTGAAGTAACTTCTTCTTCGTCTCCTTATTTTTGAGAATTTTCGAAGTGTTGCTTTCATTTCGTCATGTGGAGTTAAAGAATATTTTCTTGAAATTAATTAATGAAATGAGCCAAATTCGAGAAAAACTTCAAGCAAGAATAATTGTCATATCAAAACGTTCGTATCTTGATCAAATAAAATTGCTTTTTGAAGTTCTATGCAATTAAATCTACCAATGAAAATCAATTCTTCTACTCAAACCCTTGCACCTGAAAAGTGTGTTTGTCTTTTAAGCACTTAAAACTTTTGCCATTCACATTCATTCACTATGACTACAGGACAGAGTTAAACATTGATTTCAATATTGCAAAAATTTATAAAAGACTTTTCTATTGATTGGATTTTTAATTGTAGTCGAGTGAGTGAATTTCAATTTGAAGCATCATTCAGTTCATTCTGCATAAAGGTTTTAAAATAATAAATCGGATCATTGTGTGGATATTCACGTGAAATTTCTTGTTTGTCATGATTCTGCATTGGTTTCTCTTGATATTGGGCGGTGTATCGTTAGGCTCTGAAATGTGTCGAAATTATCCGACAACATATTCGCCGGGAAAGTTTCGAGAAGGTAAATGGATGGAGCAATTACGAATTCATTCAGGAAAGCAACATCATTTCAATGAACTCCCTCCAAATGACACAGTTTCATTGTTCAATGCCAAATATAAAACCTACTGCGGATTTTATGAATTGCAAACGTTGTCAAAAAAGGCTTTTCAATTGAACAAAGGATATTTTATCCCCAGATTCGACCATCATTTCTTTCCGTTTCAAGCACTCATCATTAAAGAAGCAAACCAAATTAAATGTAAAATGGTTTTGGAAAGCAGTATTTGCGATGAATATGCGACGATGACAAAAGTTATTGAAGCTATTGATATTTTATACACCGATTATACAACCTTCATGATTATTCATCAATGTATTGACGACGACGATTATATAATGTTTTTGACTGAAAGCGAAAATCTTTACGTTCCGGAAAATGACAAGGTTGATGTTGAACGTCTTTTGATTGACATACTGAAAGGTTACGAGATTGAAATGAAGAATCAAACGTTTACATGGCGTACAGCTAAGTTATGCGAGAGTCACGTCAAACTAATTCATCCAATTTTCTATCAGAAAACCTTCATCAAGGAACCACAAAAAACATGCCCGGAAAATTTGTCGGTTGACATCGTCGACTTGAGGCATTATTGGGAAAATAAATTGGAACGCGAGGAACAAATGTGGCAGGAAAAGAAATCTTTCATAATCTGTGTTGTATGTTTTATTGTCGGTATGTTATCAATCTTGGGATTACTGGCAGTATTTTTAGATAATTTTAAAGTTTGAAGAGATTAAATTTGATGAATTGATTTGACATGTGAAAATTTGACATCATTTAGCACAATTTTTATTCATTGATTAATGTTTGATAACACATCAATAAAATTTTCATGTTTTTATGAGATTTTATTTGAAATAAATTGAAGCGATGAAGTAAAGAAAGAAAAAATTGTTTGAATTTCCCTCAGGAAAGATTATCCAATTTCCTAATGAAGTATTGAAAAATTGACAAGATTGTAAAAGACATCGTTAGCGGTATTGCTGACGCTTTCACCCATCCCATAATGTCATAAGGATTGTCAGAAACATAAAACGGTTTATCAACTTCAATTTCTCCGCATTCAGAAAGAATGACCGAAGAAACTGGTTCGTCATCTGTTGTGGTTTTCACTCGTTCTATCTTATGGACAACATCTTGACCTGAGTAAAAAGAAGAGAAACATGACAGAATGTTCTGAATTTTCACAGTTCATTTCAACAACACACCATTGGTCACTTTTCCAAAAACTGTATGCTTTCCATCCAACCATGATGTTGCGACTGTCGTGATGTAAAATTGGCAACCGTTCGTGTCTGGTCCTTGATTTGCCATCCCTAAAAAACCTCCAATTGTGTGATTTATCGTCAAACTCTCATCCTCGAAATAATCGCCATAAATCGATGTCGATCCGGTGCCATTACCATTCAGTATGTCGCCACCCTGTATCATGAATCTCCTGATGATGCGATGAAAGCGGGTTCCGTTGTATGACAAGCCGTCTATGCCATTAAGACAAATTTCCCGAAAGTTCTTGACAGTTTTTGGAGCATCGTCTCCGAAGAGTCCCAAGACAATTCTTCCAAGTGCCACACCATCATGATTCACATCGAAATAAACTTGGGTTGTCACTTTAAACTGAGCACAATTCTGAACAAAAAATCATGAGAATGTAAAAATTATGCAAATGTTTTCCTTTTAAATTTACAACGTCTTGCGGAAAACTCACAACTGCACAGAAGCTTGAAAAAACTGCAAATAGAACATTCAAAGAGCTTTTCATTTTACTGACTGTCGCACTCGAAGAATTTCGTCATTTATTTTTGCTTTCGTGTTGTATACGCTCGTCGTTTATTGCTCTCAGAGGAAGCCAAATAACGTGCAATAAATTGCCACAAGAGACGTAATGAGGCCGACAAATGAGTGGAAATTTAATTACTTGAACAACAAACTAAACGCGATTGAAACAAAACAGTTACGAAGCAAAAAGGTTTCAATAATCAATTTCAATTTAGAAAAGCTTTATCGATTAGTTTTGACATGCAGATACTCAGTTGTTGCTTTACTCACTTAATTTTATTGTTTTGTGATGTAAATGAAGCAGGGAAATTGAATTTCGTTCATTGTCTTTGTGGTTAAAGATCAAATGACTTTGATTAAGAGGAAATTTATTGAAAACTGAAGCTTTTGGACTGATAAAATTTAACATTAATTAAGAAGCTTTCATTGAGCTTTTTTGGTATTCTCGTATGAGCTTTAAAACTCTTCTCCCTTCACTTAAGCACTCTCAGCTTAATTTTAATGAACTGAACCATAACATTTATTTGCATTTATTTTATTCAACCATAATAAAATTTATTTTGCAATAGTTCACGTTTTCATTATGATTCAAGTGCCCTGAAGTAAATTTGCATATTTTAATCAAAAGCTTTCGCATTCTGACGCTCATTTACATTTTCATCAAAAATGAAATCGATTACACAGTGGAACTTTTTATTCGCTTTAATTATGATTTTAATACACTCATCTGAAATGAAGAATTAATGAAATTCATTAAACTTTGCAAATGTGAATTAAGCGAAAGAAAGAAAAACTAAAAAATGTAAATCAACTTTTTATTAATGCAGAGTTTTTCAACAACTAACGAACATACAAACAAAACTCAACTTCAAGAGCTCAAGCAGCATTTTCCTCTAGCTTTGCTTTGACACTCGAACTACAGTAACAGTTTCAAGAAGCAATCTAAGGTCTTCCAACCTTGCAATCATAAACTCTGGCAAATTGTTGAGTATAAAGCAGAGTACATGTTGCGGCGTTGTTCTCAAAAGTCATCTCCGGAACTGAAATGAGAAATGAGAAATATTTTCAAGCATCTGCTTTTATTTATGAAATATTAATGTGAAAAAACAAACTGGAAACTGTTTTTCATACCTTTATGCTCAGGATTAATGGAAACTTTGAAAATGTATTGTCCAAAATCAATTTCTGTTATATCGATCCATTGACAGTCGATGTTGTATTTGTAAATATCATAACAGCCAACGGATATACCTTCGAGGGTTGACAATTGACAGTCAAGTAAATAAGAAAGAAAAAGGAAAAAAAGACGTTCATGAAATATTCATCGTTTAAATTTTAGATTCACGAACCTTGATCTCCATAATTGGCGCATGCATATCGTGCTTCTACACCTTCAAGACATAAGTTATCCTCCAAACAAAACGACGCCTTGTGACCCTCTGCGACCTTTTCTCCTTTATCGTTTATGATGTCGAACGTTGCAAACACCTCCATGGAGTGGTAGTGCCTGCAATAATCCAAACAAACAAGCAAGCAAAAGGAATTAAAACGGAAAAAAGTCATGCAAGGAATTTTTAATAAATTTTAATCTTACATGTGACATAAATGAAATTCCCACAAGTTTTTCGGAATGTGCGGTCGAAAGTCGTCGGTTCCATTATTTAAAACTTTTGCGGTAAATTTTAACAAGCGACGTGTCTCCAGATGCCAATTTGTATTCTCTTTCTGTATTTCATAAGCTTGCGATGCAACACAATTCTCTTCCATAGCGCAGGTGAGAAAATAAAGCGGTCGATCTTCCAAATGTGCTGTTGTTTCCAATTCTGTCTCATCAATTACTAAGTCAGGCATCCTTTTGACACATGAAACACCAGCAACATGGTGTTTATTGCCATGACATTTTCCGTGCTTTCCAAATCCTTCAAATTTGCAATCCGACAGCTTTGTTTCATTTCCAATGCATTCAGTTCCGGTAAGCAAAATGTGTGAGCCATTTGAGCCACCGAAGAAATTAGTTTGAAAAGCTTCGTTAGCGTAGCCGAGGTTGAGTTCTTTACAAATGACATTTGCTTCTATCAACGACCAACCGTCACCACAAATGTCACCATATGGTCCATTGCCGAATTTCACTTCAACACGTCCTTCTTCCGCAACTCTACCACCAACTAATCTAACTTTCATATTCTCTTTCGAATTGTATTTGAACTTTGGTGACATTGAATGAACTTTCACATCTTTTTTTACTGCTGGTTTTTCTTTTTCTACATTACAGACGACACCAGCAGCTTCAGATTGTTCGCAATCACTTTGACCCCAACCGTCAAAGCGACATTGTGACAATTGCTTTTCTTGTCCAGTGCAATACAAATTGTCCATCCAAAACTTTCGACGGGCTTTGCCAAACAAACCACTATGTGTTGCTTTACCACCAAGATGATAATTCAACTGTTTGCACACAACTTCAGCTTCATATTTGTCCCACTCATCATCACAAATGTTACCCCATTTCCCTTTGTGAAAAATTTCTACATTTCCCTCGTGTGCTTCTTTTCCACCGACAAGTCTGATGGCACCTTCATCTTTCTTAGCTCGTTTCAAGTGTCTTTGAACTAATTTCTGACGCTCGGATAAGGCATCGTTTGTCGAGTAAGCACAAAATACAAACGTGATGGAAATAGAAAGAATGAAAGCATTTCCAAAGCTTATCCACATTATCGCTGGCACTCACAGTTTAGAAGAGATAAAAATAAATGTTTCACTTTAAATGCTACAACTCTAAACACTTCGATTTCAAAATGTCGAATGAAATGATTTTCTAACGTCTCGACTGTCGTGTTTTGACCATATGATGATGATGATGACTTCATAGATTCGCTTGCTTTCAAAAACTGTATCCGAGTATCGTTCCATAACCTTATAAAAATTTCTTTGAATTAAATAAATTCAAAAAATGGGCGTCGATAAAAATGTCTCACCGAGTCTTGTTAGACAAAAAATTCATTTTCGCTTTTTTTAAAACGTATTTGAAGATAAAATAAAAAGAAGTGAAGGTCAGACAGAAGCTAAATTATGAGCTGATTTGGAAGACAGAAAGAACATATTCAGATATCTGATCTTAAATAACTCCATAAATATTCTGACATCTGCTAAATGAATCAGTTGAATCTGAAAAAGATTTGAAACGTGATGTTTATCACGCAGTTCAATGCTTGACCGAAATATTTCTCTCAACCTACATCAATATTTTCATTTTGATGACGTCGCTACTTTTGCTGACGAGTCTTTGAGAATATCTTTGGGTCTTTGGGTTTGGCATAAAACATGTGCGTTAAATAGATGGCTTGGAAAATGAGTTGATGATTAAGATTACTTATAAACTTGATTTATTCTCATCTGTGTATCCTTCACTATCCAGTCCAAGATTCTCTATGAGTTGCTCCCATTATCACGAAATCTCTTAGCGTTGCTCATACTTAGGAAAGAAGTAAATTGATTTCTATAATAAATCTTATCCTTTTAATCACTACGAAGATAAGCACTGGAACGAAGCTGTGAATCATCATTAAGGAATCTTCTTCATTTACTTTGTATCATCTCTATATGGATTTTTCTTTTTATTTCTTGAAATTTCTTCAATACATTTTTTCAATCTGATTTCAATTTATTTTATTTGTTTAATTTTTTTTTGTTCATACAATTATTGATACTTTCTCATGCAATTAATTATAATTCTCTACAAACTTACTCTGTCTTTACTAACTTTATTAAACTTTAAACTCTAATCTTTTCTGTGATCGTCTTTCATGTTTTTTTTCTAAATTAATCTCTTTTTTTTTGTGTTGAAGATTTACTTTCAATTACCGGGAGGAAAATAAAAGTTTTATTTTTAGGGCAGTTTTTATTAGATTTCTTCATCTTGTTTTTATTGGAAAATCTTCTTTTTTTAACATAATTGGTATCAATTTGGAAATTTAATGCTTCTCTGGATGGGGAATTTGTGCAAAAATCAATTTATTGATCATGATGTAGCGCTATTTTACTTTTTACCTTGCTTAGATTCAACATATTTTAGGGGTTGCTGCTGAATATACTAAACAGAAGTAGGAATGGGAGAAGTTGTGACTCTTTTTATTTACAATTTTTTTGTTTCTTTCGCTACACCAATAAATGCTATCGCCATACCTTGTCTCTCAACAGCAAATACTTTAAATCTCTATTTTCTGACCCAAAAATAAGAAACAACCTTTCCTCAAATGCCCATAAATATATTTCTCGTTTAGCACATTTTTGCACTCGGTAGGCAACATCATTAGTGTGAAGTGTGTAAGAGAGAAAGAATGTGAGAAGGGAGATAGAGAGAGAGATAATGGCAGGAAAATTTGCTCGAGTCAGACACAAAACGAGGGAAAGAAACTTTTTTTCTCGTTTCCTCTAAAATGTAAATTTCACATAATTAATATTAATTTAATGGGATTTCCCTCCCCGAAAGAACGGTCTGATATGTTTTCTAGAACAGAACTACAAGATGGATGTTTAAAGCAGCAGAATTCTTTCTCCTTTTATATTTTTTGTAGAAAAATACATAATTGAATAAAAAGCTTTCTTATGTTGTCGTATTATTCTTTCTCGAGATAAACTCAAATATTTTCACTTTATGATCCTCAACTAAACAGTTTCTTATTTTTTTCTTTTGAGACAACAGTATTGGGAATGAAATAAATCCTTGTTTAGAATAAAAAGTTGCTTATTTAAGATTGTAATGTATTCAAATTGAAACTTGAAGATATTCCCAAAGTTTACTTATGAAAAATAATTTTTTGAATTTGTAAGGCTAAGTTTGCATAACTTACGTTACCGGTTAACGTTGACGTAAGTTTAACGTAATGACATTTTAATGATCTTCATTAAATAATCGATTTTAATACCAGTTTTTCTCAAAGATCATCCTCGCGATATAAAATAGGATAAATCTCCAGCCTATTATCTATAAACGAAAATAAAAATCCTTGACGCTTTATATTGTTTATTCTGCTTTAAGCGTTTGGTTTTAAATTAAGCTTGTTTAGGAGAATTTTCAATTTTTTCTTCCGTCAAGATACTAAATTTAATTTAATTTAATTGGAAGGGAAAAGCGCCGCTTGCAGCGATTTGCTTTTTAGATGAGTTGAAGTGTTTCAGCGCAAATAACAGCACGATAAATACATCCGACCGACGCCAGAGTCGACGCCAAATCTCGAGCTTAGAAAGTGAAACAACATCGGAAAATTCTCTTTTTTTTAGATTCATTAAGCGAGTCGTTTAGTAAAATATTGCAGAGTTGATCTCGAGTTCAGCTTCATGCATAATAAATATTTTTCATGAATATTTTCCCCAAAATCACCAATCCCCTTTGACGCTCCACAATAAGCGTGAGGAAGATTCTATTTATACACAACAGCTTTTGAAAGAGGGAAAAAAGCGAATAGAAAACAAATGCGAATAATTTTTGTTGTTGTTAGACGAATCAATTATTGATTTTTTGTGCGTCCTTTGCACATTTTACATAAAACAGCTAAAAACATAACGACAACAAAACATGAACCAGCAACAATTAATGCCCACTTAACATTCTCATATTCATCGTAATAATCTGAATCGTGCTCCGACTTCCTACACAACTCAGCTGACTCATCGTTCAGCAAGTGACTGTTCTTCAAGTTGAAAATTCCAAACGTCTGAAGTGAAGCTTCTACGTTCTCAATGAGAGCTTCCATCGAATGGAGTTCGTTGTTTGTTTTTGAAGCATTAGGACAATTGACGATGCCATTACACACCAAGTGTTTTGGTAAACATATTGAGGGATTGCTGGGACAAACAAAGTCACAAGGACTCTTCAGCATTTGCGCAGCTGTTGACAATGTACCATCGGGATTGCGAGGTAAATGAAACAACTCCGTCCAAACAAGACTAAAAGCGCTTTTGCCAGGAAAACGATTGTCTCCGGTATATTGAATGATAACTGGTAAAGGATCATCGTTCAAATTATCAAGAGCGCCAAGCTCTGCTGCTGACAATATTGGTAAATTCTTTGCTAAGCTTGCATTCTCGGGACATACAACGAAACGAGGCTCTAGCCGACCAGCAAGATAAACTTCAATTTTTCCAACCTCACAACTTCCATAAATGCCAAATTTTGCTTTATCAACTTTCAACCATAAATCACGTTGCGCTGAAACTTTCAACTCCCAAATACATTTAATGACTTTTTGTGGTGCTCCAGTGACGGGAAGACCAAAAGAGTTTTTATGAGGGAAAATCAATTCACCGTCTGCTTTTGGGCCCATTGTGATTGGTCCACACAGTGGTGGATGAACAAACTCATAATTGGCTGTGAACAATGTGTTTGGATATTTAAAATAATGCTGTGATGCATATTGTCCCAACACAAGCATCTCTAAATTCATCTGGGCGTCTGATGAAATGATTCGAACAGGTCGTGGAATGTTGTCACAAAAACAAGCTAAACGTTGTTGCGTTTTATTCTTCTCTTCCCAGATAATGAGCTTGTCGACACGCTCCTCGTGACATCGAGTGCAAGGTGACGTCGAATATGGAATTTCTTTGAATGAAATTGAAACCATTTCGATAATAACACGAGCAAATGCTCGCTTGTCGTTAATAAATTTATATTGACATCGAACATCGCTCGTTGATGCAATGCGCTTGTAAATCAGCGTGTTTAATGGCGATCGTAAAATGCCATTGGGATGTTCCCAAGCATAAAACACTTCGTCGCATAAAGTATTTGGTACTCCGTTCTTTGCGCCGAACTTTGTGTTATTGAAGAAGTCATAATGTCCCCAGTAGTATAAAGAACTTCCACTATATGAGCCCGTACGACTCAGGAACTTCACAAACATCGACCGTCCCGTGCTGACAAAGTCAATCTTCTCCATCGGCTTCGAAAATGTATCGCAGAAAGTTTTAATAACTCGCGATGGATCGGGAAAATCAGCATCATAAATTGTCAATGATTCGGCACAATCTCCATCTGGCTTAACAATTGGCGCTTCAATGCGATTTATGCGAAAACTTTTAAAATCGAAATAAAGAAAAAGAGAAGAAGAAGAAGAAAATTGGAAAATGTCAAAGTTTGTTCTTCAAAATAAAACAAAAGAAAAGAAAAACTGAAAAGTTTATTTTTCATTCATTGTCAGGGTTGTTAAATCTTTTTTTAAAATTTGTTTGACAAAGTCATGTCAATAGTCATAGTTATTCAATTTTAAAATGATTTATAATATGACACAATTGAGTGTCAAAATCACATCAAAATGTCAGACAACAACCCTGTCCAATATTAAGATTAATATTCTGCGGAGATGTCGAAAGAGCATTTCGCATTATGATAAAAACAAATATTTGTTTAAGTATAAATTCAACCATAAGAAGAGATTGAAATCCTCTCAAGAATTTTTTTTCATTTCAATTCACAGTTTCGCATGCGATGAACTTTGAGGTGGAAATTATGGAAAATTTTCCTTTAACGCTTCTCAAAAGTTTATTTGTTTTTATTTCATTTCATAAGCTTTAAGAAATTCAATGAAAAGCGTCAGGAAAAGGAAAGACTCAAATTTCCGACATCATTCTGGAGAAAATAAAACCTTGAAAGTTTGAAAGATAATCTTTCCTACCTTGGGAAATAAAGTCGAACGATTTCATTCTCGACGCCTTGAATGTGATAGTTGCACGATGTATTCGGTGGATACCAGTGCGCTACACTCAAAAATATTCCCTCAGAGGCACTTGTTTGTTTCAAGGCGTTGGAACTTAGAAGCCAATCGCATGTTCCTTGCTTCACCCCAGCCGGTTCAACATGCCCGGGCCAATTTCCCACATTGAAATGAAATCCGTTGTTGAGCAATGGACCAGCAGGCGATGACACAAATTCAACGTACATGTGCTGAGTCGTTCCTATTCAAATGCAACATAAATACAAACGTGAATGGAAGAATGTAAATGGAATAATTGGGAGAGCAAAGAAAAAACAGAATGAACGGATATTGAAATTACCAATGATACTGAATGGAAATTTGCCCATGCCACAGAACTGTCCAATTATCGGCGCATTTTCGTCACGTCCATCGTGTATCGCAAGCCAATCGTAGGGACAATGTTCAGGCCCAGATCCGATTTCTTTCATAGGACAAGTCATCAGATTTTCGCACCTGTTGGGTTGGAAAGAATTTTTTGTATTAAAATACGTCGATGAACATCTTCGGAGTGACTTTAACTTTGTCTCTGAAGAGACTTGACTTGTTGCTAATATTTACAAAAGATTTTTTTGTTCTCTTTACTTCTTCTTTTTCTTATGTTTAAAATCATGCTTAGTGTCAGTTTTTCTTTTCCTTTTTGATTTTCTTTCTTCTTCATTTTCCTTTTTCTATTATTTAGGATTAAGAAAGAAATCAAAATGAAGTTTTTGACGTTTCAAGATAAGGGAAATATTTTCTCAATCACTTTTAAGAAGTTTTGTATGAAGTTTATCCTAAAAGTTCTTCCAACATCACAATTGAAATGCATTTTGCTTGTGATTTGAACAAAGCTGGTTGTTTTCTTGAATGATTTTTTTGAAAGTTCAATAAAACAGGAATTAATTCTTCTCGAGTATTTCAACATCGGAAAAGTCTACTCAATGTGACTTGTGGAAGTTAAATCAAACTTTTTATGTATCGCATCAGGAATTGAGAAGATGGTTGCATAATTAAATTACAAAATTTCTCGCTAAAAGCTTATTCATGCTCGCACTAATTGCAGGCAGATGTTGAGAAGATTTTTTCTATTTTTTTTATTTTTTTTTCGTTTCTTCAACAAGGATAAGACGTGATCTGAATTTAATTAAAACAGATTAAGGGAAATGTATGGTGTAGAGCGAAATGTCAGATATAAATTAAATTAATGTATAAAATATTGTGAAATTTTCCATTCTGTTCACCTTTGTCCATCAACTGCAAACTGCTCGTTTTGTAAGTAGAGCTTGATAAATGGCTGTCGCGTATGTAAACGATACCGACATTTTAATGCTCGTGGATACAGTCCAGGATAGGCTGGCGATTGCACATAGCACGTTTGAAGTCGACAATCACGAAATTCACGTTCGCAATATGAGCTGAAATATAAAATAGAAGAAAATATATTTAAGCGATGAGCGAGAGACCAACACCGAGTGGATATCAAATTAATCATTCTCAACGAGAGACATTTATTTCATTTTTATGTTTTGTGAAAATAGAAAAGTTTATGAAAACCAACCCTTGAACAATTTCTCCACGTCTGTTTGGATAGAGCTCCGGATGTTGACCATAGCGCAAATAGACTTCAGTTTCAGCTCTCGAGTCGAATGCAAAGTAAGTCTGTGAACGAAAGCGCACAAATATAGTTTGTTAGTGGGTGGATTAACAAGGAAAACTTCCACATCAAAACATAAAATTACCGTGAAGTCAAATTTTCTTTTTATTTTATTAATTAATGAATTAAAACTTTTCCAACAAAGCACAAGAAAATTTTAATCAGTTTAAGAAAAATCTCTTAAATTTTTACAACCCTAAAAGTCAGTTAAATTCTAATTACATCAACCTCAAACTGTAAAAGCAATTTTCCAATATTCAAGAAAAGAAAGAAAATTTGAGAACAAGAAAGAAAAGTTAATTTTTTCAACGATTAATTTTTACGATGTGAAGCGGATTCTTGTGGAAAATCGAATAATGCTTTGAACCTAATATTCTTTGAATATCTTGAGATGTGAAAATCTGCTTTATTCTTATTGAACATAAAATTTAATTACAGCAACCTTTACTGTCTTTGTTTTGCTTTCATTCTGCTTTCATTTATGCTATGGTTGGTTTTCAAACTCACCTGATCTGTAAAGTTGTCGGTGTGAAAAACTACTTTAACGTAGCTTGTTTCGCTAATAAACGTTTGTGGTTGTTCAGCTTCGCCACAGAATGAGCCTGGCTCTCGGCGATTTGAGACATCTGTTTTCGAGTTACCATCGACAATCTTAATAGAGGGAAAAACATCGAAATTAGTGTTCAAGTTATAGAGTTTGAAAGTAGTTTAATACCACTGCCGAACGACATTAAACATTGATTGCTTCCTTAATGTGATCAAACTTTCATATTACAAGCAGATATCTTTGAAATGCACAAACTCAAATTGCACTTCATGCTTCATTTATTATTTATTAAATACAAACTTTTCCCTTCATTTCATCTTATGAATTATAAACTTTCATAAGAATCAAACACCAGGAGGTTTCTCTTTTTAATCTTTTATCCTTATCTGCATAAAAAAAGGAATTGTCGGAAAACTTTTTGCTTTTCTTTTCTTTTTCTTTTATGACACTTACAAAATTTTTTCCTCCTTTTTCCTTCCGATTTTATTCAAAGCAAAAAAAAAAAGCTGAACTTACACGACAACATGAAATGAAAAGCGAGTTAAAGTTTATGACAGCAAATAATAATGATTTTCATGTAGATTTCATTAGAATACACTTTACGTATTCAACCCAGGAAACATTCAAAGAGTGGCAGACAATCAGAGTCGTAAAAAGAAAGCTTTTGACTCCCGAAAGAGCCTTCAACAAAGCGCAGCATTTAATTACATTCAAAGCTCACGGGGAGGAGACGAACAAAACGAGAAAAAGTAATGTCAAAACTTTGGCGTTTCATTTCTCTTAGCGCTTTGCTTTTCTCCTATGAAATGGAATAGCGACGTGTAGATAATAATTTTTTTTCCTACATTTAATGATATCTTGATGCTTGTTTCTTAAGCTTTTAATTATATTTTCATTTCAATTAATTTTCTTAATGAAATTCAAGATTGTCGTCTGTGTTCCACCTTTAATTGTTAAATCTTTTACTTTACATGAAACCGTAACGTTTGAGATTATTAAGGAAAGTGGTAAAGGATGAAATTTATGCTGGCTTACCTGAAGATATCCACCTTCGCAATGTGTTGAGTTCACAAGTGTTCCAACTTTAAATTTTTTGAATGTTAATCGAAGCACCCAATCTTTGGGAATACCACGAATACTTTTGAATCGATACCAACAGGTCAGCGGGCGATGACGATTCAAATATGTTAGTGGGGGTGATGATACATCCACATAAATATCAACTGTCTTATTACAATGATCATCAGTAGATTCGGTGGGCACTAATGGATTTCCAGCTGAAAATATTTTTGTTTTGGTTTCTTTTTCCTTCTCATCATATGAGTCATAACAATAAGATAATCTTAAGATTCTGTTGATATCAGCAGAATATTTAATTCTTCTGCTGATATCAAAGCGAATAAGAATTTCAATGATAATGAAGAGCAATATTTTTCACTCTATAAAACTTGAGATAAACAAGAAATTGCTTTCCTTGCATGGGTTATTCATTCATGACTATTCACGATGGAACATCATAAGTTAATGTCGAGTCGAGCGACACAATCAACGAGAAGATGGAGAACGAGATTTCACTGAAAATCATAAACGATAAAAAACGAAGAAGACATCGCAATAAAAATTATAATAAAATCTTAGCTTTTGTTATCACCATTGTTTGAAAATTTGCTTCCGTTGTCTTCCACGTCTTATTGTACTTCTTAAAACATCAAATAAATAAAAATTTTCGTGTAAAATGAGAGCGAAGATTGTAGAAGATTTATCCTTTTAAGCAGTTTCCGTGAGTTTTCTCATTTGAACTTAAATAAAAACAGTGCCGGATTTGATGGCACTTAAAAGTGGAATTTGCAAGCATCACGTTCGCCTTTCCTCGCTTTATTTTGTTATAAAACACAAGCAGTTCTTCAATTCGCACTCTTATCTTTATGTCTTTTTCTTCAACCTCATTTGTCGTAAAAAATAAAACTTTCCTTCTTCTCTGGTCTGATACGACAAAGAAAAAAAGACAAAATAAAGCAAAGAAATTTTCTATTCTCATCTTAAGGGACAATAAAGTTTATTTTCAGACTTGTTCTCTCGAGAGCTTTTTTCACAAATTTTAATTTTCTCTGTGTGTCTCTTTTTTCATTGTTTTCACAAATTTTTTTTACGATCATAAAATATAATTCTTTTTGTTTGTATTTTTTTTCTCTTCCTTTTATTATTTTTTACGTCGCACCGTTTGTGATCTTTAAACTCTTGAATGCTGAGGATATAAGAATTCTGTTTTTCGCATTCATAAAAACATAATGCCGAACGATATTTTCCTTACACCACCCCCACGCTCACAAAAAAAAAGAAAGAAAAAATTATCGCGCAACAATGAATGCGGAATATAAATAAAATATAATTTTCATAACAGAATATAAAATCCCTTGAGGTTAAAGCTTTCGAAACGACACGAATTTCTTCCCTCCACCTCGTATGTGTTTCTCTAACGAACGAGTTTTAATAAAAAAAAAATATGTGATCACAATTCCATATTTTTTTCTCAATATTAGTCTACAACTTCATCCATCCCAAACTCTCATTCTTATAACAAGTGTTTATGTTTGTCGTTTTATCACAACTATATCATATCACAGCGTCACTGTTATATATTTTTATTCTTCACTCTTTCCATTTCTTTCTCTCCTGCCTTCGTCCTATCTTACTGCGTCAACTTTCGCTTAACATGTGAGGTTGACTTCAGATTATGTATGAGATATCCTAAGTCGAATATGTGTACACTTGAGAAACTTTCACAACCTTCGCTTCCTTTTTTTATTTTTCATAATTTCATTCTCATTCATTGAATTTTTATCTGCACAGCTATAACAATATATGTCTATATAGGATATTTACTTATGTGCACATAATTCTCTTTAGCTTTCACTTCACAATATTTTGTGTTTCGCTTATTATGTTCTTTCCTTTTCCCAGCCTTTTATTTCTTTTTTCTTTCCTTCTTTTGTTTTACATCAGAAAAGTTCCTTATCGCAACGAGCGAGTTTTATGGATTTTTTTGTGTCTTACATAGATATTTTGTTTTTTGTTAAATAAATAAAAAAAAAAGTTCGCTCAAGAAAATGAAGAAGCGCTCATATTGAAATTCATTCTTTAAAATTGACTTAAAACGTGAAACAGCACGCACCAGTTGTTGCCATAATGAATCGTGATAAATTGACTTCAATTGAGTGAAATTTTTCTCGATGTCATGACTTTTACGACAATTTGCATATTTTTGTAAAGCATTGTCACATAAATAAGTAAAAGTCATTCATTATGATTTCTGTTGTTACTTGAATGGTAGAATGGATGAGAGTTTATTTGAGTTGAATGAATGTGATCTTCACATTTTAAACAAAATTTCATTCAAATGAACGCTCACATATATTCATGTATTTATGAATTATGTGAATAAACATTTGATGATACAATTAGTGATAAAAGGAGTTGAAAAATATTGCGATTCTTACGCTGAACCTTTAATGTAAGTAATAAAAGAAATCACCTCGCTTCTGTAGTGGTATCGACGTTGGTGGTGTTGAAGTTTGCACAAGCGCAAATATTAACGAGATAAATAAGATTTTTATCCATATTTTGGTGATTTCACTTAAAATTTTATGTGTCGAGTGGTGTCGACCGACTGCGGAAGAATTATCCATTGACAAAGTCGTTCCAAGCATTATGTCACGTTGTCTCTTGTTCGTTCAATGAATTATTGTGTAATAACATAATTTTCTGTAATTTTCTATTATATTCGCTTATTTAAACGCAATAGGAATTTATTTCATTTGTCTCCAAATCAATGAAACAGCATAAATACTTTGTGAACACAACCGAAAATCCTTTTGACAAATATTACTCCATATGATTTATTTTCTATCTTGATTATAATATTCACGAAGCCGGCTTTTTTCACGTCTTAACAATTCAACGTCACGATAGAGACTAAAGCTTCGTGCGATATTTTCCTGCGCGATAATCGAGAATTTTCACATTCTTAGCTTTTCTCTCAATTTCATTTCGTGAGAGTGAGGACGACAGCATGTTCTGAACGAATCTGGCAACATCGCATTATGCTTTAAAAGGAATGAAGACCCTCAAAGTGCAACAAAGCTATTCAAAAATTCAAAGCGCAATCAACACGTGTTAATATCATAAATCAGAGAACTTTTGTTATGAAATTTAAATACAAAATATTCAAATGAATATTAAATGTTTATAATAAATTCAATTCAGTTATTCTAAATCACGATAAGACTTTTCAATGATTTATAACTGGATAATTGTTTGGAAGCTTATGATTAATATCAGTTGTTGCTAGGACAATATCATCACTATCCGTCAAAATATTAAATAGAGACGCTGATATTTTTCAATTAATCTCTTTGTAAAAGCTTCTACAGTAATGATTTCTATAGCATAATAAACATTTCTTGGAAAATCTTTCTCTTTTAATAACTTCAAACGCGCATACTTCAGATTTAAATTGATTTCAATTGGAAATAAAATGAAAACAGATTAATTAAATTAGAATTCATAATCAGAATATTTTTATTGTATAAATTATTATTTCATTTCTATCTGTGATTGCTGAACATGAATTAAAGACGTAATAAAAATAAAAATTTCATTAAAATTCTCTCAAAACGAAATCTTTATGAGCATGAAACTTTTGATAATAAACTGTCTTAATAAATGTTCTTCAAGTTCCGGTGAATTCACATAAAGTATATGTGGAAATGTCGAAAAAAGCCGTCGCCTAGCATTTCGTCTTTCTATCATGCCAGAAAACTTTGTTCATTTAATTCAGCTCAATTATCATGAATGGAATTTTATTCCACATCTTCAGTCTGGCAGATGAAAAAGTTCTATTTTTTTTGTAGATAATTTTCAAAGCTATAAGAAAAGCTTTATGAGTTTTAATCTGAAGTAAAAGTCATTAGTCATGAGTAATTACAAAAGCTTTAAACCTTAAATTTTAAGATTCGCTCCAGGAATGTTTATCAAGGATAAAATTGAGTTAATTTCATTGTTAAAAGTTTCTTACCCAGAAAAACACCCAGTTTGGTGTTCCATAGAAAGCTTTTCTTGGTGTTAAATGCCTGATTTTCAACTTGGTTGAATTGAATATCTTAAACATTTAAAAAATTAAGTTCATTAACTTACATCTTTCACTAAAGGCGTTTAACTCACCATAAACTGAATGAAATCGGCTTATACAAACAATAATTATGTACTGCAATTAGACAACAATAGTTTCGCAATTTATTTTCATATAACATCAATTATCTAACTAAGGAAAAGAAAATGAAATCAATTTGTTGAAACTAAGAAAATGAAAGAAAATTACTGAAAGAATGAAAGAAAAGAACTTTTCTTTTATTTTTTTCGCTGTCATTAATTGCTTGTGGAAAAGTTTCTTTCCAATTCAATGGATACGATGATAATGATTTTTGGTTTTGTTTAGAAACGATATTGTGCCTCAAAAAAGAAGGAAACGAAAAAAAAAGTTCCTTTCAATAATACTTAATGGATTACACTTTCGTTTGAATTGTGATTGAAGCTTCATCTCCAGACAAGTACTCATCAATATTGCTTGTTAGCTTTATCCACTTAACATTGGATTGGAAAATCAACATCAAATATTGGAAGGTTTTTCTTCTTTAACTTTCATCTGTTTAATCAAGATCCTTGTCAGACTTTCTGATATATTTTATGTCAACATTTGACTAAAGAATTTGATTTTCGACCCTTCAACATCGAGGTGAAAAATGGAGAAAATTAAACTTTGATATTGTTGTTGATGTTTGAGAGTAATTTTCGTAAGTTTGTTGATGTTTTACCTTAGCAGTGATACTTTGAAAACAAAGCTTCATCTTCTAGAACCATTAATGAAGTTTGTGTTTGTTTTAACTGTTTGAAATTAGAAATTGAAAGATTCATCAGAATTTGAGTCTCTTCTGCATTTTCTCGATTCAAGAACATGAAAATTCATGGGAGGATGTTTAAATTATTTATTTATTTACTTTCCTTGTCGTTTGAATGGAAATTCATTTCAATGCTCAAGTCTGAATGGATTTAATCTTGCAAAGAGTTCTACTTTCATTTCCATTTGCCTTTAATTCTTCTTGTGGAAAATCAAACGATCTTCATATCAAAGCCCTTTTAAATTTCCTTTCATGTCTTTATTTACCAACCATCCAAGCAACGATAAGTTTCGCTATTGTCTGTTGCGATTTTTATTTTGCGGTGAAGTTTTCTTTATAAGATTCTACTTGAAAAGCATTTCTTTATATTTTAAAGTATATTCAACAAGAAATGCACAATAGATTTTATTTTCCGGAGCTTTTAATAAGCATAATGTCGTAGAAAGGAAATTATTAAGAACATAAAATTTTCAGCATGCGGAAAAAGTTCTTTTCAACATATTTTTTTTCACGTTAATCCCATGATGAGATGAGGTTCAGGTTTTTTTTCTGTTGTTGGTTTTTATCTTTCCTTCTCCTTCGCCTCAAAGCACTGTTTGTGAATACTCTATGATGAGACTTACTTAAAAATTCATAAGTCCCATGCATGGCAAACATAGAAAAGGCTCTGTTGGAGCTAGTGCTTGTATGCGGGAGTCATGACAATAAATGACAACGTTGTCAATGTGGTATCTGTTAAGCTTAAGCTTTTGCGGTAATACTTTGAATAAAAAAGAAGAATTTTTATGAAAAGAGCTTTTATGGAAATATCCTTAAAATCTTTGAGTGTATTCAGAGCAAGTGGAGCAGATGAAATGCATGTTAAATGTAGTTTTCCTTGCGATGGCATTAGATTTTATCGACTAGATTAGTTTGAACATTACAAGAGGAATCATGAAGATATTTGTTTCATAAAAGCTTTAACGATTTTGAGAAAATCATTGGCCACTTTGTTTAAGCATAAATTTTATGTCATCATAAACTTTGTTTTAATTTTTATCTCTTCATCAAGATAAAATAAATAATTGCACAAATAAAACTATTTACAAGAACAAACTTAAACAAAAAAGAAAAGCTTCACTTCGTTAATCAACTGTCGAGGCGACACCGGTTGTAAAGAAATCAGACGAATGTCTCTCCAATTTTAAGAAACTTAGCGACATTCTTCATTTTCTTTGAAGATATTTTTTATTCCTTTCTTTTAATTTATAAAGTTTTCCGGTTCTATAAAGTTCTGAAAACTTTCATCACTCGCAATGACTTGAAGTTATTGAAGCTTCATCTTAAAATATAAAAAAGACCTTCAAGATGAATAAAAACGTAGAGAAAAGTTTCCTTGATTCAGCAAATTATTTTCAAAAAAATTTCCCACAAAATTTTCATTGAAAACTTTTGCTCGTCCATAAATAGAAAGAAGTTAAGGATGAAGCTTCTGAATTATAGGTATATTTTACCCGGCATTTTTGAAATTTCGGTTAACCGAAGGAACGAAGAAAAGAAACTCGGTTAACCGAAATCTTAAAATATTTATATAAATTTAATTATTCAACATTAAAAATAAAAAAGAATGCTTCTTATGCATGTTTTCACTCTTCAGAAGTTTCATACATCGGTGAAAAATTCTGAAAATGAACTCGAAACGTCCCAAGAGGGTAATTAGTGATTTTTTAAGACTTAAGGTATGACTCATACTGATTTTCAGAAGTTTCATACATCGGTGAAAAATTCTGAAAATGAACTCGCAAAACGTCCCAAGAGGGTAATTAGTGATTTTTTTAAGACTTAAGGTATGACTAATACTGATTTTCAGAAGTTTCATACATCGGTGAAAAATTCTGAAAATGAACTCGAAACGTCCCAAGAGGGTAATTAGTGATTTTTTAAGACTTAAGGTATGACTCATACTGATTTTCAGAAGTTTCATACATCGGTGAAAAATTCTGAAAATGAATTCGAAACGTCCCAAGAGGGTAATTAGTGATTTTTTAAGACTTAAGGACTCATACCGTAATGGTTTTTTCAGAAGAGATAGAAATCTCGGTTAACCTACATAGTATTCGAAATAACCAAAAAACAGGCGGTCATCGGTTCTCGGTTACCGGTTTTGATATCTCAATTCTGAATGCTTACAATTTGAAACGNCATGGAAGGTTTTTAGCCAGGCACAGATGTAAATTGTAAAGCTCAAGCTTGAAAGATTCAATTCTTCTGTAGTGCTTCTTGATCTCCATTTTTAAAAAGACGTCAGAAGTGATTTTATCAGTATGAATCGAAATCTTCTGAAGATGACAGCTTTGCTGTCGAAATTCGCGAATTAAGGTATTTTAATATGTTAGTAAAAAGTATAAGAGTGTTTTCGTGTTTATATTCGTATAATTAGTGTTCAACTTTTTACGGTTCTCGTCCAAAACATTAAATAAGGGTAATTAGTGATTTTTTAAGACTTTAGGTATGACTCATACCGTAATGGTTTTTTTCAGAAGAGATAGAAATCTCGGTTAACCTAGTACTCGAAATAACCAAAAAACAGGCGGTCATCAGTTCTCGGTTACCGGTTTTGATATCTCAATTCTGAATGCTTACAATTTGAAACGAAAACAAAGAATAAGAACAACTTTGAGTTCAATATTGATAGGATGGATGATAATGTTTTGTATACCGTTCTTATGAGATTGAAGAAAGTTGAAGTTTTCGGCTTTTCCTTTAAGAAAACAAAATTTATTTTCGCTTCCATTGATATTCGGAAACTTTTAGTTTGCGTAACTTTCATTGGCTCGCTTTCTCCGGTCACTTTTAAAGTCGCTTTTCATGATGTTTAAAGTTTTGCAATTAAGTAAACATTTTTGTGTGGCAAATGTTTTAGTTTGGAAATTGCTGACAATTGGAAAGGAAGTTGGAAGTTAAATATCGAGAGACTCGTTTGTGAAACGTTTTACAATAAAAGGATTAGCATGAAGTCCTAACTGTGCAGTTACAAGAAACCCTTAAAGCTCTCCAAATAGCAATTTCAACAAACAATGTTGAAAGTAAAGCAATAAAGCAATCGGAAAGATTTTTATTCTTCTCTTTCTTTCGTTTCTCTATGTCGAATTCCATTTATCCAATCTGTTAATCAAGGTTCATGGGTTTAACGTTTAAATGCCCTTTGGCGATTCTGATTCTCTCGTTTTTGCTTTCAAATGGCTTCATTTCATTTCACAATCTTAGCAACAGCGAAAAGAAACATAAATTCTCGACACATAAATTCGTAATCCCAGAAATTCAATTTCCTAATCTACAGGTTAGCCATGGTCCTGGTCCATAGTTGAACTGCGAAAGAGAAAGCAATAAGCTTCGTTACGAAATTAATGGTTAACGTACCAGAAATAAACGAATCAATAATGTAAGGATGTAATAAAAAAATTGAAAGGGAAATGTTGTAAGCATGAAGCAATTTATAGGATCCGTTTTATTTGCTACTGAACTTTTCAACATGCTTCATATTTAGAGCATAAAACCTGATGGAAAGAAGAGAGAATCGTAAGAAGAAAATCGATTTGAACTCTAACGAGTCGCATTTCAACCGCACTCACTAAAGTCAGAGTAAAGTCAGCCTCGATATTTATGCTTTTTTTCTTCTTCCTTACCGGAATAATGTAATTTGATAGCGAAAAAGGCTTATTGAATAACAAAATCCTTAAATAAATTGGATAAAAAGGGCTGCATTACAGCCGGAGGGGAAATAAGCCGTCGAGACGAGAAAAGCTTCGTAATAAATCACAAGAGAGGTTCAAAAAAGCAGAAACCGAACGTGAAAAATCTCTGATCAGTAGCTTGACTTTATAAAGATGCTTTCTCGATTGATTTCTTTTATACTCATTGCAAGCTTTCATTTACGTTTCGTTTCGAATTGATTTTTGACAGTGCCCATATAATCGCTTTGAGGAAATTGAAAATTGAGCATTTCATCCTCGATTTTATCCCCTCTTAGCACGAATAATCTACATATGGTCATGAATGATTTATGATTTAGGATAATTTATGTGGGTGGGCTTTGAACAGAAAGCTAGCAGAGTTATGTAAAGTGTTTGAAGATAAAGAAGATGAAGGAGCTTTTGAATCTAAGCTTTCATAAGAGATAAAAATTTATTTGTTGAAGTCGAAATGAAACCTTTCCTGCAATGAATTTGATTTGTATTGTTGCTATCTTCAATGAAATGAGGATTTGTAGATATTTCTCACGAACTCAAATTTAGCATTGCAAATGATATGAGAAATATTTTCTGAAGAATTTCTTTCAAAAGCTTTCAATAAAACCTTTTGATTGATTTTTAATTGAATGGGATGAAAAATTTTCCATTAAATTTTCATTTAATTTGAAGATTCTTGATTGATTTTTTTTATTTCAATGATCATCAATGAGTTTAAATTTTGTGTTATTAGAAAAAGTTTTAAAATCTTCTCTAATGGCTTCATGATGAATCTGCTGAATTTACTGAGAAAATGTTGAGATGTGCTTTTATAAATGTTTAAATCATGGTTGCGTTTTGACTCTTTTACAGTAAATTTACATCGTAAATTCAGTCAAACGTAACATGATCATCCATCACTATCAAATAACAAGAAACCAAACTTTTCTCTCAATAATTTGCCTTCAAAGGTGACATTCTGTTAAAATTTTCGTCCTAAATAATCAAAACCAAATGAATTTTTGAATGTTCGGATCGCTTCTAATTACGGTTTCAAATCGCATGAGATTCCTGAATTCCAATAAAAATTCTTCTTGCTTCAAATTCTTCATGCTCAAAAGCTTTCATATGGAAATTGATAGTTTATCCTTTTTCAATTTTCCAATTGAATTTTACACCCACAACACGTCCAACCTGAAAAGCCATTTTCACAATCAGTCGATGTAGGGTGGATGAAAATTTGCATAAATATTCACTCAATTCGATACGAGACGTTTTAAAAGGGTGAGAAGGAAACGTTCAAGTGGTTGGATGCTTAAAACGAGATCGCCATTGTTATCATCAGTTCAATGTCGGAAGATATTTTCTTTAGACGAAACCCTTCTCACATTACTTTCATTGTGTCGAACTAAGTGGACGAATCAGGTGTGACGTGACAAATTAACTGATCAATCGATATAAATATACATTGTAAATGTTTCTACGTCAAAGTTTAGTCAACAATCCCAAAGATATGCCCAAAGGACATTTTCCTTTAACTGTAAACTTTTCTTCTCCATCATTTGCTACCTGAACGTCAAAACAAAATAAAAAACTTTTTTGTATTCTTCTCACATATCACACACAAAATAAACTTCTCGATTTCATTCATCGTCTTTGATTATTCAATATTTACAATGACAATGCATTCTGTGAAGTGATAAGCCTTAGAAATTTTTCGTTTGAATTTCATTTGATTTGATAAATATGTTCAACAAATAGTTACACTTTATTCAGATATTTGTATAATTTGTTTCTACATTAGCGATATTACTACGTAAATTTTCAACTACGTTTTGATATTTCTTATATTTTGATTTCATTCACAGATCTAAGCATGATTTTGGATTATGAAATTGTTCGATTAATTTCCTTCTTGTGGTAAGTGGAAAGAAAATTCTGATCGATATTTTATCGGAAAGCTTCCGATTGACATTTATTGAAGAAAAAGGATTGTTTAAGCTTTAAATTATTACCACAAGAACAAAGTTGAAGTCAGTCAAATTATCACAATTTATAAGATTACTTAACTGGGTCTGTACGGAAATTAAATCACGTCTTTTTTTAAGTTTTGTCGATTTCCTGATAAGAAATAAAAATTCTCGTCAATGGTTAACAACTTATGGACATTTCCTACACATCCCTGTACTTTTACTTGCTAATACGAAAAAGTGACGTATTGCAAACAATAAAATAAAATATCAAAAAAAAAGTTTATAAACATGACTTGGTCCATGGTTTGAAAGTGTAAAGCTCAGTTGAATGGCTTAAGACACAAATTGTATGAGAACAAAACTTATGGCAGAACCAAATGTAAGTCCAATTCCCATGAATGCAGCCATCATCGATGACGTCATCTCTTTTTCATGCTCTTCGACCACACTGGAAATTCAACAATAAATTAATTTTTCTTTCTCATAATTTAATTAGTTTCAGTAAGAAGACTTACGTGGGAGCATAAATCAAGCTGATGTTGGCGATGTAACCGTTTGAAATAGCAAAAAATGTCATAAGTAAGATGAAAACTTCATCAGAATAAATAAGAACGGGAAGCGGATGCTTTTGTGTTATGTTGCAAAGTAGAAATGCTGGCACAAAGCCAACTCTCAACACTGTTAAGAAAGCAACGAGCTTTGGTTTGTTTTTCGGTCTTTTAATCCATCCAGATAAGATTCTTCCAATGTAATCGCCAGCATTGAAAAGTAAGTAATTTAAAACCGGTAAGAAGTAAATGTCATTCCACGCATGATGATGTCCACGATTGACAGAAGTTATCAAAACTGTTATAGCTGGATAAACACTCAAAGTTGTAACAAAAACAAGCCAAACAGAGAATCCGTGAACCCAAATTTTATCATAAATTTTACGCCAATTTGGTTGAAGATAATTTCGATTGATTGTCGCGAGTGTTGTTGCTGTAACAGCTGGCGATGATAAAGGACTGGTGTCGGTGTTAACAGAGAAATGGTTTGCCTTGACATGCGATTGATTAACGTGGAACTTGAAGAAAAGAGTCTTCGAGACGAATAAATAAAGGAAGAGTGAAAGGACGAGCATTCCTGTTCCGACCATGAAGTAGATAAAAGCACTGACTGTTGGTGCTGTAGTAAATGTAATAGAAATGACTTCAGCCAGTGCTGTAAAAACCCCACCAAGCGCTTGTCCACTCATCACTGCACTTATATATTCACTCGAAAACATTCCAGCGATTCCAAACAATCCTCCAGATAAAATTGCTGAGAAAATGTTGACAATAAAAACTATCAACAGAGTGAAATAAAAGAAAGGATTCTGAAAACCATCAGTGTCGACTTTAACAAACGCTGTTGTTACAGAAAACAGCAAAAGAATTATAACAATTGATCCAACCATGCGAAGCTTAAGTGAGACCCTAAAATAAATTTAAACGTTAAATTGCAATTAAAATTATTTTGTTTCTTATTTAACTCACTTGTGACTATAAAATGCGTTGAGTATTAAGAAAAGTGTGGTGGGAATTGCTGAACACATAGCAAGGTCAGGCTGGAACTGAATCTGTCGTGGTGTTAAGATGTCAGTATTGTTACTTGTCAGGTTACGGAATTTATATTGCCAATATTCTTCAGCTGTCATGAAAAAGTTCCATGGCAATAAAGTTGCCCTAGATTCAAAGAAAATGAGTCATGAAAATGTCGATTTCATTATTTTACATGAAAACTTACATTCCTAAAATATAGAATGCAATATAAGCGAAGTTGAATCTATCAACAGGCATGCTTGAACTTCTTCTGAAAGATTCTTTAATCTCTTGTTGAGATCCAGAACGATTTTCTGGATTGTTATCACCAGCTTCACTGTCACTCAACTCTTCATTATCGTGAGTGAGTAAGAGAGGGTTCCTCGATGGAGATTCCATTATTTAAATACTAATTACGCACTTATTTTGTTGATAACAAGAATGATAAGAAATTTTCTAACAATAACAAAATTCACAGATTTCTGTTTAACTTTTCCGTAATCATTAAAATGATTGCATTTATAAGTATGAACACTAACTCTTTAGTGTAAAGCTCGCACTATACTGATATTTAACATTTGCAATCTCTTTATAACTACATTTGTTATCTTGAAGTAGTTAAAATTTTCTTTGTTTTCTTAATTTATGCTAAGTTTTAGTACAAATGTTTTTTGATGTTTCAGTGCCATCTATCGGAAAATGTTCCAACTATTTGATGTTTTTCAAATTTTAAAACAACCGTTAAATTCTGTAGAGCAACATTTTATTTGACCGTCAATTATCCTTTAAACTCAGATCAGATTATTATTCGTTTTGTGTCTTTCAATAAATTAAATTTGTCTTGTAAAAACTTAACTAGTAAGTTTTAAATCAAAAGTAATATCTTTGCAGTATAAAAATAAAATGAAATTCCAAAGAAATTGTCATGAGAAGAACGATTTATCAAAATACATTATAACAAAGGAGGATTCCATTTGCCGCATTCAAAGTGCAAAACAATCAGAGGCTTTGAAAGATATTGCAAAAAAAGGACAATATGAGGAACTTTTAAATCAAAAACATGTAAACTGCACGTTATCATCAGAAGGACATTTTATTCGCGCTCATTCCCAAATTCTTATTGCGTCTAGCTGTTATTTCAGTGTAAGTTACATCACCAGACAAGTTTTAATCTCGTCTCAATGTTTGCTTTTTTATTTATTTTTTTCACCAGAAACTCATTAAAAATTGGAGAACAAGCAACGAAGCTATAATCCAATTCCATGGAATCCCATTCATGAATATTTGCCTTATTCTGAAGTACATTTACACAGGTCATGTTTCCATGGCGGAGAATCGTCTCGAAAGCTTCTTAGAATTTGCAGAAACAATGGCAGTTATTGAAAAGGACAAAAAAGATCTAATGAAAATAAGTCGCCGTTCTAAGGAAATAGAAAGAAAAAATATGAAAACCATGAAAACTGAAATAAATTCGACCTTTTCAACTGATCATAAATCATATTATGACAATACAAAGTCTCAATTTCAACAAGTTACAATTGAAATCGTAAAAAATAACAAAGACAAAGATGATTCAAAAGTAAATATTATTGGCCACATCAAAAAAGCGTCAAAAGTGGACCGTACTTGCAATGTTTTCTTTCAAGAGTTTATGAGTAAAGAAAAAAATAAACATGCAATTTCGGGTTGTCCAGTAGGTAAAGGAAGAAGAAACTTGGATCGTAATGCCATCAATCGACTGACAGACATCGAGTTTAGGCAATATGCGTACTCATTAGAAGTCCCTGGGATACGCCCAAAACCGGTTAGAATTGTTGATAATGACTCGATGAGCAATGATGATGATGATGATTGTTATGAAGATGATGGTAATGAACATGATGTTGCAATGATCGATGATTCAACAATTGATGACTTCAACATTGCTGATCTTTTCTTGGATGATGAAGGCAATTAATGGAAAGCTTTAGTTAACTTATAAATATATTTAAAAATAAATTAATAATAAATAAATTTTTATTTTCAACTTTTCACTACTAAATTCCTGAACAATAACTTTTGATTACACTCATTGTTAACCACATCCAATTTTCATTCTGAAGTTTCAATTTCCTTGAAAACTTCCTAATGCATGTGATTTTCACTTCAATTATTCGAAATAAATATTTTTAAGCTTTCAACAAAATATTTAGTAAAAGCATCGAATATCCTGAACATTTCCTACATTTCATGACTGATTTATTTCTTCAGGAAATTGCTATGAAATATGCATTATCTGCTTTAATAAAATCTATATTTAAGTTTAAAATGAATTGTTGAAATTGCTGTCACGTGCATGACACGTACGCAAGCTTTAGGGTGGCTTCGATGGGGTGAATCACAAATCTCATGTCAAATCCAACGCACTCAAAAACTTTTACATACGACAAACTTACGAATTCCACCCTCATCGGCTGATAAAAAGCTGTATTTATCGGTAATGAATACGTTGAAGCCTTTTATTCCCTCTTCATTCAATGTTCGGTGATGTTATTAAGCTGGAATTTCATTGACAGTCATATTGATTTTTTCACTCGATTGCGATTTGAGTTTGATTGAATTTCTTTTTTATTTATTTCTGACTTGAATTTCAAAAGAAGAAATCGCGATTTTCTCATTCTTTTCCCCTCAAATCAAATGTCAAAGGTCAAATGATGATGTTGTGTAATATTTTATTGGCTTGATAATAACTTTATTTGATGAAAGTTTTAATAAAATTAAAATGTAAAAGGGTAAACGTAGAAGTCACTTGCATTATCGTGTTGTTTGCTCTAACCATCAATAACTTAATGAAATTCATGACATCAATAATTTTTTTATTATAACAACCACAACAACATCGAATTAGTCAACATGTTATGTTGCATGCTATGTAACTTTATCACATTAAATTGTCTGTTTATTGTTGAATGAACTTCAACGCTTAAAGTTATTGAAATTTGATATTTTACATTTTCTTTTCATTTTTTCAAATGGTCGACTAATTCGATTGTTTGAATTCTATTAAGATCAAATGTTGGTCGCCTTTAATCCTAAACTCTTTCATGAGCGATGTTATGAGCGATGACAACTTAAACTCTTTGAAAATGAAATTATGTGTGTTGTTGGAAGTGAATGATGGCAACCGTCAGGATTATGTTGTTTACGACGTTTAAGTGTTTATAAAATTTCCAACCATGATAAAGTTAGAACGATGGATTGAAAAATTATCATCACTTTCTCGTGCTTCCATCGGTCATAACAATATTAACAACAACAATCGTTGCAAGTTTCTGCTTTCAAACTGTATTTACGTTACACAAAATTTGTTACTTTGAAAAGATTTGAAGTGAAAATCACGCAACCCCAACTAACTATTTCCTTTTCAAGTTGATAACTTTGTTTTTTTTTTTTGCAAAACAAGCAAATAGTTGTTATCAGATCTTATTTTATATGATGGTAAAAAGTTGCAATCTTTTCCCTCAACCATTTGTTTTTACTTAAAACTTAAAAGTTCTTTTGGTTTTCACAAAATTTTCGATCTATTCGGACGGATAGAAAAAAAAAGTTTCATTCCCTTTCGATAGTTTCTTTCCTTAATTTTTCCTTTTTCCTTTTCAAGTTTATAATCGCTTTGGGATTATTGGTGTCTTTAGTTTCTTCAACATTTCCTTTTTGGCTAAGCAAAGAACGATGGAAAACTAGAGAACAAAAAGTTGATTTCATGAACAAAAATGACTTCGGAAAAAGTTTTTTTTTGTTATTCAGATGATACTGAAAAGAGTTGATAAAAGTTGAGTCTATCGAGGGAATTAAACACAATAGTGACAATACAATGTGTGTTTGGTTGTAATCACTAAAGTTTCATCTGCACGCTCTTATCTTAACTGTGCATAAATTCATTCACAGTTTGAAATGAACTACAAGTTTCTCCCCTTTATCCACTACACCCACACACACATCTATACTCACACCCACAAAGTATAACAATACATTATCTAAGATAATAAGGGAAAAGCTCTAGAAAAATTAATTAACAATCAAGAAGAGAAAGTTGGAGAACTGAGAATGTTGCAAAAATGTGGAAATGGCATTCGAAAGGCAATTATCATTTAACTTGATGTGTTTCCATGAAGATTTAGAAACTTACTGCGGGAAAATTTCTCTTCCATCTCCAATTAACCGATGGCTAAAGACTGATGCAAAAGGAAATTTTCTTGTTATTCTTACTTACGACACAAGACGTCATGTTGAGGGATAATAAAATAAAGGAGGAGCAATGAAGATCGATTGTTCGTTTTCCGCATTATGTTGTTTTCCCTTCTCTCATTATGTGTTTTTCCAATCAATGTTCGAACTTCATTTTATCGCTTCAGGTGATGAAGATAACGACGCTTGTGACGATAAAGATGGAATGAAACATTCTTGATTTCATTTTGTAATGTTCCTTATTTTATTTTAACAACTTCAGCTTTAGCCTAAAGTTCTTGGAGTATCTGATTTCATGATCAGCTTAGTTACTAAAGTTTTTAAATCAGAATTTGAAATCTTCAAAATAGGTTTGCTGTTAAAACTTTTTCAACTTTAGATAAGATTTGGGCAGAGCTTAGAAGTTTCTGCCTTCAAATTTCTCCTGTTTTCAAGTCCAGGAAAAGTTTTCTTTGTCTGGAATTTGGGGATGATTAAAATTTGATCTTTCAATCTCGACGTTTTAGTTCATAACTTTTATCCAAATGAATATTGTTGCCTTCATGTTAAGTTAGTAAATATTTATTTGTTCATTAATGTACAACAGAAACGAACAACCGTCTGTAAGTTAAAGGCAGCCTGTAGCGTACAGATCCATTCAGTCATTAATCAGTTTGTTGTTTGGTGGTGGAAATGTGTTTGTAATGACTCTGATTACTCGACAATATTCAAGACTTTCATTTACTTCCAAGATATTCGAAATGAAAAGAGATTTTCCGGGCTTTTCATCAACTGATACTTTTTAATGTTCTTCATCAATTTTAAATTTCTTGAATCAATTTCCATGTTGCATTAAATTAAAATTTAATTAAGTTTCGGAAACATTTCAACAGAAATCTCCTTTCTTATCTTGTTCTACTGCATAATGCCGAAAATTTAAATCATCGAATCAATGTTGAATCTTCTGAGAGCCCATAAATTTTTAATGAATTCCCCATCCAATCACGGCAGTGATGTTATCATCATGGCTGATAATTTATTGACAACTTTGAACATGCTCTTATCATGCAATTTCCATTAGAAACTTTGTCATCACGATTTATTTATCGTCATACAATTGAGTGTAAAATTGCATTTCACTTTTAATTAATTTTGTTATTTCATGTCGTGTACATGTTTAATTCGTCAGAAATTCACATAAGCACTCAAAACTTTCCATACTGTCAGTTCATAGCATGACGAAAAAGTTAAAAGTTTACAACCAAGTCAAGTCGTCCATGTGTGAAAGTTGTAAAGTTCAGTTTCGCTGACATTTTAATTCCGAAACAGTCGAGTATTAAGGAAAAGTTTTCCGCATTATGGATTTTTTCTTAAGTATGTGATCATGATGAGAATACTTTTATTTTTGTTTTTCCAAGCAGTTTCCGGACGAATTAATAGACTTCGAGACTCCCACGGCATAGCAATTCATCTAGTAATTTATGTTGAAACAGCATCGGAAGGATTTGTTTCTGTTATTCAATCATTCACAGCATCGTCCAAATCAGCAAAGCTTTTCAAACGACTCATGAAAGTTGATGAGCTACTAGTGAATGATTTATCAATAAAAATCAATCATGATGATCTTTCTTAACTAATATTTCTTACGACGATAGTAGACTTGATATTATTTTTATCAATTATGCAAGCAACAGCAGATGTTGTCTCACTTTTCATCTAGCTTTTCATTCCAATTTTTATCGCAAGAATTTTCATGCAACGTTTCATGTTTATGGTTCAATTACTCACGATTTATTTGAATGTAATGGTAAAGATTGTCGAGAAATCAATCTGCAATCAACCAATTTTATTGAAGAGTAAAGACACCATTGAATGAAATTGGAGCATAAATTCGAATCACTTGAAGCTTAAAGTGCTTTAGAAAGTGTTCAGAATTTTCTAGGATGCTTCGAATTTGATAAAAGAAAGTTTTCATATTGGATTGATTGTCGGAATGTTTAAGATTGCTTTACATAGACACACGTTTCGTAATGACAAAAGAAACTTTTATTAGTTTTTATCGTCATCGCCTCGACTGGTCTTTTCCACATTCACTATCAGTGTCAGTAGCGTTTCTATAACCAAATTCCCTAATCAATAATCAAATTATTAACGAAGTGATTGACGTTTTTAGGCGGGGCGAGTTGCCTTTCTAATTCATCGCTCCTAACAATGGTGTTCTATCATGAGCATTGGCTGACACGATAGAAAGCTTCTCTCATCAGTTGATGCATCAGAGAATTAACTTCACGACAGGGAAGCTCATCAAATACAATTTCAAAATTCTTTTTATGACGTCAATGAAATTCCTTTTCATATTAAAATTCTTTTTAATTTGGAGATCAGGAATTTCGAACAAGTTCATGTTTTTTGAAAGCTTTCAGAAATAGTTTGTATCGTTACGACATGCAAAGGTCTTTCACTGAAATTGTGTATCGACGTCATGAATTGTTATGCTTTCAAGTCACGTTGGTTACTATGTAGACACATCTACACTAAATGAGGAAACCCAACATTTCGTTTCAACATGTCATTTGCAATGCTTTTTCTTTCTCTCATTGAAAATATTTTCTATTTAAAAATTTATAATAGAAAAAAACGGAAAACTCAGGCGAATAATTAGAAAAACTCTTTCGCCACCATTTTTTTTTTGAAAACTTATTGTTTACTTAGGAAAATATTATCTAGATAAGCAATGTTGTTGAGATTTGCAAGTTTTTAGTTGACCTGAAAGCTTTTCACACGAACAGGGTTTTTGTAAAGATGTTAAAGTCTGCAATGTGTTGTGAAAACAAAGCTTTTTAAACTCACTTCAGCTTCACCAACATAAACATTATCTATTGATCCCCAAACAAAACTCTTTCATCTCAATGACGCATAAATTTTCTTTCTTTTTTTTCATCATTTTTATTCACTTTTTCTTCTGTTTCAATGTTTTTAATCACAACAATTCTTTTTATGTCTAAATGTTTCAAAGTTTTTCATGTATTTTATTTTTGTATATTCAATCTTGATTAGAATTCCTTTTCATTTTTTTTATATTTATATCATCGTGGTTTACATTAGGTTCATTTATTACATTCTGTCTCGTCCCAAAGAGACCAAAAAGTTAATGGAAAGTTTTATTATATATTCATTAAAAGTTTTTTTAATCCATGAGTAATATACAGAAGCACTCAGCTGCGCTATTTTTATCAAGATCAGATCGATTCCACATGCTGATAAATAAAATCATTCACAGATGTAAATTTTTCTTTTAACTTTAAGTTTTTTTCAAGGAGATACATACATAAGCTTTAAGTATTTAAGCAAAGCAATGAAGCTTTGATTTCAAGCGTTTTAATTCATGGAGTGGAATGAAGGAAGAAATGTTTATTTATTTATTTAAGTTAAAAATAAAACGGAAAAACTCGAGGCAATAGATATTTATTAAATTTCTTAACATCGCCTAAAGGAAGTGACGAACATAAAAAGGAATCACGAGTTATGATTCTTCCAAATTGTTCTTCATTCTTTTTATGTTTAAATTTTAATAAATTTTCATTTTGTTTTCTTTCTGAGAAAAGGCACGTAATCTAAAAGAACAGGAATTAGAAGGAGAAGGATCCAATGTTTCATTTGAAGAACTATTAGAATTTTCTTATCATCATTTCCATTTCATTTTTCTTAAGCTAATTTTATTATTCACCACGCCCTATCAACCACCTTGAATTAATGTTTCTTTTGAACATCTTTTCTACCTTTATTTACATATTTCAATTAATTTTCTTTTTTAATTATAAATTTAAGTTTATGAAATATTTTTCATTGGGGTCTTCAAAACCTATTTACGAAAGGAAGAAATGTCTCACATAAAGCTTTTAAAGCTTTCTATCGTCTATCGTAAGACATCTTCATTAAACGATATTGTTTCTTATGATTTATAGAATGATGATTTAATGTTTGTTTTCTTTTATACTCTGGTGGTGGTTCTCGTCCGAAAAAGAGCGAATAAAGATATGAAAGTAGCAACCAAAAAATCAAGTTGAACATAAAAAAGAAACAACATCAACTTGCGGTAAAAAGCTTCTCTTTTTTTTATATTTTCATTTGAAAGCTTTGAATAAATAGCCAAAAAAACTAAAACGACATCCAAGGCAAGAGCAAATAATAACTCACGTTGACATTTCGGACACGAAATTTAAAACAATAAATATTTTGCAACATCGAGAAGTTGGCTAATTTATAATTTGTTGTTTTGCTTTTCCATATTTTCGAATGAAACTCGGATAGTTTACCGTATAAGCGAGCAACTGAAAATTTATGTTTGTATTGTTTTTAAGGCATGTTCCAATATTTTTTCATGACTTTCTATTTATGTTTATTGAGTACATAGACTGTGAGTGGGTGCAAATGAGTTCATTCTCTTTGATTAATGGATTTTCTCCATGTGGATGAGAAACTAGTGTTAGAGTCGCTTTTCAGATTATATTTGTCAGTAATATTTTATTTCTTTTCATGTAACCTCTGAACTTTACCATTCAATAATGTTAATTTCCGACCGTGGTCATTGATTCAACAATTTTTCATATTTACAAATTTTTTTTCCATTAATTTAAGTTTTCTATCTTTAACGATGAATTTTCTGTGATATTTCATTTCGAGAGAAAAGAAAAACAAACAAAAAGTTTTTGTCAATCTTACTTGCTAAGTATTTAAGAATTTAATTCATGAACATTTCTTTTCTTTCTTTTTTCATTAATTAATGATTGTCAACATGTTTAAGGAAATATGTTTTCTTCAAAGTTTTTCTTTTCTTTTATTAAGTGAAACAATTTATTTAACTTTTGATTTTCTTCCTCATTTAAATGTATTTAAATTTTATTAAAGTTCATGCAGAAAGTTGGAAACTTTCATCAAAAAATTTACATCAATTCAAAGTTTGGAGTTCTTGAACTTATCTTAAATTTCTATTTTTATTTCATCTACAACATCAATTCGAAAAGTGCGTTGCATTTCAAAATTTCATTTCCTTTACAAATTTTTATTAAGTTTTTTTTTGATGCAAGGATTCATTCATCAGTCAAGTATGTTGAGGAAGATTTGCAAGAGATTCGAACATTTTTTATATTTTTTAATTTACATTTGATGAGATTCAAATTTAAGTAGTGATGAATACTTAACTTATGAACGATTCCTTGCATCACAATATTGAGAGCTTTTTATCATTTTATCATACATTTAGTGTGAAATAGCTCTCCATACTGCTACAATATTTAATGCTTTTTCCATTGTGTTAATTCCTTCATTTCAAGTTAATCCAAACAGAAGACCATTCAATGGTTTCAATAAAAATTTAAGTCACAAAAGGAAACTCCAGACGACGCATTAAATATATCTTTTAAGCTTTTTCCCACTTCTCACATCATTTACCAAATGATATTGTTGCTTAAAGTAGAGATGGCTTTCATGGGAAAACGTCGAGTTTCTCATCAGATCCAGCTGATAAAACTTATTCTTAAAACACACTCACACACACAGAAAACACTTAGATAAGGAAATAAATTGGAATAATTAAACTCTACAGTTGAGTGCGCATTTCAATTTTAATGGAACGAAAATGATATTGTAAAAGGTTCTTGTCATTCGAATGTTGTAATTAAAATTTGTCGTCTCTAGGTTTCACAATTTAATGTCTGAATTACAATTACATTCCACTCCATTCTGGGAAGTCCTTCCTTTCTTTTTTTCTTCTTTTACAAACAATGAAAGTTTTTTTTGCACCACAAGAATTAAATGTTTAAATTCATTCACACTAATGCTAAGCACTCGAGCATGTGAATATGAATATTTTATGTATTATTTTCATTTGAAAGCAGAAAAACTGAAGAATGAATTCTTTTGTAAACATTTCACTCATCAGTGAAGATCTTTCCTTTCTCTAAGCTCTTCTTTATCCAAATTTTTCTTCATGTTGTTTTTAAGTTACATATATATATATGTATATAAGCATAAACAGGGGTTCATTTTACAGTTACATCTTCATAAATCATTGGAGGAAGCGACATAAACTCTTCCCTTCTCTCTCTCTCTATCTTTCTTATTTAAAAATCAACTTCTGAGAAATATCTTCGCGTGCGCTTGTTAAAAAACATTGAAAGGAATTACAATGAAGAAACATAAATAATTTATTAAAACATAAACAACATTCAAGTGGAATTTAAATTTTCATTTGCCTTGAACCTTCTTTTAGAGATCTGAATTATGTCTAAAGATAAAAATATTTTTTTTCTCTTTTGCTGTTCCATAAACAAATTTCTTTTTGTAAATGAGCTTTTCGATTAAAGCATCAAAATACTAGAAAAGTAGTCAATAAAATAAATAAGAAGCTTTCATGCTGCTTTTCTTTGTGATATGAAAGTTAAGAGGGATGTTTTTTTATTAAATAAATTACATGCGTCAATGGAAAATAATTTCATTAATGAATGAAAAAAAGGTTCGCTTCTCTATGGTACGCCAATGTCTCTGTTAAGTGAACCTACGTCATAAAAATCAATCTTTTATTGTCGTTTGATACGGTGTGGCAAATTTGTAATCAATTCTAATTAAGTGTGCTTTGATATAACTTAGAATTTCATTAAAAGCTTCCTCATTCATCGACTTTCTCGTCTCTTTTTTTCATTGAAATAAATGAACTGAACGAACCCTCCAACAACAGGTTTACGCGAGCGACTTTTCCCCTTTCGTAGAAACACTTTCCTCGCTTCTTGAAAGTGAACAAAGACTTTTCCTTCTTTTACCAATTTTTTTATCGAATATCAATTCCATTAAAATTTGTTAATTCAATGTTAGAAGCGAAAAGTATTGGGAGACGATCATAAATTATGCAAATGTTTTACATTTAAAAAGCTTTCACGATGACGAGAAAAATGAAAATTTAATTACCGAAATATTTTAATTGCTTTCATTAAATTTTATTTCAAATTTTAATTAAGTCATGCTGGAAAATTTCGCGTCATTTACGTACAACTCCCAATACTAAAAAAGATTTTCATTTCCAACAATTTTCTTTTTCAATAAGAGTAAAAGTTTCAAACAACAACAACAACCTTTTTTCTTTTAATGTCTTATGAGTTTTTCTTTCCTTGCACAATTTTCTTTTTTTCTTTTGTTTCTTATTTAAAGGAATTTTCATTTCATTTTTTCATCTTAGGCCATTTAGGAAATTTGTTGTATCGCATTTTATGCAATTGGTTTTTGCGATACAAAAAACATTTTCCGAAACAAAGAATTGTCCATAAAAGAAATCAAAAATCATTTCTTTTTTCATTAAATAGACTTTTAAGTATTTTTCTTATTCTTCTTTTTCCCCATCATCATTATTTTTAATTAAGTTAAGTTTTAAAGCAATTTGTACTCGCTTGAACGTCGTTAAGGTTGCCGCTCGAAGCATCTGTTGATAAACTTATGCTACTGATTGAAGTTGGTGGAATGAGAGCATTGAAGAAGTTCATTGACGATTCCGACGATATGCAAACTTGATTATTGACGTCTTTTTCAAGCATAGATTTAATCTGTATGAAAAAACGAGAAAAGTCAGTGGAAATTTAAATAAATTATAATAATTTCATCTTACTTTCTCTTTTTGATCATTCAAAGTCGTTCGAACTGAATCGTGTTGCTTTTGAAGATCATCGCGTCTTTTCTCATAACTTGCTGTTAATCGCACTCTTTCAGCAACTCCTTTCTCAACCAAAGTCGAATCAACTTCACGTTTCATTCTCTCAAGTTCATCTTTGTCCTTATGAACTAAAGCCAGTTGCTTCACCTCAGACTTCCTAGAATGCTGAAGTTGTCGCATCACTTCGCTTGTTTCTTTTTCCATCAACTTTTTCAATTGCAGCATTTGACGGTCTTGTGATTTTCTTAGAATATCATCAGCCAACGAGAACATCGACTCATAATACTTCTCAAGAGTTTCACGATAAGTCGCAGCATGGTCTCGACAAACATTTGCCAAACGATCATTGGAGTCATCGCTGTTCAACGATGCGCACGGCGGTATTGGAATGTTAACGTCCCTTTTTAATTTCATAAAGAAGAAATAAGAGATAAAATTAAAACTAATTGAACAGAAACGATAAAATGAGTAGGAATGTCGACTGTGTAAATACTTTGATGTTAAAAGAAGAGAAATTAATTACACTTAAGGGGATTTAAACGACTCAACTTACATATTTTTGCTACTCAGTCGCTTCACCAATCGATTGCTTGAAAATATTGACGACTTTTTCCCTTCACTTATCTCATTCTGCATCACTTCGACCTTTTTCTTATCGTGACTCTTCTTTAAACCACGAATCTTCTTCTCCAATGCTTCACGCTTTTCTCTAATCGATTTGTGCTCAAAAATCTTCTCAAGTGTTTCAGCAACAATCTCATCAGCTTCGTTTGATGTGATATCAGGTTGAGTTCGTGGAAGTGTCGCAGCTTTTGTCATTTCAACAGTTGGTTGTTGAATTGGAAGTGGATTACCACCACTAGCAACGTTATTATCGACGAAAGTCTGATCAAATGATGGCTCTGCATTTATCTGATTATTTGTCCCAACACTTGGACGATGCTTAGGGCTACTTGAAGCTGTATCTGACGGTTTAATTTCCTTCTTCAATGTCCCAATGGAGCCTAGACAAAGGACAAGAAAAAAGAATAGAAATTAATCGTCTTGAAAAATGTCGAATGACTCACAATTCCCAGTGCCATCGTCTTCACTTGGCTCCATGTCTTCTTGCAACACTGCTAACTGTTGAGATCTTTTCTCCAGATCGCTTTGATATTTAATTGGATTGGCAAGAGCTTCAGCAAAATCTGAGAGACCATCAGGAACGTAATCTTTAACCACAATGCAAAGGAAAAGCGTTGATAAGGGCACGGGTTGACCGAGCTCGTTACGAAGTGTCAAATGACGATAACCAGGACAAAGACCAATGACAGGCAGTACTCGATGACCGAGAAACTTTCCATTCTCTTCATACGCCGCAACACGAATGCTTGCAAGCTCCGGCAACACAACTTTCTTGAAAACAAAAGGCTCGTCGCCATAAACCGGATTCAAGCTGTTCTCACGTACAATTCTTGTTCGGAATTTCTTTCGAACTGTGTCAGCTGGAAGTCCAAACATATCCACCTCAACATAAGTGCCGACTTTCTTATCAGTTAGAAATTGTGCGGAGAGAACTGTTATGGAAACAGTGCCAGCAATAATGCCGTCAACCTAACAAACACGAATTCAACATCAACTTTGTTTATACTTTGCGCATTGTTAACAAATCTCACCGTGCTTTCCGCAAATGGATCTAATCGACGATCTTTGCGACGCATAAATTCAGGTTTTAAGAGATATCCGCAACGTTGATTATATTCATATATTCCTACATTCAATTGCATTCCCAGATCAAGTGTTTGATAATTCAAAGCAACCAATTGACAACCACAATTCCAGAATAGTTGTGGCATGAAATTCGAGCTGTCAAAGCGATAGCCAGCTGGATAAACCCGAGATAATTGGTGCTTATTATAGTTGACAAATTCTATTGGACGTTCTTTCAAAAGTGCTGTCGCTTGCTTCTCATCAAATGATGACATTTCATAGCATCTTCCTTTTTCTAATTTAAGAAAAGGGAGAAGGAAAAGTTTTTTTATTTTTCTTTTAATCTCTTATCTTCTTCCCAACAATTATTTATAAGTTTCTTGGTCGTTAAAAGTTTTCATTCTTCCTTTAAAATTGTTTTTAAAGAAAATTGAGGGTGTCAGCTGAATAACTTTTTAAACTTCCGTCAAGGAATGTTTGTAAATAAAGTAACAACTCTAGCCAATTATTGATTAGTTTGAACTTACTCTCAGAATTCTCGAAACTACTGAAGTGCACCGGTTGAACATAGTTGACAAGCGCCGAAATTTCAGCACCTGCTTCAGTCTCCTTCGCTTGCTGAACTTTGTCGTTTGGCTCCGGTGGACCAGATGACGTTGCCTGAATCGATTCGTCTTCGCTTGAGCTGTCAGTATCAGATGATCCAGTGCTTTCTTTTGAACTCTGACGTATTTGCTGAAAGTTGACAACAAGAAATTTTCATTCTGTTTGTAATAAAAGCTCACGGGATTTTCACTTCATGAAATTGCTTTCACAACTAAAAGCTTTCACAATAATACGTCACAGAAACATGTAAAGTTTTGTCAACCTTTCAATAAATTTGAAAAGCACACTTGAGACTTTCGTTTCCTTTCCTTTCCGTGCAATCAAAATAAGGAAAACATAAAATAAAAATAAAAACTGGAGATGAATAATCTGTGAATGTTATTTCACTGAAACTGTTTTGTTGTATTCAAAGATTTTTTTTCCCATAAACAAACAAAAAAGAGCGAGAAAAAAAAAGTTTTCAATGTGAAAACATTTCTCATGTTATCGTTCAACCTTAATTTATTGCTTTCACTTTCTTCCCGTTCTCGACCATCGTGGCTATGAGAAAATGCGAAGCACTTTTTTCCTTCTCTTCTCCTTATATTGATAACATTTGGATTTCTTTCATTTCACGGATATAAACTGAAGCGGGGGTGGAAAGGAAAGGAGAAGCCGTGAAAATCCTCAAAAGCTTGCCTCGTTTCATTCTTTAAGAGTGTGAAAAGAAACAAGCCGACTTTGTAATGAACACGATTTATTTGTACTTTGTGTAATTTCATCCTTCACATTTATCCACCCACACACGCATCCATATATTTAAACATATATTAATCATTCTCTTTTATCGTAAACCACACTCACCTGAAGTGGAGGCGCATGTTGTGGAATATCACCATTGCCCGTCTGTTGATGAGAATTGTTACTACCAGTTGCACAATTTTCATCGATTGTGGGCGGCTGTTGCTTATCGGGTTGTGTTGATGCTGTTCAAGCATGTTTTTTGTGTGTTTGTGTGATTTTTTGTACGGTAGCGTAGATGAAGGGGAGAAGAAGGAAAAAAAACGAGAGAAATTGATTTATTACGTCAGTAAGATAAGAAGAATGAGAATTTATTTCACTTTGAACGCGAATATGTGTCTTACTTTAATTTGTTATTATTATTTATTCTTTTCTTGAGAAATACAAAAGATTTATCTAATTACCTTGACTATGGGACGATTTTTTATGGTGATGATGGTGATGATGATGCTTCTTCTTGTTCTTAATTATAATTTTACGCTTCAAAGTTGATGGCGGAGGTAGTTCAACATTAGGTTCAAGTGGAAACGAATCTAGCGGTTGATCTAACAACATATCACCGAATATATCACGGCAATAATTTGCTATTTTAGCCTAAGAGGTGGGAAAGATTAGATAAAGTGATTTGACGGTTTCTTTGAAATTTGTAAGATGATGAAAATAACTTTTGATAGATAATGAAATATTCAAATTTCATTCATTCTTGGTCTCAGCCAAGACATGAGAATGTTAAGAATTTCCCTCCAAACTTCGTTAATTGAAAACTTTAAAATTTCTATCATAAATTTAAAGCAAGATTTTATATCTTTGAAGCAGAACATAAATTTTCTCTTTTCATCATAAATTTTATCGCAAGAAAAGAGATTTCATTAATTGCTTAAAGTTGGACAATAAGACGCTTGTAAAAATAAGGAAATGGAAGAATTCTACCAACTTGAACGTTTCTCTACATCACATAAATAATCATGACAAACATTACTGCAATTATTCTTTTTCAACATAACGACATCAGTCAAATAACATACAAGTTCCATTAGTTAACAGAATTAATTGACGAGCAAGGAAATTCCAAATTAATCTTAGTAAATAAAAGTAATTAAGTAGCGGAATTTATACAAATCCATAACAGTAGGTAAAGAATTGATGTATTCGTCGTGTAAAAAGATTTCCCTCAATTAAACTTCCTAATCAATTTTCCTAAAATATTTTCACTAATCTCTCGAAGAATCTATCCAAAAATAATCCACATGAGACATTCGTGTGTTTATAAGTGTTCCCAGAATGAAAAGCAATCAAAAATAGAAAAAAGCTTTCTTCTATTCCTTCATCACTATATGAACGACTGAAACATAAACACAAAATCTCATTCATTAAATAAAACCTCAATTCTGTAATTACAGCGAGGGTTGTAAACATAAAAAATTCAATATCAATTCTTCATGTAAATAAATAATTAGATTAACGTTTAACGACAGCTTTGAACCTTTTCGAAATAATTTCATGTCAAAGTAAAATTCAGCTGCGTGTGTCACGCAAAGTGGCGAAAATATTTATTATTTGTTTAGACATAACAATCAAACACAATTTCGATGATATTCTGTTTTATTTATTTGAAATGATGAAAATGTTTACCTGTTGCCTCGGATTGCAGTGATTTTCAAAGCTCAATATCACAGGGAATTCGGATGTTTTAAATGCACTTTCTGCAATTGCTTCTAATACGTCTTTAGCGTAAATTTCGGGTACGAATGTGTAACCATGAACGATAACTGGTTCTTCTGTGCGTCCATTCCAAAAGTCCAACTCGACACAGCTGCACAAAAGGGAGAGGAAAAAAATTAAGTAAGTAAAGTTTGTAATCAATTTTCGTTTCCCTCGAGAGCTTCTTAATGAACTCACCGACAGCCAGCCAACAAAGTTTGACGATAAATTTCCACCGAGCTTTTGCCAGTAATTTGGTGTCCAATTAAATATGTATTGTGGGATGAATTAATAAAATAATGTGATAACGGTTGATCCATGTCATCACACAACTCTAATTTGTTACTAGCCATGATCGGATTATCGTCTGACATCAAATATCTATTGAAACAAAGGAAACAACATCTTTAGACCTTAAAATATTTTTCAAGAAGGGAAAACGGATGAAGAGAATCAACATAAAAGATTATCATGTTTCAAGTGTGTTATGCTATGCTTTTGTTGAAGAATTTGTTGTTGTAAACATATCAGTTTGTAAAGTTGAAGCGTTTACTTATTTATTCATGAAGAGTGGGTAAGTGAGATTGCTTTCCCATCCCATCTCATCCATTTTTCTTCCCATATCAAAGCCAATCCTTAACTTAAATGCTCTAAATCTTCATCTCATTAAATTTCATGTTATGTAAGCTTACTCTATGGTATCGTGATAAATTTAAAGCTCAACAAGAAGATTTTCTCTTTTTCTTTTGATGTATCATTATGCAGAAATGCGTTTAATTAAAACGTTTCTCATTCTTAAAGTTATATCACGTACATAAATGTGATTAGAATGAATGATACTCAGAATCATAAATAGAATAAATAAAAGGAAAAAGAAGATATGAAGACACTTCAAAGGAATCAAATTAAATTAACTTCATGGTTTGCTACTTTATTTCATTCATTTCAATTTGTGTAAGCGAGAAAATGTAACGAAAATTAATTTTGTTATCGGAAAAAGTGACGAGAATTTCATTTCATAAATATCTGACTAAAGTGTGAACATAAATAATAAAAATAAATTGCAACGATGTTCAAATGAGAAAGATTGAGAATCTTAATTTACATAAATAAATTGGTTGGAAGAAACGTTGGCAGATGCAATAAGTTAATCGCCTTCAAGCGTCAAATGCATGAAGTTTGAATGAAGCTAACGAAACTTTGAGAAATTTTCATGTTTAATCTGCTTCAAAGTTGTCGTTTGAAATTTTGACATTTAAAGATAAATGACGTGAATCAACTTCAAGGATGCAAATCGCGGAATTTAAATTTTAAAAAAATATTTCCAAGCTCTGCCAAATGTCTGAACTGAAGAAAATGACGTTAGACAGTAAGCTGTATAAAAATTACCGACATTTAACAACTCCAAATTTATGTAAACACATCAATCACATGAACAATGTTTAAGACATTCAGTCACCTTAAAAATCCATCGAAACTGAGTAAACCTTTCTGGGCGTTGAACTTGTTTGGTTCGTATTGTTGAATGAGATCTTTTGCGCGAGCTGGATTCGCATAAGGATGAAGAATTTCATTCAGTCTCGGATCTCGTTGCGTTTTATTCAGAAAATCGACTAGTTGTGCTGTTGACATGATTCGTCTTTTTGATGTGCCAACACTGCAGTAACAATGAGAAATGGAAATGAAATTGAACATATTTGTAAGAATCTTCACTGACTTCTATCATTCTAATGCTTATATTGACTTACATTTCATCAAAAAGCTTCTCAACTTCCGTCCTTGCTGTGAGATTCTTATACAAATTGAAAAAGTCTTCAAACTGAAGCTTTTGAAGTGGAATTGCATCAGTTTTCCCGATTGGAAGTCCCGATACTTCAAGTGCCTTCTCTACACGACGTCTATCGTCCTTATGTGACGCAAATAATTTCATGATGCTGTGACAGATTGTAAAAAATTACATAACATTAGAAATATTTTGTTAGATATTTGAGACAATAAAAAAAATTAAATAAATTATTATTTGGGTCATAAATTTCGATCAATTCTAAAGCTGCAGATGTATCTGACTTCACCGCACTGCATTGTATGATTCCATTTAAAAAATTCATAAAATGCCAGAAGCAAGAGTGAAAAGTGTCGTCGTAATAAACTTTCCACCCCCACAGCAATAATAAGCAAGAATCTAAGTTTTATTGGAAAGAATTTTCCGAATAAGAAATAATAAAAAGATAATTTATGGTCTCGTTGCTTTTCCCCTTTTCTACATCCTTCATTTGCTTTGTTTTGCTACTCACTTTCATCTCTATTTTTATTCTTCAGAATTGCTCGATTATATTACAGATGGCAAGGAATGGAAAAGCACATTGAAAGTTCATTTGAAAGTTCGATTTCTTAAAGTTGTGAATGCTTCAGATAACATGCAAAAAGAAAGTTTTTCTTTAAGATGAACTTTCATGAGACGAAAATTCATATTTTTATCTCATTTCTATTCCCTGACTTGTCGCTTTCATGCCACTTGTTTCCACAGCTTGTATTTGTGTAGCATTCTTCTCTCATATTTTTATTTCAATTTTTTTGTCAGAGTGTGTCTGCTTACGAGCAATAAAATTTTGAGGACAAGCGAGCACTTGATTACAAAATCGATATCTGCTGTTATAAGTATTTACATGTGGAGATGTAAAAAGCAAGCGAGCGGCAACAAAAACAAAAAAAAACCCACAAAAAAAAATTTATAAATCAACTCACTTTTTTACCGGAATCTTTCCAGATTTGTCAACTTGCAAGCTCAATTTGACGTGAGCTTTTTGTAGAAACATCGTCGCAGAGCCATTGAGTTGTGTAAGATTGTAGGCCAACTTCACTAATTCATCGCACCATTGCTGGATAAAAAAGAATTGAAAGAAAAAATTTATAAATAGAAAAAGAAATTAAAAGGAATTTTTTTCTTGAAACTTGTTGAGTTGTTGTGATTACAAATGCGGTATTAATGACACTGTGGTAAAGAAAAGGAAGAAGAAGAAGGAGGGAGGAAAGAATCTAAAGCCCTGGATAATGTAATTTACTAATTTAGCTTCATTAGACGCCGTTTTTTCCCCTCGTGCGATTCGTCTAAGTATAATTGTTTCATGGCCTTTCTCGTTCTCGTCCACCTCAACGAACCAGAGCTTTTATTTACGTGGTGGCTAAAAAAAGAAAATTCACAGCAAACGAACAAGCACAAGAGAAAAAAAGGTGGGAAAAGGTAGAAAGGGCGAGGCTGATATGAACAGCTAAAGTATTTTGTGTCTTTGAGTTTTCGAGGAAAGAAAAGAATGTAATTTAATCAGATCAATCTAAATCTGAATGAAAGATTGACAGAAGGCGCAAATGTTAAAGAACGGAAGTGATTTTAGTTGCTGACGAAGGGAAATCGCAGCCTGCAAATATTTGCGTTGCGTGTCAAAAAGAAATCACAAATCGTGCCTGATAAGCAGCGACCAGCAATTACTTTCGCTTCTTTCTTTTTTTTTCGTCCGCAATCACGCATCGCTTTTGCTTTTCATATTAACTGAAGTCTAAGATTAAATTATACAATTTTATTAACAATTTGACAAATATTCCGGTCATTAATTAAAGATGAAGAAAATGAGAACTCGCTTCGATTCTTAGTAAGCAGGTAATAAAGCTTTGATTCCAATTTCAATCCCAATAATAAATAACAAGATGTTTTCAAGAATACGCTCGCACCAACAACCTTAATTACATATTTATTTCCCTCACTCTCCTTCTATCTTATTTTGAAGCTTATAACAGATATAAACACAGAAAATCAACTGCGTTGAGTATTGAAAAACAAGTTCATCGAGAGCTGATTATGGTTGAGTTGAAGTTGAAACGCGTGGGTGTGAGAGAATCAATATCATGTTGATTTTTTCTTTCTACTTTCTTCTGACGCTCTCTAATTGGGACGAAATTCTAAGTCATTCCTTTCGTCTAAGTGTAAGGAAATAAGGAAAATAAAATGAAAGGAAAAGTTTCTGTTTACAACATTGAAGAGAGTAAAGTGAAATTGGAAAATGATTTATCACTGTTTGCTAGCGCTTTCGCTTTTAATTTTAGAACAGTGTAAAACTTTGCGCCTTTTTAGAAGTGATTTGATTTTCGCCCGCATCCTTTTTTGTCTTTTTTTCTCGTTTTTTAAAACAAAAGCCGAAAACGAAGCCACTCAAGTTTTCCAACTTGTCAAAAAGCTTTCATCTCGAAGTTATTTATCATCAACCGTTCTTCTTCCTTTTTTGTCTCGTCTCGTATGTATCTCAACTCAACTCTAATAAAACTCAATCTTCTGGAAGCCAATGAAAGCGCCTTTTCATCTCATTCTTTAATTTCTCGATTGATTGTTAATTAATTATTTACGACAACATAAAACCAAACTAAACGACGATAAGCATTAGCAATAGAGAGACTTTGTTGTAAAACTTTTAACATATTTACGTTAGTTGAGATCATAACTGGTTAGTTGTAGGCGGTCATAAATGAATTATGAAAGTAATAAATTGAATAATAAACAACAACTCACCTGTGCGATATCTTTTCTCGTACAGCAGAAATTTATGAATGTAACATTTACAAAGTCGGAGCCATAACAAACCGTCACAGTTTTCTCTTCGAGTGTATCTTGAGATCCCATGGTTACGATTTGTCTTAGCTTGAGATCCTGAAAGGAAAATAGCGGAAGTGCGGTTTGTTGAATTTAGGTTTAATCTTTTAAATCTTAATCATTACTTTTCATCTTTTACAATATTGTGGAATTAAATATTTTGCTTTTAAGATGTTTTATAAATTATAAATTTGATATCTCGAAACCATTTCGAATGGTAAATAAATCAGAGATTAGTTAAAGTTCTTTAAATGATTGTGAAAAATGTGGAAACTTTAAACTATGTTTATAATTAAAACACTTTTTACTGTGTGTAGGTGGATGATGTAGATAACATAGCTTTGGATAAACATTTACAAAGTTAAATATTAAAGTGTTAAACATGAGATGGAATTAAATTTCAGTTGTAACTTTCTTTGAATAAATAAAAGTGAGAAACACGAAACATGAAGATGTTTAATTTTAAATGTTGTTGAATTAATTTTTCTTTTATTTCAAACACGATTTTGATAAAGTTTCATGAGTCATGACATGATAATAAAATGTATAACGAGGTGTATTTGTGCATGTATTTCGAGAGATAAGAAACAGAAAGTATCCCAAAGAAACCACTAACATAAATCACAAATTTTCCTACCTTTGGCTTTTTAGCATATTGTCCTGTTCTAACGTCACGAATAGTAGCAATATCAAGTAAATCCATTTCATTATTCTGGTCAAGCCAATAAAGATAAAATCCCTGTTTGTCTACCCTCAAAGTAACGGGCGTTCCCGGGCCGGGATCCTGCAAATAAAAAGTATGGCAAAAATTCCTTTAAACATCATTTATTATTCATGTTTCAACATTGAAATTTATTTATTTTATTCTTATTTTTTTCAAAGAGAAACTTTTCTCTTCTCGTCCTTTTTTTTGAATGTTAAGCTTAAGCATCGAGTTGAAGAACGAGAATAAAACTGGGAGGAATAATCTGCATAAAACGTCATGACTGAGATTTGTTAAAATTCAAGAAAATTAATTTGCTGTCCCAAAAGTTTTCTTTAGAGGAAAAGTTGAAGTTTGAAGCGCATTAGTTACTCTTTTTTATGTTGTGAGAAGAAATTATAAAATTTTCTTTTGTTTGTTTGAAGAAGAGTTGAAAGGATTACGAGATGGAAAATGAAATAAAATATTCAACATTTTCTTTCTTTATTACAGTCATTTCTTCAACTTAAATCATTCGCTTTAATTACAAGTTGAAAGTAATAAGCCGACATTATACTCTATTGAACAACTGTTGACACCATAATTGATCCAGTTATTTGAAATTGACTTCAATTGCTACTGTTAATATCAATCAACTTTCAGCTTTTCCATGTGTGTTATTAAAGTGCTGACATGCAATAACATTCTCCTTTCGCGCTTTGAAAGGCGTGTAATTGCTACAATCGAATAATTTTCTTTAAGACAGACATAATCGACACGAAATGACATGACTTGGAATCAGAAATGTTTATGCTAGGAAAAAATCAAACTTTTAAAAAAACTTTTTCGTTTTTGTTCACTTTGATCAGAAAATATTTTTTTCGCTGTCGTTTTGATTGTAAACAAAAATTTTTTTTTTCTTTGAATGTATCGAAAACCTTTTTTTCAGTTTTTCATCACCGACTTATCAATTTTGTTTCTTTTCATTCTTTTTAAGCTTCTTTTAAAGCGGATTATCGTTTTCTATTTGAATGAATGAATGAAGTTTTGAGATCAATGAATTAAGCCGATAAAGAAAAATGAAACAAGGTAGCAACATTCACAATTCTTAATATATAAATTATTAAAAAAAGTATTGCATTAAGATTTTCCCCGTGAAAAGCTATGATCTCACACATCGTATGAGTAATAAAAACTTTATCTCGGCTTTTCTTCGTTTTTCTTTCTCTCGCACGAAAAATGCTTTTGAAATGTAAAAAATCTCATTCGGTCTAATGAACCTCGATTCAACGTCAACTCGCGAACAGAAAAAGTATAGAAAAAATGTGCTCGTGAGACATAAATTCACATCTAATTCGCCAGATGTTCAAAGGTATTCTCAGCTGAGATTTTTTTTTTGTTCAAACAATTTTCCCATGCAAGTTTCTTTCGTGAAAAAAGATGTATTCAAACAGCTATGCCAACGCAAGCAAATGCTTGTAATTTTTCTTCCCTTGAGTGGCATTTAAGATCACACTTTCAGAAAATTTTGTATCATCTGTCTGTGTCTATTGTGTCTAATCCATCATCTTTGTTATGTTCACAAAACGACGAGAGGAAAAAAAGAAAAAAACATTCCAATAATTTCTGGTTGAAAGAATAATATTGATTTTTCATTTTCTGTGACGCCGCAATTTTTCAACGAAATATTTAAGGGAAAATGAAGAAAACTCAAGGCGAGAAAAATCAAAAGTTTCTTTCATTATTCATTCGTATTCGTATATTTTTTCTTCTTAAAAAGCTGATTCAAAAGCGACCAAAAATAAACGCTGTAAGGCATTTTAAATCGACTAGAAGTAACGCACGTGAGAGATATTTAGATTGTGGGCTTCATTCAAAAGTAAAATGGAAAAAGGCCAGAAAGAAAATTGTTCATTTGTAAAAGGAAAGCAAAGGATTTTATGAATTCGACATGCGTTCGGTAAATGTGTGTTTGAGAAAATAAACATGGAAGAGCACAGATTTATGCTAATTGAGTTTTAAAGGTTTTCTTTTCTATCCAACAAAAACTTCAAGCAAAACTCTATCGTTTGTGATCATGTAAAATGAAGGTTAATTACGTTTACTTCGCTTTCATAATGGAAAAGTTGTGTCTTGTGCTCTTCCATCTATTTATCTATACCTTTAGGTTTATTTATAAATAAGTATGCGTCGGAATGAAATTGGCGAAGGTTGGTTAAATATTGTTGGAAACTTTTCAATAAATATTACTAGGGAGGTAGTTAAATGTTATTGTTGTTGTTTGAATTAGGTCAAATTGATATCGCATGTTGTTGTTGACTGAACATGTTGAAACCTGACAACTTTATGATTATGCTTTGATATTAAAAGCATAAAAGCAGGAAGGGGAATTAAACAATTTTTAAGTATCAAAACTTTCAACTTCACACTGTTTTATTTTAATTAGGTATAATCTTATAAATTCACAGCTTTTAATTTCATTTCAATTATTAATGCAAAGTTCAAAGTTCGAATATTTTTACGCTCATTATTCGAAAATGAGAATATCGAAAATTTTCGAAGTTCTTCGAAGCTTTCAAAAGCTTTCAATGACAATTCCAAACCCTGCATAAAATGTTTTAATTAAATTGTATTAGATAATTTATGTTGTTACAATAATTATATCGACAATTTCAACGTTAAAAACAATATCTACTTGTATACAAGTTTGAAATTTAATTAAATTGTTATGAATGAAGCTTAAATAGAATGACAAAATTAAAAACTAGAAACTTAACCGAAGCTTGAAATTTTCAATAATGACATCACCTAATTTTTCAAAACTTGATTAAGAAAGCAATTATTAATACTAGAAATAAAACGAAATTATGAACATTCTAAAAGCTTTCCTCTTATTAATACCATGAATTGCTTCTTGAAATTTTGAAAGCATTCCGTGGACTTAAGCACTCATAAAGTTCTTAGGATTTTCAATTGGTTCGCTTTTTATCCACTTTAATCAACGCTTACTAACATAAATCATAAAAAAAGTTGATTATAAAACATCGCATATAATTTACTGGCAAATATTAACGTTGGTTTTACTTTGATACGTTCATAGACGAATCAAAACGTTCTCGGTTTTAATTATGTACAACGAAAAAGCATAAAATGCAATCTCGAGATTATAACGAGGGTTTAATCATGCAATATTTCTAGTGAAGTGAGTTCAAAAGGTTCTCTCATTTTTAAGCATTGCTGCGTCACTTCAAACATATTTTCTTTAAGCTTCTAATGTGAATGTAAATAAGTTGGTATTTATCTCTTCAAGGGCTTTTATAATGACTCCCATTGTGTTATCATCTTTATTCTTGCAATTTTGTTTGCACAATATTAACATTGATGTTCATTTTATTTTTCTTCTTCCTCTGTTTCCTCTTCGCATGAAAATAAAAACCGAAAATGTTGTGTTGTAAGGAGGAAAAAGAAATTTTGTTTTCTTCATTGAGAAATGCCTCGAGAGCTAAAGTCAGGCCAGCCTATTACAAGCTTTCCTTTTTCTTTTTCATTCTTTTTTTGATAAGATGAGAAGAAGAAAGGAAAGTGAAGAAGAAAATTGCAGAGATGAATGAAGTGAACTTACCTCATCCCATTTAATGAACTTTTCTCCTTCCTGAAGTGCTTTTGAGACTTCTACAGCACCAGCTCGCACAGCTACGGAAGAAGCTGCTGCTGTGTTACGAGGACTTTGCTGATTCGATTTGGGCGTGTTATCAGGTAGTGTCGATGTCAAAGCAGCTGCTGTTGCTGTTGTCAATGCTGATGCTGCCATGTTGTTCTCGTCGTTATTTATTTTACAGCTTTGGATGAAGTTTTTAATTTAAAATTTTCTTTTTTATCATTTTACGTTGAACGAAAGTATCGTTTTATCATTCACGAGATGAAGAAAGAAACGATCTTGGTGGTGAATGAAGGAGAGTTACACAAAAAAGATATTGCACATTTACGAGCAAAAGTAGCTCATTAAATTCAAAACAAAATAAAAAAGAAATTTAATTAATTCTTTCTCTCAGTTTCTTCTTTTTTTTTGTTGTAGTCAAACGACGGTCATAAAATCTCACAAATGGCCGCGGATTTCCCTCATGATTTCAAATATTTCGCACGGATGACGATGGCGAGCAGGAATTAAAAAGAAAAAACGAATCGCTGAAAATAGAATAATAAATAAATAAATTAATTACACTAGCCAGATGATTGAAACATGTTTAACGTGATAAAACGTGATGATGATGATAGTGAAATAAATAAAAGAAATTCAATTAACTCGCAATCAACGTGGGACAAACAAACACACACACAAATTCCATTTTTAATTTCAATAAAAAATCTCGTTTAAACTCAGACTTTGTGTTTATCTGATCATTAATTGCAAATTGCAATCCACAACACTTCTCATTGCGAATCATTTTAAATGTAACTTTCATTCAATGTTGGGAATTCAGCAAAGTAATAAATACATAATTGATGACGAAATAATGTTTAACACTTGACTTAACTTACTGGTTTTGAAATGTCTCCCAGTTTTCTACTGTCGTCTGTTTGATTTTATTTAAACATGAATGAATGGAAGGTATGGAGTGTTAGTTATTCTGTTCCTTCAATATTTATACAACAGCTATTTGATATGTTCCATCATTAATTTGATGAAATATTTTCTTTTGTAATTTTTACAAAATTCAAACTGCCAAGTATTCTTCTTATGTTAAACAAACAAATTTTAATAATAATTAGAAAACATAGAATTTGATTATGCGCCACATTTCAACGCCAAGTTTCCCTGCTAATGAAAACTTTTCAGGGAGAACTCGCAAATCTACAATTGCATCGGTCTTAATCCTTCATTTGAATTGAACTCACTACAAAATGCAACAAATTGCTGATGCAAATCACTATTTTCAACTACATACACGAAACCTCAAAGCGTTTTGTTGTGCTCAAGCGGCTCATCATGAAATTATAATTAAACTTTGAAATAGCGTTCATGTTGTTTGAAGCGCGTTTCAAAATATTCATTTAATTTTTAAAAAAAGGTTTTTGCCTCGAGCTATAAGTGTAAATATATTGGCAGAAATATTTGTCTTCTCTCCCAATAAATTTGATCGAAAGTTCGATACAGAAGGCAGGCAACGTGATAAAGCATTTCTTTTTGTTTGTTGATAGGCTATTGATAGGCGTTCATGTCATTCACAAATCTTTTCTATCGAAAACGATAACGGAAGAAAATTTTTGGTCAATACACTTTTTGGGTGAAATATTGAAATTACGTGCCTCGTGAGAATCTTTTTCACCCTTTTTTTTAATCGTGACCCTAGCAAAGAATAGTATCGAGGAAGGAAGATAGAATAGTTTAGACAATTAATTAAATTCTCTTTTTCTGACAGAAATGGGATCGAAAATGTGTAAGAATTCCACCTAACAATGGAAGAAGGAAAGCTCCTATCAAATTATTTTCTTTCTATTAATTTTCTTCTTTGTTTTTCTTGTCCAGAATGTTTTTTATTAGATTACAAGAACACAAACAACTCTGAAGTGTTTTTTGTGTAAATTGCCAAGATGGAACTGCTTCAAGTTTTAAATTGACTTTGTCATACTGAATATTTTATCAGTCGTTTAAGGTGAATGAAGCTCATTTATTGAAACCGATCTGCTTTCTTGCAATATTTCAATAAGAAAAAAAGGAACATTTCGGCTTTTCAGAGTCAGTAAAGCTGACATTGTAGATTACACTAAATTTTGTTTACATATTCCGCATCGTCATTCTTTGATGTTGTCATAACATGACTTGATGCGACTAAGCAATGACATTCGTGACTCATCAAGACATCATTCTTCATTTGAAAGCGAGAGCATCACGCAACTGATGAATAAGTACATATCATGATGGAAGTTGATGGTGATTGAGGATATGAATTAACACAAAATTCATGCCAGCTAAATTAAAATTTTCATCTTTCTACCTTTTTGTACAGCCTCAATTTAGTGAAATATTTTTTTTTACTGAAAGCATTCTATTTTTTGATGTGAAAAGTATGTTTTATTAAATGCTTTATGAGTTGATGTAACTTTATTTATTCTAACTTAGGAAAGGTAAATTTTCCACTGAAAACTCAACTCAATTTAAAAAAAAGTTGTTTGGAAAACTTAAAAAGAACTCAAAGTGGAAATTTCAAATCATTTTTAAAACCATGAACTATCAGTAAAAGCTAAAAGTGTTCAACAATCAAACACCAACCTCCAGTGAACATTTTTTACACCCCCAAACACATACGTAACAACAAGCAACACAAAATATTTTCAATTTCAATCATTTCGCTGATGCACGCTTCAAATATTTGTTCAATTTCCATCATAAAAAAGAGAACCATGCATTGAATATTTCATTCAAATGAGCTTTTTCTTCCACTTCACTTTTTACGAGTTTACCTGAAAGCAACAAGGAGACTTTCATACGTTGAAAAAAAGGATGAAAAACATCTAATGAAATTTTTTTTAAAATTTCACGTTTCATAACATTTTTTGGCATTCAAAGCATGAGTTTTTGTTTTCTTCTTTCATTTTCACGATGAATCATTCAATATTGAGCATACAACAGACATGAATTTTGCATTGGAAAAGTTCGTGAAAGGAATTTCTCAATTTATTTCCTCACTGAATCTTCAAAAGTGTTTAATGAAAGCAATAAGAAGTACATATTTTCAGATCTTTGAAGACAATTTCCTTGAACATTTCCTTTTGTCTTCTTCAAGATCAACATGAAAACATTTCTCTCGAAATGTGAAAACTTTTTTCCCTTTTCTGTCACCATCAATTTTAAATCAAAGGAATTTTAGTGCACGAATGAATGCTCTGGTTGTCTTCTATTTCATTTTGTGCCTTCAAAAACGTGTCAAAGGAAATTCAAGTAGTCACACAATAACGATAGAAGAGTGTCAGAAACTGCAATCGTACGATATGTTGAAGCATGAGACTTGTTTGTGTGATTTCATGACGAATAATGAAAACTTTATTTTCTTACTGACAATGAAAGAGAATGTAACATCATCCTTTTTGCTTATTTACGACTAACGAATGATGTAGATAACTTTCAGTAATCACTCCCACCCGCATTCTTATTTTAAAAGAAGAAAACTAATCATGTTAACCGCCTTGAGAGTCTCATCTGGTTTTCATCGCTTGATCACAACTTGTAAGCTTTAAATTCGAAGAATTCGAAGAAAAAAAATTAAATAACAAAAGTTCTGTTAACGGTTTGTTTAAAACTTGTACGCCACAGAATAGAAATTTAATTTAAACAAACGGAAGAAGAAAAGTAAAAAAAAAGCATTGTGCTAGACGATTTGTGTCCCGGAATTCGACAAAGTTTTTTGGTTGAATAAATAGAAAGTAAAAAAAAAAGAATGAAAAACCCTTTTCCTGATCGATAAATTTTCAACACAAGAAGGAAATAAAAATAATGCTTGAAACGCCAAACGAATAGGAGAAGAAAAAAAATTGATTAATTCGAAAAGGTGCTTGATAAAAATTGAAAATGCCTTATTGCGGTAAAACCGTTTCTGTTTTTTATTGATCCGATTTAGTGGCGTTAGCCTTCAGTGCAGGAAAATCGTAAAATAACGTAACACCAATTGACGTAAGCTGCGTGTTGTCATGATAAATTTAAATATGCTTTAAGATTTATTATGAACTTTAGTCATTAATAATTTCACGATGAAGAAACAAGCGACAGTGTATGTATAATGATTTGACATATCAAGAGAAGTCTCAATAAAAATAAAAAGGTAAAAACGTATTCAATGTTACTAAGGTTGGTGTAATTGAGCCTAGCAAACGATTCTCATTTTCTTCTCTTTCATCCTTGTAGTAAAATGTTAAAATCAAAGAACTTTTGAAACTTTCGTTCGTCCGGAATTCGAGACGGGGAGTCGCAAAAAGGAAGAAATTGAATTAAAACTTAATGACTTTCGCTTCTTGCTTTACGCTTATTCGACAATTGTTGCGACAACGCTAAGTGAAAAACATAATGAAATTCAGCGCAATCTTTTTTCACGGCAGGGATTTTTATTTTTGAAGAGAGCTTTTCAAGGGGATTTTCAAAGAGATTTCGATTTCAGAGAAATTTTTTTAATTTTCTTATGAGTTGTGTCAACATTGAGAGGTCAAAAATGATTACAGTCTCTGAGAAAAGATTTTCCCCAAGGCATCGTTTGTAAACATTAAATGTTTTTAGAGCTTATAAAATTATTAAAAATTCAGAATCGTAAACATTTAACTGTAAATGAGTTTTTTGTAATAACCTGATTTATTTGAAAACGTGTCTTATCTTGTTTATTTTGACATTTCATAAATAAATCTAGCGTAACCACCTACAACCTTCATCACCGCACTTCTTCTTAAACTCCACTAAAAATATTATGATTACAGCTTTTAATTACTCGATTAACGTTTCATTGCTCATATGATGATGAGATTTGATGATCGCTTTTCTATAAACCTATAAACATTTTTCATACGTTCCCTCAATAAACCTTTAAACGACGAACGTTTATTTACGTATTTTAAGAATCAGCAAATGACCAATTTAGATGCTGACGTCGTTGAAAATTATCACCTTATTTAATTCACATCCAACCACAGACAAAAACTTGATTTGTTTGTTACACACAATTTGCAATAGATATAAATGTAGCAGCATTTGCATGCTGTTGGTCACGGACGTTGATAGCAAATTTTGGAAAATTAATTTTATAAAATTATTTGGTCTAAATAAATGACAGTTTAATTGATAAGAATATCAGACAAAAAACCCTGAGATGTGAGCAAGTTTTTGCTATTTGTATGAGTTTAAAATTCAATTTTTAATTGATTCTCAACAGCGTGACAAAAGCAACTTCAAATATTTTTTTTCTTATTGATTTTCAAGATACAAGCGTCAACTCAGATCAGATCATACACCGTACCACGCACACAAACTCGATTAAATAATTCTCAAGGTCAAGGATGATAATTACCTCAATTTTCTAAGTTCTGTTTCCAATTTTTCAAACTCCAATAACAACAATGAAAATATGAAATTCCTCCACTTGCAATAAAAACAAATTTTATTGCCAACTTGCGCTTCAAAAAAAATAATTTTTTTACACACTCAGCAAATAGGTTACATAAATATTTCTTCTCGCGGAATTCGATTCGTTTTTATTATTTCTTCTTGCTGATGTTGTGTTTTTTTTATTCACTTATTTTGCGCAACAAACATGAGACATTGTCAACGAGTGAGAAGTGATACCGCGAAATGATTTTGCTTTTTAATATCAGCACTGGAAATGCTTGAGAAGATTCTCTTTAATACAATATTCCTTAAGATGAATAAAGTGAGATTTCTGAATAATTAATTTATTTCTTTTACCATCGAGAGACTTTTTCACATCATCTTCACTTTACTCCCTTTATACGATACTTTTTTCTACTTTATTACACACTGATTCTGCATCATCTAAAGGAATAATCTGCTATCACTTTCAGCTTTAATTTTTTTTTCTTCCTCTTCTTAAGATTTCTGATAAGATTTTTTTTCCGAGTTTTTTTTTCTCTGTTAAATTAAATTCATCGACTTTACATTAATCGGAGACGATTTCGAGTAGTTTTTATTCTTGCACAGCAATGACACAGCGAATTATTCGCAGTTCTTTCAATTCCATTTCACAATTACCATGTTAATAACTTTTTTTTCCTCTGCATAAACTCGAGAAAAAATAGAACGAATGTTATCACTCGATGACAGAATGGAAAATGATGAGAAAAACGAATTGACTTGAGATTACTTCTTGTTGCTAAAATGTTCGAAACTGGAAATGTTGGATGTTCGAAAAATTAAATCGCGAGAGAGGATTTTTCGAAAGAGAAATTAGCATTAAGCAACTTAAGCATTTTTTATTCGAAATTGTGGAAAAGTCCGAAAACATTAAAAATTTCAAATAAGGTAAGATGAATTTATTTAAAGATACATAAATATTTATAAATTTGTTCTATTTCTGACCAAAACCTTGCAGGGAACACAACATCGTTTCATTGCTATTAATGTTTGTAATCGAGTAACAAATTGATAAAGAAAAAAGCAAAAAACAACAAAAGGAGGAAAAGAATCGTCAACTTAGAAAGTTTATTACAAATTTTTCATGTTCTTTTGGTCATGATTCAATATTGCAATGGCCATGATCGTCTACAAATGAGTGAAAAGTATAGCAAAACGAATTAAAAAGGTTTTAAAGGTTTTTCTTTAAACACCATTCGTTGTTGTTGTTTAATTATTGATTTTCTCTTCAATATATAAAAATAAACTGCAAACATTTTATCCTCTAACAATCACAAAGGACAACTTTAAAGGAATATCTTCAAAAATGAGCAATAAACCCGAAACTGTAACAAATCATCTGACGGATGCTCACACATCAAATGCATCACAAATTTCAGACAGGATCATTTTTCCTGAGGAAGTACAGACAATTAAAGCAAAAAATCCTAAAGTGGATTTTAACAAAGCTGAACTATTGAAGTTGTTGTGCTATATGGAAGGCGAACTGCAAGCTCGCGATGTTGTTATTGCCGTTTTAAAATCTGAAAAAGTTAAAAACTTGGTGAATGTTGCTGCTTATGGTGCGCCTATTGATTCCAAATTAAAGTTGAACGATCCTCATGCAGCTCTGTTTCGTGATAGTATTGCGCTAACTGGTAATCTTGCTAGTCGTACAAGTGCTGCCATAGCTGCTCAGTCAGAACTTGATGCAAGGGAATTTTGTGAGCAACAATTGTTGGTGTTAAGTCAAAAGGTCGACCAACAACGTCAAACTCATGCAAAAGTTGTGAATTTACTTAAATCAACGCGAGACCGTCATTTGCAGTTAATGCAAGAACTTGACACTGAACGGAAGAAGAATGAAGAGCCACAAACGCCAAGGTCAGCCACATGCGAAAAGTCTCGCCTTCAAGACAAAATATTGGAAGCTGAAACAGCAAGAGACCAATTAGTGAAAGATGTCAAGAAGCTAAGAGAAACTTTAGAAGCGGAACGTGTTGAACACAAAGAAATTGTGTTTTATCTGTTGGAAGAGCGTAAAAAAATTAACATAATACGAAATGAAGAGCGGAAGCGTAGCGAAGATTTGGCTCAAATATTATCTGAGGAAAAGCAACGTGTCGACACAATAGCTGATGGACTTGAAGAAGAGACAAAGAAATCGCTAAGATTGGAAGCTGAAATGGAGAAACAGTCATTGATTCATGAACAAGAAAAGAAATTAATGCTAAGAAATTTGGCTACAGAAGAGAAGAAAATCAAAGATCTTGAAGCAGAAGTAAATCGTCTTCGAATGGAAAACGAAGCACTTAAAAAGTCCACAATGGGGTCGGGAGGTAATCCGATGATGAGCAATGTTTCTAAAATCATTCAACCAACAGCAACGGTGTCTAGTGTGCCAGTGTCGGGACCAACGACCGGAATTGCAAGGTCAATATCGCCTGGACAAGTTCTTAGGCACGACAGTTCAAGTTCAATGACAAGTGGAACAAATGTCGCAACAATCATTCGAGCTCATAGCGTTCAACAATCATCGAGTCAAGGACCTCAACCACCATTGAAGAAAGGACAATTTACAGGTGCAAACTCAGTTCGTGCTCCTCCTCCAATTCCACCTAATAAACCAATAATCAACAAAGGCAATGCTACAACAGCAACCACAAGCTCTTCACGAATTTCCTTCCTCCAGTCACAGACAGTTTCCGGTATAGCCAGTGCTGCACAAGCCATCGCTGCTCAAAATGCAAAATCTAGCGATGAGTAAGAAAAAACTTTGACCATAAAATAAATAAATATATTGGAACACAGTCAAATGCAACTTGTAAGAAAATGTGAGTTTTAAAATGATTTCAATAATTAGTGGAATTATGAACTTAATTTATATTTTAGGATGATTGATTAAAAATACTCTGTAGACAACAAAAAAATATTCTTCAACTTTGACAGTTGATAACTTTTTATTTCCTTTACTTTGGAGAGCCAATGTGACATCAAAAGTTTCACAATCTACTTCAGAAGAGCTCATAGTGTTCAACAATCGACGAGTCAAGGACCTGAACTGCAATTTAAGAAAGGAAATTTACAGGTGCAAACTCAGTCTGTGCTCCTCCTCCTGCTCCTCCTAATAAACATCATCAACAAAGGCAATTCTACAACAGCAACCACAAATGCGACCATAAAATAAATACAGCTAATAAATTATATGCAAACACAGTCAAAAGCAACTTGTAAGAAAATATTAATTTTTAAATGATTCTCGTAATTAGTGAAACGACGAACTTAATTTATGTTTTAGGATGAAAGAGCTTTTATACTCCGTAGACATTGAAAGTTTCCCAATTTTAATCAAATTATGAATCATTAGCTTCATCAATGTGCTCACAATCATTAAAATAATCAATATGCATTTAACCCGTGGACAATTGAATTGTTAAATCAGAGCATGCTGATTAAATTAAATTTTTTTTAAATTCAACAACGGAATGGATCCTGAAAAGCTGAAGTTAATTTTTGCATTTTACAGATTAGGGAAATATTTAAAAAAACCAAAAAGAAAAAAGTTGCTGGAAGCGAAAAAAACAAAATATCGGAAAAAAAGTTCATTTTAAAATAAGAGATTTAATAAGTTGTAGCAATACAGTTGAAAACTTCACCATCCCTGAAAGTTTTTTAAAGAAAACTTAATTTGAAAAAAAGTTGTAAGAAATTGTCCACGGAGAAAAAAGTTCACGGAGTATAAAAGCTCTAATGATTATATTTTGTAATTTTTTTAATGTAAATTAGTTAAATTATTTTACTTAAAAAATATATATAAATTCATGAAAGTTAACTTACACATGGAAAACTTCTCAATTTCATAAACTCAACATGCTTTCCGAATCAAGTAAGTCTGTTATTAGTCTGCACATGTTACGACTTTTAATATTTCTTCATTCACCATAAATAAAGTTATCCAAACAATCATCTTCAAGTTCTCAGGAGAACAGAAGATTCAAATAAAGAACCCGAAGCTTGAACGTCTGGTTGGTAATCTGTCGAAATTATTCTCAAGAGACGATTACTATCATAAGTAGTTGAATGTTTAGCTGCAAACAAGGTGAAAGGGAGATTTCGGAGCTGAATGTTTATGTGTTATAAAACCCATCCTAGATAAATAAAAAATTCTCTTTCTAATTCAGCTTAAAACACCCAAGCAGTAAAGCTGAAAACGTTGAAATAAACCACTTATCCGAATGTAGGTTTCTGTACACTTGAATAATTTATTGACTAGTTTTTCATCATCACAAGAGGTAACAGGTGTCGAGAAGACTTCCCAACCATTTCATTCATGAAGTTTTCAATTATTTAAGACGCATTTGTTTACGTGTCCATTAATCCTGAGTCATTATTGTAAAATTGTATGAATTTATTTACCATATGAAGTCATTTAAGAGTTTACCTCATGGAAACCTTTCTGACGATCTTGTGTACCAATTGAGTGATTGAAAACAAAAATCTCTCAAGAGAAAAAGGCTGAAGCAAGGCACACAACTGTCGGTCGGTAGTAAAAGGCAATTTTTCAAATTGAGTCGCATCCAATACTCTTTTACATGTAAATATTCATACCCAACATAAATTCATCATCTTTTTGATGTCAACTGAATGTCTTTCATATGAAATTTGAAAAATGAAACTCTTAGTTGGATGGGATTGTTTACATCGTTCATACATCATCAATATACCTGAATTTCTAAAGAAAATGAAATTTTCAAATTTCCTTTTTGTGTCTTGTGTTTATTAAATTTCCTTGTCTCTTGAAAGAAAACTTGTAAACTAATTTATTTTCAATATTGCAGTTGAAACTTTGCCATTGCATGTCATTTAATAACTTTCATAGTTTAATAACAATTAAATGAAAATCAGTAAAGCATACACAAGAATTCAACTGGAAAGTAATTGAAGAATGAAATTGAATCTTTTACTAAGCAAACATCTCGAACGACACAGAGAGAAGAAAGTTACGAAACTTGAAATTGCATTTAATGAACAATGAGAAAAGAATTTTCAATCTCAATGACCGGAAAACCTTCCATTCCTTTTATTTATTTTCTCAGCTTATATCTTTTAAGTGTACAAGAAATTTTAGTCTTCTAGACTTGAAAGAAGACAAAAAACACATAACAAAACTCAATTTTTCTGTTACAGTGAGTAAGCTAAGGATCTATTAATATTAATTGGAGTTTTCGTTTGTTGCAATGCGAATTATTCTTCATGCAGTGGAATCTCGATAAAAGAAACTCAAAGAGACCAGTAAAGAGCGAATATTGATTAAAGAACAAATTTATAAATCGAAACATCTCTTATCGAGGTTCCTTTGCAGTTTTTTTAGTGACCCAGTGCGAAAAAAGATTAAAAAAAAAATGCTTGAAAATTCTAGGAAAATAAAAAGAAGTTAATTAAGAAAATTAATCAAGACCATCGTCAAAATGTTGCTTTGGTTTTGATTCGGGTTTGGGCGGTTCTTCGGGTGCTCCTGGGAAACCACCTGCACCTGGGAATCCACCAGCTCCAGGGAATCCTAAAGAAAATATTTTAAAATTTTAAAAGCTTATTTAATTTCATTTTTTACCTGGAAAACCTCCCATACCACCAGCTCCCATACCAGGGAAGCCACCACCAGCTCCCATTCCAGGGAAGCCACCACCACCAGCTCCCATTCCAGGGAAACCTCCACCTCCTGCAGCTCCAGCAAATTTCTTGAGCAGATTCATGACTTTTGGATTATTTTGATATCTGTTTGAATAAAAATGATTAAATTTCAGTTCGTCTTCATGAGTTTCACTCTAAAACTTACTTCATAATATTTGCTGGATTGGTCATAACATCTTGAAGTGCAGCTGCAACTTCTGGATCACTGAAAGCTTCCATAAAATCGGGTGGAAGTCCGCCCATGCCAAAGTCACCGCCTTCTTCTTCAGCATGTTTCTTATTTTCTTCAGCAGCTCGTTTGTTAGCTTCTTGAGCCTTTCTTACTCGCTCCTTTCGTTCTTGTAATTCCTTTTCAGCTTTTTTTCTCTCTTGTTTGATTTTATGTTGTTCAATTTTCTTAGCGTTTGGTGTCACTTCCTTCAACCATTCATCAGCTTCGTCATCATAATCCAACTTGCATGCTTGTCTCAAATCTTTTGCTGCTGCTTCCCAATTACCGAGCAAACGATTAGCACGACCACGGAATTTGAAAGCCGATGCTGAATCTGGATTCAATTTCAAAGCTCGATCACAATCACGGATGGCGGCGTTGGGTTTCGATAACTTCAAAAATGCTTGACCTCGTTTCGCGTAGAACAATGCAGTTGGATTGAGCATGATGGCTTCAGTGTAACAGTTCACGGCGCCTGTTTTTGAAAAAATTTATTAATAAATTGTTGACTCGAAAGTCACTCAAATACCTTCAAAATCTCCATCTGAATAAGCTTTAGCTGCCTTGCCTCGAAGTTCACTTGCTTGATCAATCTGCTCTTCTGTAGCTTCCTTAGCATCATCACCCATCTCTTGATTCTCATCATTATCAGGAGCAATGACAGTGTCCAACAAATCCAATTCGATATCACTTTCTGGTTCTGACTCCTCTTTTGGTTCTTCTGGTGCTGATGGTGGAGGTGTGAATGTCTGCTCAGCTTTAGCTTCAGCTTTGGCACTAGAATAAGATGTTAATTATGTAATAAAAAGTGGGAGGATTCCTCTTAATTATCTTTGAAAATTAATTGCATGAAACTTTAGAAATTCCAATTTATTTAATTATGAAGTTTTTAACATAATCTTTTTTTTATCCACAAAGAAAGAATAGGATGACAAGAAAAACCACAAAACTAACCTTGCAAATTGAAAGTCTCCTTCAGGAACTTTTCCACCCAACTGCTCGACGAATTTCTTGAAGAACTCAAGTTGAGGCATGTTCAGGATTTGAGGTTGAGCAGATGCAAATTGAATGAACATCTTTAGTTTCGCAATCTCTTCGGGATTGATTGGACAAGCCATGACTGATTATGAATTTCTAAAGGAATAATTAACATTAATGATAATTTATTTGTTTTCAATGTTTGTCATTACATTTCGGATATTTTAGAAGCGGACAACTGTTTTTCTATTTGAAGCACTTACGAATGCTTACTTTAAATAATTATAAAGTTTTCTTTGATTCTTTCTTTGAACGATTTCAACAAAATAAGTTTAAATGTTTTGATCTGTTATCTCGAACTTTCGGCAAACTGGAATTTCGAACATTTCTACACGGAGAGAACTTGTTTTCGAAAATGAATTTAAATGTGAAAAAATAATTCAGGTGAATTAGATTATTGTTTTGTTTTAATTTGAAACATTTAATAAATAAATGAATGGAATTTTAAGCAAATAATTATCAAAAAATTGCTAACATCAAATTGTGCATTCGTTTGTTATTCTTCCATTCAAGCTTCGAGTTTCTCTCAAAGTTTCTCCCATTCTCTCATAATTTGATGAGAGAAAATCTCTGACATTTTCCTAATCTTTTTTCTCAAGCATTTCCTCGGATTTTTATGCTACAAAAAAATGAAAAAAAATTTTGTTCAATAAAACTTTACTATGATGTTGTTAACATATATGTAGATACGTATTTAGTGATATTATCTTTCATATAAATGTTCTAAACAAAATTTGACACAAAAGTTTACAACCTTTGACATCATTGGAGTAGTTTTTGGACGATATTTGTTGAATATTGAAGGATGTAGATAAGCAACTTGTTTGCTTTAAAGGATATATTAAGAAAACCGATACTTTAAAATGATCTCTTTCGATCAGGAAGTTCATGTCGTAATATTCATTAAATGGGAAACGAAAAGATAAACATTCTTGAAACTTTCACAACATGAACAGAAAATGGCAATTTGATTTCATTGTTCTGTAAATATTCATATTGTCGTGAACAAATGAATGTAAATATTATTGAAAGGATTTCAGATCCACAATTCCATCATTGCTTTCCGATTCTCTTATTCAATTTACAAATCCTATCATGAAAAGTATTTTGTTTATTTTATCACGGAAATGCAACTTTCAGACGACAAAAAACTTGATATTTATTTCCATTCCTATTTCCTACCTGGCATGATAATCTACCCGATAAATAAAATAAATCGCTTGAAACGCTGCATTAAAATTCAATTTATTTGTTACAATACTTTCAAAGTATAACAATGTAACTTAAACAAATTGTCACAAAGAAAAGCTTTAATCGATCAACATGACAACGCAAACAAGAATACATAAGAATTCTATATGAGCTTACATATTTATGTATCTTGTGGCATGAATGATTAAGAATAAATGTTAGGTATTAATGTCACTTCTCTTAGGCTATGATTATCTAGAACAAATATAGGCATTTTCATCAGAAAGCAAATAAAATTCTTTTACCCACTGCTCTATAAGTAATAAATAAAGAATTGCGAACATTCATCATCACAAGAACTAAATTTTCTAATAATTTTAGCTCATATAAAACATTGCAGCAATATTCTATGAATTATTGATTATTTCTTTTAAGATGTCTTCACATTCTTCTACGCAATTGGTTATTCTTTGGATAAGAAAAATCTCTAATGTCATTTCCCTTAATGGATGTCTTAAGTTAGAAATAAGGAAATAAAAATTTCTGCTGCTTTTACATCACAATTGAAACATCAATTGAATTAGCTTTAAATTGAACAATAAAATGACTCTTGAGGAAAGCTAGCAAATTGTTGAGATCATAGACTAATATCTTTTTCCACTCCAAGTACTACACAAACACTTCTCTGGCTATGTAAAAGCCACTTGTGAGGCAACATTTTTTCCTTGACTTATTCTATGCTTTTGTTATAAATTAAATGTTCGACAACAGATGCTTTTCTTTATTAAAGTGAATTAAATGAGATTGCTGTTCCACTTGTTACTCTCAGTAGCAACTTTTCTCATGCATTCTTTATGAAGCTTTGCTTCGAGTGCTGGCTTTTAGCGAAAAGAAAGAATATACATAATCGAATCTTTCTTTTCTTGAAGCAACAAATAAATGGAATCAACATGAATATATTTAAATCATTCATTTCTATTAAAGCGAGAAGAGTAATATTTAAAACAACTCTGACGAGACCATGAATAAAGAAATAAAGCTTTGAAGGCTTTAATTCAGATTATTTACGATAATGGAAAATTTTCGAAAATGTGGGCGACCAAAATTTTCTAAACATTAAGAAAAGCTTAGGACGATAATTAAATTCTTATGAGACAATATTCAAAGTACTGAATTACTGATTTTAAGTAATAAGCAAAACATTGAATGTTTTATAAGCGTTGTGTCATGGATTCGCTTAGATAAGACCGAAAAATCTCGCTCAAAATATTAAATAAATTTTTCTTTGTTGAGTTTTTAAAGAATTCTGTTGAAAAAAAAGTCTGAAATTTATTGTCACGCAAATAAATTTTTCACAAAAGCAAAGCAATTACGCAACATAAATTTGAAAGCGAAAGTAAAACAAGTAAAAGCTTGAGTTGAATTCCCCGCAATGTTGTTGACTTAGTAAAAGACGAAGAAATAAAAGTTTTTAAATCTTTATCAAAGACAAATCATAAAAAGCTTTTCTTGTTGTTTCATATCAATATTTAAACAATGAAATTTTGAATCATGTGGACATGGAGGAAATATTTGTCTATTTGCTTTTCATCGTAAGCTTTCGTCACCTGATAAGAGGGTAGGAAGCAGGGTTTAGACTTGAATTGGCTTGACTAGACGACTTGAGGGGTTTTCAATGACTTGACTTATTTACTTGACTTGCAAACCTTTTTTTGACTTGACTTACTCAAGTGACTTGACCTGAAGACGAACTCAAACGATTCTAAATCCTACTAGGCAGCTAGGAAGTTTGCAAATTATTTTGTTTTTATTTCAAAGCATCAGTAAATGCGTCCGTTGGTGGATTAATGAATAATTCAGCTGAAACTTCGTTTTTACTTGAATTTTTAGCTTTCTGTCTTCACCTTTTTTTCGTAACGAGTTTTATCTTCAATTTTTATTCTCAACTAATTTAAATATTTGAGGAAGCTTATTAATTTTCTCGAGAATATTTATTATTCCAAAGTTTAAACAAAGCAGAGTTCTTTTAGATGTGAAAATCCAGGCTTCATTCTAAGATGGCTGAATAAAGGAAGAATGAAAGAAAAAAGAATTTTCAAGCTCGAGATTAAGTTTCATGGTAAAAGAAAGTTCTATAGAATTCATTCATTCATTCTTCAATCTCGTGCTTCACGAATTCAACATCACAATATTTCATTTCCAATTTTGTATCCGTCAAAATCAAGTGTTTTGTTCGCTGTCGTCTCCATTAAAATTTCACATATTCACATTCAACGTCAACGTATTTTGTAATCATATTCAATTTGTCATGACATTTATATATACAAAAAGCTGATGGCAAAACTGTGATGTCATAAGTAAGCAACAATTAATTAAAATATGAAAAGTCACATGTTTAAGCGTGAATTTTTTATGCTTATATTGAATTTTACGCTTTTGATGTGTCAAGTTTTTGAAAGAGATTGATAGCATTATTAAATTCCTATTTTATTACGATTCATCTTTAACATGAACATGACGAAAAACTCAGCAACGATTTGTTTAAGTCATGAAAATACAACCAACTGAAATTGCTATAGAAATTCTCAATGAACTTCTTTTATGATTCGATTCTCAACTTATCTTATTGAGTATGGTTTCAACTTTTATCATATCTTGTTTGCTGAGACAAATATCAATCTCCAATATTTGTTTTGCTTTTCTCAAAAGAAGAAGAAGCATTCGAATAAATTTCAACAAGCTTATATTAAAGCCAAAGCTAAAGCTACTGTACATGTTTGTAAGTTAAACCCATCAAGTTGAAAATTTCAAATATCGTTCCTTCAAATGTGTCTCACGTTACATACAAATATGGAAAATTCTTTGTACGTGTCGATGCTGCTGATGTTGATAATGATAAAAAATAATTTTATTGACCTCAATAACATTAACGATGGGTCAGTTACGTGTCAAATTTTCATTTTCGTTTGAAATTTAAATTCTAAAATTAAATTTTCAACGTTAGAAACGATTTCCAAGAATCATGAAATTTAAGCATGAAAAAAATATTAAACTACATAACGTCAAACTGAGAGGTTCGCTTTCAATTTTAGATCTTTTATTATCTACAAATCTCAACTTCCTTCGAAACCAATTTCATCCTTCAATTGCAGCAAAATTATCGAAAACTTCCAAGAAAATGTTTCAATTTTTCCTGAACGAACAAAACAATTTTCCTTCTTTTTTCCAGGAAACAAAATAAATTCTTGTTACATTTTTCCTGAGAAATAATTAAGGTTTGAGTCTTTATTTTCTTCCATGTTTTTATCGAAAAACTGAATCGATCCAATTTTGATGATGAATAACGCTTTCATAAACACCCGCAGATCCTTCTCCGCATCCCATGCCGTAGCTTGTTACACCTTTGAATGAATTATTAATGAAAAAATATACAAAAAAAAAACATTCTTATTGGTTTTGAAGGCGGAACATTTCTAGATTATGTCACAAAGGATTTGATGTTATGAATAGAAAAGTTGGACTGTTTCCAACGTGTCAACTGTTAATTAATCAAAAATATTACGGCTTCTGTGAATTAATTAGATGGACGTCATGAAAAGATAAGTCTCATAATCAAACCGAAGCATGAAGCAATAAATTGTGGAATGGAAATAAAAAAAATTTCTTATCATTGGAGTGTCTGAAAATGTCTTACCAACTAACTCGAAGCGACCTTTCCTTCCATGACAAATTAAACCTGAACCACTGTCTCCTATTGAAATTTATGGCTCAGTCACGTACAATAAATTAAAATAAGAAAAAAAAATTAAAATTATTCACCGTTACAAGCGTCAACTCCATTTTTCCCCAAAGCACAAAATTGGCCGATGCCTTGAGTTGGTGCGATCACACGACCGAGAATCTTCTCACATTCTTCGTGACTTATCAAGCTTACTCTTCCATACCGTAGAGTCGAGGAGAAGGAGGAATTTCCACGGTAGTTGGAACTTCCATAACCATAAATTAAGCATTCAGTATTGTTCAATGGCATTTCTTTAGCAGTTCGAATCACTTGTTGATGTCCAATTTCTATTCTTACAATTGCGATATCGTTATGAAATGAGAAGACATTAAATTCAGCTTGGATGACTTTTCCAACTTTCCACCATGTGGCTTCATCATTCGCCAAATCACCGCCTCCAATGTTAGCGTAAAGCGAACGATTTTTCCTTCAACAAGCAAGCCAAAAATAAAACAGATAATGAGATTTAACTACAACTGCAGACACTATACAGCATACAAATCGACAAAACAATGTGCTGCACTAATGGCCCATGAATATTTTGAGCTTTGGGCAATGAGTGTACCACCACAAAAATATTTAAATTCTCCCTTTAAATCTGCTTTCATGCTGAATGCAACCGCAAACGGAAATTTATCTAGCGATTAAATTTTTAAAATCTCTAATTAAAAAGGTTTTTTCTGTTACGCAATGTTAATCTGATCTCACTGTTTCTCGCAAAGCGCCCATTAACAATCGGCTTAGGATGAGGCAGTGAAGTCAGTTCGTCCATCATTGAGATCAAGCACAAAGTTAATAACGCATAAAAGCCTCTTATCATTTCGCTTTTTTTTTGTTGTCGTAATCGTTGTGGAGAGCAAGATGGGATATGAAACTTTATGCTTCCGCACTTAACGCTTCCAAAAGTCAATGTGGGAAACGTTTATTGATCGTAAAGCCCTTGCCACCGCTCTCTTTGGGTAATTCTCGCGCTTAAAACTCAATTTCTTCTTTTTTATATTTACACAAGTGTATCATTTCAATCGATTTTATGATGCTCTCCTGAATATAAATGTATCGGTTTAAGTGTGACAATTTCATTTTAAACTTAAATGATTATGAATATGTGAACATGGAAAAAAAAGATTGAAATGCTTGCATGATTTCTTATGATAAAAGCAGGAAGAAAAAGGTTTAAGTATCATGTGTAAGTAATTAAATATAATGAAAAGCAATCAACAAATTAGTTGGAATGTTATTAACAATCCAATAAAGGTCATTCGATAATTGTGTCAACATATTGGATTTAATGATTAATATGTAACAACAACATCATCATCTAAAGTTCAACTGGACATTTATTTCAATTCATGAACATTGTCCATGATTGAAGAAATCAAATAAGAAGACTTAATACACTTGATAGCTTTTTCATCCCATTTCATGTTACAAGTTATGTAATTTAGAAGATGGAGTGTCAGTAAATCATGAAGTCTTCACTTATTTATCATCATTACAGTGATAAAGTGAATTGTTTTCAAACATTCTCAGATCTTCATAAATCTCTGTTTGTGGTTGTTCTTTTTAAAATTCCGTATATTGCGTTAGAAGAAAAGAAAAGCTTTTAAAATTATTTTTACATCATTGCGAGGGTCACAACCTCACAAACATAAATAGATGAACATTCTATTCAAGTTCAATGACTTTAATTCTCGACTTTTCTCAATTCTATTAAATTATAAAGGCAAATTTTCCTGGAAGAAAAAGAAAAACAATATCAATGACATTTCGGTGTCATTTATTAAATTGAATAAATTTATGCAATGAACACCACCACAGCAGTTTGAATGTTTATGAAAAGAAAAGATTTTTCGATATGACAGGCAAGCAAGAGTGTAATTGAATTGTATAATTTATGCCAATCAATTTTCTGATGTTGATTGTTTGCAATTTATATCTTACGGTAACCCAAACACGAAATTAGATCACAAGAATTAATCAAATGTAATAATTTAATTACATTCTCAAGAAGAGAAACAAATTCAATTGAAGTTCATTTAATCGATATTTGTAATGATGGAAAAATATTATAAATGAATGATGATGTCATCAAATAATGTTCAATCGCATCTGCTTGAAAATAGAGCAAGAAAAGTGCTTAAAGCTGCATTTATGTCGAACTTTTATTATTGCATGTGACACTTTAATAGACATCTCAGGGTAACACGTTCAAAGTGTGTTAAGCGGTTGATAATCGAAGCAATGTGTGGAAATGACGGTCAGTGCGTGTTCCTAAATGAAATGTCTCTTCCCTTGTCCCAGATGGCCACTGATACGTACACAATGCCATTACTTGTTGGATGTGAAAATGTGAAACGCAATAACGCCACAGTGTCTAGTTCTGCATGTTCGACAGGAAGGCTTTGATATATTACATTCATAAATGCTTGCCCCTATTGATTAATGCGCATATCGTACATATGGGCATAAGCCTGAATGGAAATTTAATCTTTCAGACAGAGACAGATGCGATGTGATGGAAAAGCGAATGATATTTGGGAAAAAGGAAGTCAAGCATTTTTTTCTGCTCATCATCATCAATTATATCGAAATCTTACAACTCATGCTTTGCTGACTTTCAAATGCTGATGAAAACATGAATTTCAGATTATCCTTTCAATTCTATGTTTGAATCCCGAAAGAAAATCTCTTTCATTGCCATCCATAATTGAGAAATGAAATTCTTCTTAAATTTTTAAAACAACTTTGTACGATGCGACATGATTTGGGTCTGCTAGTAAAAGTGAATGGCGTGGACGAAATTTGTTATTCGTACAGTAGACAAATTTTGTATAAAATAAGTTCAAGCCAGAAATTGAATTCTTCTCTAAATTAGAATCGAGTGAATGAATGTAAGGCGTGAAACATAAATTAAGTCAAAAATATGTGTAAGTCAATATGAATATTTATTCATAAAGTTAGTAAGCCATGCATGCATTTCCATTAGCATGGGAAAACCGAGAAAAACCCATTTTCGGGGCAGACAAAGCGGTTACGGTGTGAACACTAAATTATTTTTTCTTGAGTAAATATTTGATACCAACAAGGAAGTTTTATTAGATATTTCACCGTAGCTGGGATACAACGAGGGAATTTTCTAAGTTTACGTTCGGTTATAAACTTTCGACTTTCTGTGGTGTTTTCGTAGAAAAGCGAGCTATAAACAAATTGCTTCGAGCGACTCCCAACAACTTTATTAATGGATTTAATTTTCCCAAAAGATATTTTCAGGCCGCATGAAAAGTACAAACACAATTCTTTCCTAAATGACTCGAAGCGTTCCAGAAAAGATGCTCACTTCAATTTACAGTTATTGCTGATAATATCTTCCGGTGAATGAGATGAAAAAGGATTTCGTGTGAGTATTTGAAGCGTTTAAAAGGAAAGAAAGGACGTGTGATTTCTAAAGAAGCGATTTAATTTACTTTCCATTCATTTTGATCACTTTGACGTTTAGGAAAAGATTTTTGTGTTAAATATTTCGACCCGAAAATTATTTTTAAAAAGAAAACTTTCAGAAGGTCAGAAAAATAGCTTAACGCATAACATCAATCATGTAGTCTGTTTATGGGAAAAGCGCAAATTGAATTTGAGTTTAAGGGACAAGTGCTAGTGAAGTTTGACTTAGTGTTTGGGTCAGATAGATATTCAGGTCAACAAATATAATATGAGTGACGAAGGTTTCTTCTTAGATATCCTCATGAGATTACAATTATGTACTATTCCACTCAGCTTTTCTTCTAAATCGACTATTTCGTGTCATAAATCTTAAAGATTCATCATTTTTCTTCAAGGGAAAATCATCTAGGAATCTAAGGATTAGCTACATAGGTCATGATATTATTGAGATTTATGTTCGGTAATGGAATATCATTGTTAGAAATAAAAGATTTTTGTAGAGTCATAAAAATAGATAACAACAAAATCCTATGTTTGGATATGCTTTGGTTTTGTATTTAAGTAAATAACTCACCTTGAAAAAGGGATGTCGATTAATTATTTATGAACTGATTGGAATTTATTCGACATTCTTGCTTCATAATAAGCTTAAGAAAAGAAGTTCAGAATTTCAAAATCAATCGACAATTGACATCCCTTAAGGAAAACCATTTAAATATTTTCCTAATCTCAAGAAAAGGATGAAAAATGGAAACATCTTCAAGAAAGCTGAAGTTTAAAACTTAAACATCGTTGACCTCCCAGACTTAGAATGAAAATTGAAATTTATATTGTTGAAGAAGTATTCAAAGGGAGCTTCCTCCCCGTTTCTGTTTTGTAATTATACTTTTAGGGGTGAAACGTTTTCACCCACTTCGTTCTTCATTAAGAAAAGTGAAATAGGAATTTCCATCATACTGACTGAAAGCAGTTTTAAGTTTTAGAATAGTTTCTCATTTTCTAAGCTGATCTCAAAATCTTCTTTCCTGATTTCGTATTCAAACAATGGATGAAAACTGTTTTGCTGATGCTGCTGTTGCTGCTGATGTAAATTGTCTTCCACTTGAATGAACAAATCATTCATAATGCAGAATATATAATAATATTTCTGTACGACTAAATAAGTATTTATTTTATATGATATCAGAAGGGAAAAGAAGAGCCAGAAGAGTCTTAAAAAGGCCGAGTGTCTCTGATGAGAGTTGATTCTGAATGAAATCACATTAAGGCATTAAAATTAATGCTGATTCATGACGACGAAATCAGAAACCAGAAAGTGAAGAGAATACAGAAAGTTTGCAGAAAGGAAACAACGATGAATTTTCTAGGAAGTCAAAATGAAGAAGATAAGAAAAGAAAAACAATTTCCATGAGGAGAAGGAAAGAAAAAATTCCCCGCACGAGTGAAAAGTTTTCCGTTAAAAGCTACTCAGCAACTCATACAAATGTAGAAGATATGTAAAGAAATTCAAACTCACACAAATATTGTTCGAAATCGATTTATTTCCTTTTATGAAGCAATTTCAAGGCATATGTAAGCTTACAATGAATGAGAATAAAACGACAGACCAGGAGATTGGGTTTTTTTACTTCCTATATTTGTTGTTAGAGAATAAAAGAAGAACAACATATTTTCAGTCAAAAACATGATTATGGGATTAGAATTGACGTTTACGTAAACTTTCATCACACACAAAGAGGGAAAAAGATTGAAATTTCCTTTTTCATTCTTTCGTTTTTCTCTCGTGTACCTTAAGGTGTACCAATCGACGGCAGAAGTTCTTTCTTTGTTTTTTTTTCTTTGCTCCTTTTCCTGCACAATCATTATCATGTAAACTTCTCAGAGCAACATAGCGAGAAAGAAAGTTTTTCCCCAAAGAACAACTTTTTCATTGTAGTCGAAAAGGGCATAAGCACAGCTAAGGTCTTGGCATCATTTCACTTCTCCTCCATCTCTGAAGCCATATTAGAACAAACAAATTAAAGGTAGCCTTATTATGAAAATTTCTTTTCCTAAATTGAGGCATTTGAGATGAATGTTTCTTCACCACATCGCACAGAAAGGAAATGAAATTAAATCAACAAATTTCCTGACGAGCGTTGAGTCAGATTAAACTTTCCGAATCACGGTATGCTTCTTAACATTACCTTGAAGCGATGTTCTACGAAGTAAGATGTCTTGAGTATACAATTCGAGCCGTGGGTATCGAAAAAAGAATTTCATGATCTGCTTCTCATATCCTAAAAAGAAATTTTAAGATAAAAAAAAACGAAAATAAGGAATACATAAAAAAAAATTAAATCGCAAATAAATTACGCGTTATTTGATTTTCTTTGCGTACACAGTTCGAGGAATAAAGACATGAAATCATTCTCGCATGCATGCTTTCTGAAGACGAAATGCTTTTCTTTACAACATGGTTAAATGTTGCGAATGTAATGTTTTTTATGACAAGATATCTTCGGAATGGATTGTAGAGCAAAGACAGAAATCTAAGAAATAACTTTTTAGTTCTCTATTAAACCTAATATCATAAACCACATTTTATGATGTGTTGACAATGTTGTGTTGAAATATAAAATTATATCTCATGCTCACCAATTTATGTAATATATAAGAAAAGAAAAGTTCAACGTAAAGTAGCAGGTGTAAAGGAAATATTTATTTAAATATTTATGAATTTATAAGGAAAAGTTCAGCAAGCGAAGTGAATTTCGCTCAGTATTAATGTCTTATTATTTAACAAGATTTTAAAAGTTTACATCTAAAGATGTTACAAAAGATGAAAGAAAGATGTGAAAATCTTTTAGTGACTTTGCAATATCATCGTGTTATTAACAGGATTAAGTGTAATATAAGTGAAAGTTTTGTATTTAATCACTTCACGAGTAAATTATCCTTGGATATAATAAAATAAAACATCTAACTACGAAGAAGATTTTTATTGTTGCTGTTTTAATAGCCTTGGCATGTCGTCACTAATACTAAAAGAAATAATTGCAAATGCCCTTTGCAATCAAAATATATCTGCAATAGAATGTTTGGGAATTTTCTACTTAAGGCTATCTCAAAATTATTATTTTGTGATTGCATCACAAATAAATCTATGCTAAATTGGTCAAACAAAAGCCACAAGCGAACAAAGCAAATTAAATCTAAATTTTAAATAAATGCCAAAGGCCACTTCAAAAGCAAGTATGGAACCAAAATAAATACAAATCTAGATTAACAGAAATTCGAATTTGAGGTAAGCTGTTAAAATACACTTCCAGGTGTTTATATTTATGTATCTGACACGAAACTAAAACTTATTTCAAAAGCTAAGCATTATTCGTTGTATAAATGAGTCAACCGATTCTAATGGAAAATTAAAAGCAAATTCAATTTCTTTTCAGCTCAACCCGTTCCGGTTATGACCTTTCCAAATATTTTTTTATTGTATCTTTTCTCCACTGTCATCCTTGAAATAGCGTCTTTTGAGCTTTTTCTTTTTGTATGTTTTCATTAGAAAGGCGAAGGAAAAAAAGCCATTAAAATAGAAGAAAAGTCGTCATCTCTGTCACTCGCTTTTGTTCACTTCTATCTCAGTGGAAACTATTTTTAAACGTTTAAAACCCTCCCTTGCTGTTATATTCTGCTTGTATTAACTTATCATCTCCTTCATTAAACTTGTTCAGATGCTGATGTTAATGGCGCGAGTGAGAAAAGGTTTCATTTTCATCACTTTGGGGATGCAATTCTCCTTGAATGTTAATGGTTATTGTCCTTGCAAGAAATATTAACACATTTTAAAACTTTTCATACGGCAAAATGTTCAGGATTTTAAGAACAGGAGAAGTTTACGAAAAAGCTTCAAGAATACTGGAAATTAATGCGAGGGTTGAGCTTTTTAAAGGAGAAAAATAGCGTTTGTTAAAATCCCAAAATGGGTAACCATAAATTTCGAAAGCCATAAATCTAAGGGAAAATAAAAATAAATTGTAAAAAAAGCACTTGTTGCACAACGTATCAACTTTTATGTGTCAGTTTCATTTTCATTATGAAGTTTTAAAATGATATTTTTTTACTCCGCCACATAAGGTCGGATTCGCTTGGAAAAGGGATGAAAGTTGGACATTTCTAAGTTAAAGTAAATGTTTTGAACTGTCGCAATAAAACCTTTTCAGTTTAGAAATAACCGAAGAAGAAGAAAACATATTTACACACCGAACATTTGTGTAACCTTCTTGCTTTATTATGATCCCACATAGTTTCATCATTTCTTGTCTTCACTCGTTCCAATTTCAGGATGACACAAGAAAAATATTTGAAAAGCGAGATTAGAAACGAGAGAGAAACTTTGAGAGAGGATACGAGAGGAATTATTGGAAATTTCGAATTTTAGCACATTCTCTCATTTTCTTTCCAACGAGAGAACTACGCAATCAATGCTAACGTCTTCGCGACTTTAAGTTTGTTTTTCGAAGATTAAAAAAAGTTTAAAGATTTTACAAAATTCTTGAATTAAACATTTTAAGTCAATTACTCCAGTTGCGTAGAATGATTTCGGATACTATTTTATTTAGTTTTACACTCATCGATACTGGAGCTGTTCTATTTCTTCTGATTTATTTTGTAAGAAAGATTTTTGCTTTGTTTTGGTTTTTATTTATGAAATTATTTGCAACTTGCAGGTGTTAATTCTTTCGGATCTTGAATGTGACTATATCAACGCACAACAATGTTGTTCGAGGCTTAATTTCTGGACAATTCCAAAGATTTCAGCTCATGTTGTGGTCACTCTTCTACTTCTCATAACTGGCCATTATTGGCTGTTGCTAGTGAATCTTCCATTTGTTGGATATTTAATTTATGAGTACTGGACAGTTCCTAGAGGCAACATGGGAATCTTTGACCCTGCCGAGATACATGTAAGTTAGAGTAATAACCTTTAAAAGCTTCTAAAATGAATTCTTGCAGAATCGAGGACAAATCAAGAAGCACATGAGCTCGTGCATGATCTTCTTAGGCTTTTATTTAATAATCTTCTTTATTTATCTTTACAAGTGAGTTTTGTAATTTAAATAACACTTCAATATGTCTGAAATATAATTTATTTTTATTTCAGTATGATTCGAGCTTTACTTCGAGATGATCCAATCAAAAGAATCGATGACGATGAAATAATCACAGATAGTTTAGATCTCTAGTCGTTTGGGTAGAAAGTTAAGCAAATTATTTGATCCTTCAAGTTTACAGTGTTCTCTATTTTAGGTTTCAAGTGTCAGGATCTGATTTGTCACTTGGATAACTTCACAATAACAAATCGAAGAAGATTTTTGACGTCATCTTCTTTCGATTTATTAACCAAATCAAGAATCTTTGAGAATTCTTGTAAAATGAAATAATCAAGCGTGAATTCACAACTTAAGACTCTTAATCCCAAAAATAATCATGTAAAGTAATTCTAATTTAATCTCGATGATTATTTAATTTAACATTAAGATAATTAATTTAATATTGTTGTTCAATAAATGTGAAAATAAAATAAAACTTTTGAGTTTTTGATTCGATGAAATTTTTCCTTTTTTACTCTTTATTAATAAAAACTTTCTAAACAGTTAATACAGTCAACAAAATATCAACAAGACAAAGCATAACACATTTTTAGGATGAAAATTTTAGAAAGATAAATAAATAAAAAGGAAAAAATGCCAAGTGATGAATCTTAAAATAATAATTTGAAAAGCTTCTTTAAAGAACATCAAGAAGAACGGGCTTCGTTTCTTTTGCACATTTCAGAATCGAATGCATGAACTTCACAAATCCCGTATCCTTTGGCTTTTCAAGGCCTCGCAACAACCGATTCTTCATCACCGCAACAAACTCTCGGTTACTCAACTGACCATCCATATTTTCATCAAAAATTGTAAACACAACATCGATGACATGGTCCGAAAGGTCAACAAGAGCAACGGTCTTTGCAACATGTTTTAAGGTGAGTTGATCGATTGATGCGCCTGAAGAAGAAATGAAAATTTAATTCACTCAAAAATGAGATTTGAACATTGATGAACTTACCGGCAATATGATAAAAAGTTAATGCGGTGTCAACATCATTTATGTTGTTCAGAAAATGAAAGAAATTCAGATAATCTTCTTTCGAGATTCCCGTTCCATGATCTCTGAATCTAAAGAAGAAAAATTGCAATCATTTGTTTTCATACTTTTTCTTTTAAAAAATATTCTTACCGTTTCTTAACTCGCTTAATCTTTTTGACCTTTTTCTTAGGCGGATAACCAGCATAAGCTAGAAGAAGTTCCGCAAAATCGGCTTCCGAAATATTTCCATTATCATCCGGGTTTTTTCTTTGAAATTCGAGTGTTAAAATCTCACGCTGTAACTGATGTTGAAAGTCAAGAAACTTTTCAATTTTTAGTTTCTGATCAAGTTTTGTTCCAAAGAAATAACAGCTGAGAGCTGAGTTGACACCCTTTTGGAGAAAAGAAAAAATTATTTCAAAGTTTTGATAAAGATAATTAAAACTTTTTAACATACCTTGAAAGTATTTCCAGTATTGGCATGATCTCGATGTCTTGAACCAATTGAAGTTTGCTGCCTAATGAGATTAGCGACTTCTTCAAATTCACTGCTATCAACATCGCCATCACCGTTAAGGTCAAACATTTTAAACGCAATTTCAAAATGACGACGTGAAGCTGAAAATGATTAGAAAATTTTATTTAAATCATTTTATGCTACATAATCATAAAAATTAAATTATCAAAGTTTTTATTGACAACGAAAGTTTTTACGAATGAATGTTCAAGGCACTTAAAGGCTTATGAAACTTTCATGATTTCATTTGAATGTGAGCCGACAATTTTAGAAGCAGAATGACGTTCATTACCAACATTATCTGACAATAATTTTCTGCTTTTTTGAACTGACGAACAATTGAAGAGGAGAATGCGGTCAAATGAGAAGTCTTTTTACGCTTCATGAAACACTTTCGGTCGAGCGTCTCCAACATTCGCAAATAAGCTCATAAAAATTCTTCCAAGCGATTCTAAAGCGAGGGAGGAAAAAAATCTATTTATAGAAAATCCAATTCGTTTTTGGGGTTGAACGTTGAATGTTGAATTCAACTTTCTAGCGTAAAGGAAATGTTACGAGCTTCTTTTTATTCTTCCGTTTCGAACGTTTTTTGACGCTTCCTCGTCTTTCCATATCTACTTTGATAGCAGATTAAGGAAAGATGATAAAAAAAGAGAAATGAAAGAGTTTGACAGGAGAAAACTATTTTTAGAAATTTCCGTAAGCAGTTTTTCCTTCTCTATAATTGTGGAAGTGAAAATACGAAAAAAAGCGCGAAGAAAATTTCTCTAACAAAAACTCTAAAATTGACATTTAAAAAAATGTTTCGCGATTTTTAATTTGCAAAGTTTGTGTCATAAATTTTTATCATGTCCAAACAACAATCGTGAAGCTTCGCCGAAAGTTAAAAAAAAGCATTTGTAAGCATGTGGATGCGTTATCAGCTGTAGTTGTGCTTTCACATTTTACACCATCAAACATAAAGTTTCACTCAACATTTGACTGCGCATGCCAAATCGATAATATAAATGTGAGGGAAGGACATTTGGATGGTTTTCTTGTGGAAGCTTCAACAGTTTTACTTTACATCCCATCGCGTTCACATTCATTTCTAACATCACTCCGCCATAAGAGAGAAGAGAAATTTGTTTCTAGAAAAACTCTTTTTTCATATTATTTTCATTCGTTTTCATTTTGTTACATTCACAATTGCAACAAGATTAGATAGAAGCATAACTGGAAACCATTGCAACGATCTAAAATATAGCAAATTAAAAGCAATCCGTGCCAAAACCAGTCAAAACAAGTTATTAAATATCTCTTTCGCTTTATTGGTGGAAAAAAAAGTTCGCAACAAACAAAGGAATTTTCTTTTTTTTGGAAAATGACGAAATAACAGTTTTAACGACACAACAAACAGGCAGAAAACGCGCGACGCTAAATGGACTTGAAAGTTTTACTTTTATTCGCTTCTCGTCATCATTCAGCAGTTTGAAGCGCATTCAACAAGGTGCACACGAAAAGCTTTTCCCACGAAATATTTTTTCACTAAATTTATTTTCTTCTTTTTGTTTGCTGTTGAAAATTGTCACAAAACAAAGTAATTTTAGGCGAGAAACGAGTAACGTGAGAAATTGTGCAGAAAAAGTGTTTTCTTTTTCTTCTTTCTTTTTGCTAAAGAAGCTTTTTGAAGGGTGAGACGAGTAAAAGGAAAAGGGCGAAGTAGTTTTTCCTTTTATCAACATTTTTCCTCCGTTCGTATGTGTCTGTGTGTGCTTGTAAGAAATTTCAATTTCCAGTCGTCAATTCATGACTCAGTCATCCTTCCCTTTTGCTTCCTTTCTTCATATTCGTTTGGAGTTTTAAATTAGCTTTCGTCACTTATTTCTCTTCTTTTTTTTCTTGACTATTGAGGAAAGGATGAAAGAGTTTGCTTTCGATGTTATCGACGATAAGAAGCGGAAACGAGTGAAGGAAAAATTTAAGGCAAATTGACTTCCTGATGGAGGACGAAGGCGCAAAAGTCTTGTTAAACGAAGCGTCGTGATATTTATGTATAGGCGTTACGCCTATCGAAACTCATCGGCATTCATCATTAGACTTTTGGCTACGCAACTACTTTAGAAGATTCTTATCGTTGGCGTGTTTGTCAGTCATTGATTTCAAGGAAAAAGCTTCTTAACTTTAGCTTATCGACGAGAGAAATCTTTTTATGATTATTTGTGTTATTTAATAAATTCCTTTTTCTCGCATTACTAATTATTTGCCTTTACAGCTTAGATAGATCCCCACAACTCAACTCATCAATAACATCGTCGATAAAAAGTGTAAAATGAAATTGATGACAACGGAGAGTGTCGAGGAAAATGTTAAAGAATTTTTATCCGAGAAAAGTGAAAATGTTTTGTATGAAGAGACCAAAAAACCTCGTCATTCTCAAGGCGGTGGTGTTTGTGTTTGTTATGAGTTTGTACTTTATTGTACTAATCAAAGAGTCGATGAATGTGATCGAAAGTAATGCGAAATTAAAGACTGTGACAGCATCAAAAGTAGATAATGTAAGTAGAAAAGAAATAAAATTTATTGAGTTAAGCAACGAATAAATTAATTCTAATCTAAGTCAGAGAAAAATATTTCTTGACATCTCCCGCAATTAACTATAAAAAGCTTTCTTACTTACTTAGTAAGCGTCACATGAAACTTCAAAACAAAAAGCAATTGACGATGATTTAAACACAAAATTAATCTTATAAGTTAAACACAAATCGCTATTGCGTGCTTTTTGTGCCAACAAAATAATTTTTAGTTTGAATTTTCAGTGACAAGGGAAAACGCAACATAAAAAACGCTTAATCGGATTTCACTATGAGTTTCGGTGGTTTTTTCAAAACATGTTTATTTTTTCCAGAATTTTCCACTTTTTCTTTCTTCTTTTCGCTTTCCATAAAGCGATAAAAAAATATCTCAGATTTAAATATTCTAATTGGCTTGCCAAGCAAATCGTCAAACTTGAATCGTTCAAAATATTCATGCTTAAATATTTCTGAGCTTTGCTGTAGTGTTTGTGTCTCATTGGGGGTGCGTGCTAGGCTTCGTGTCGCCGTTTTGAATATAAGCGAAGTGTCTTTAACAAGAAAATTTAAAGAGAACAATTAACCGACATAAAGTGAAGCCACAGTGTGTGCATATTTTTTTATCAACACATGACAAAACACAACATGAATGCTGCTTAGACATAAAAACATTCTTGGCAAGCCACAATGCTAAAACTTTTATCACGTCATCAACACTTTCTGGTCTCGTTAATTTCCTTCACGTAGCAAGTTTCATGCCAACGAATTATTTAACGTTTTCAAAGACTTAATGGACAAAGTTTTATTTTTTTTCTTCCTCCATTACTCAACTGAAATATCTCAATGCAAAGCGATTTTGAATTCATTTCGAATAAAAAGAAAATAAAGTGAAAATAAGAGAAACATTATTCTAATTCAACAGGTTTTCATGTTCCTTTCGTTTCTTACAAGTTTATTTCATGTGAAACATTTCTCCTCTTATTATCTTTCTAAAGTCGAAACAAAAGCATCATTTTCATCAACGTAGTGTTACGAAACATAAGCCATCGAAGAATCATCACAATGCGACTTTGAAGCCACCTGAGTCGTATCTAATTCCGAATCCGAAATTTCATAAACAAGCTAAGACGACAAAACCGACGACGACGACGACGACGACAGAAAAGTCTTCCTTTAATCAATCGGCTACCATTGTAGTAGACTTAGATGCACATCGATCGACAACATTAAATCCAGTTTATGAATATTCCGAAGAAATAAATGCAAAAGCGGAAAAGGATTTCATTGAGCGACGACAACATTTACATGATGTCTGTGAGAAAAATAAAATTCTTGGTAAAATTACACCAAATGCGTGGGAGTTCTTCATCTCACCAGGTCATGGACTTGCATGGTGTAATGTGTTTAAAGCTGCGAGTACAACATGGATGTATTATTTTAATTTATTAGGTAAGCTCTTAATTAGGTCCTTGAATAATTAGTAATTAATTATTTAATTTAAACAGCTGGTTACGATCCAAAATATCTTCAAAAAACAATCACAACGCCTTTAGAACTCGCTAGAAAAAGATTTCCACGGCCAAATATTGACGATTTAAATGAAGCTGTCGAAAATTCCATCACGTTCTTAGTTGTTCGTGAGCCTTTTGAACGTCTCTTGTCGGCATATCGTAATAAAATGGAAGATGGGAAAAACCCTTATTACAAGCTTTTGGGTGATCAAATTGTAAAGAAATTCCGAACAATGCCAATAACCAAGATCGTAAGTTGGGTCGGTGACATTTAAAATGAAATTTTGTGTAATAAATTTGGAATTTATTTGAAATATAAAAAGGAAATTCCCGGTCCAACATTTAACGAGTTTCTTCAGTTCGTTGTTCAGCACTACAAGTCTGGTGGACGTTTCGACGAACATTGGAGCCCCATTTATCAGTTCTGCACACCATGCAGCATCAACTTTACACTAATTGCCAAAATGGAAACATTCCAACGAGATACCGAATACATAATTCGCCAAGCCGGTCTCGAGACGTTGCTGTTGAACAAAGTGCCCAAAACCAAAGAAGATAAAATAACAAATCGATCATCAATCAATAACACGAACACTGTGATCGAAAAGTAAGATTAGAATTAAACGCTTTCCCAATCACATCAAAATATTTTCTCATTTATTCTCAGATATTTCTCGCAAATCGATGAAAACTTATTGAAGCAAATTCTTGAGATTTATCAATTGGATTTTGATCTGTTTAATTACGATAGCACGAGATATCTCAAAATGGTTCAGAAAAGTGAGAATAATGATAGCAAATTCAAGCTCTACAATCGACTCGACTTTGGTGATGATGTGAACGAGTCTAAGGTTTTTAGTTAGACAAGCAAGGGTAGGATGAAAACAAAAACAAAAAAGATTAGCGAAAATTGATATTTTTCTAAAATATTTCTATTTATACTAACTAACTTGTGAAAGATGATAAAGAGAAATTGTGTATTTAGATATTTAAAAGTTCTTTTTGAAAGAATCTTCACCAATGTTTATGCAAGTCATTCACACATAACTGTTTAGAAATTCTACTCATTCAAATTAAATGTTTTTATCATGTTGTTTAAATATATTTATGTATCTTTGAGATAAAAAAAGAAAGTTCAAAACATGAATTTTTACAATAGAACTTTAACATATAAACTGAATAGGACGGAAAAATAAAAAAACTTGTCGTTTTGTGGTCACATTCAATTGCACTCTTTCCAACATAAAAGCAGCAAACACATTGTCGACTAAATGCATGCATGACAAAAAAAGGGAAAACATTTAATGTTGAAAAACTTTACAAAATTTACCAACATCAAATGTCATTTTTGATCGGGAATAATTGAAAGTAATATAACATGAATTTCAAATTCAATAAACTTTATGAAACTTTTAATTGGCATAAATTCAAAAATTAATTCTTATAACAAACAATGCCAAAAAAATGTTCTTGAATGATGACAAAATTTATAAAATTATTCACTGATGACAGAATTAATATGTTAAAAAGTTTATATATGACAAAAAATGCAACATGGTCTTTCAATTATCATTGGTATTAATGCTCACGTCAATATGTAATCAACGATTGAACATAAAAAATTATAAAAACAAATCGAGGTCTCCATCGAATTAAGAACCACAGAAATGTAAATCGTCGTTCAACATGCTATAATCATCAGTTTTTAAAAAACCGGAAATGTTTACTTTAAAGAGCTTTCATTAATCAAAAAAAATGTTAGATAATTTAACTAATGATAACTTTTCATGTTTAAAAAAGAAAAAACTGAGTGTATTAATCGCACGTAAATAAATATTTCCATTCAAAGTTTTTATGGAAAACCACGCACTTATCTAGATATTTAATGAAAGAAAAATCATTGTCGTTAGCTTAAAAGCTTAAAATGCATTAAATTTTTTCACTCCATTTATAAACATTTCGGAACATTTCATTTAATGTATTTAAAATTTAAACGAGGGAAGATGAATTCACCCGAAAACTGTTATGTCAACTAATGTACCTTAACGAACATAAATCTTTCAGAAAGAAAAAAAAACTTTAATGATAACTTTTAGTTTTTCAAGAGATTTGTCAAAGAAACAAGAAAAATTAGATAAAAGAAAATTTAAATAATTTCTAAAACAGACGAAATTTTCTTTTTTTTTATTGTCTGATGAATGAAATCGAATTCGTTGTCATGTTGAAGGATAAAAAAGGAAAATCTCATCACGAGGACGATTAAAAATTTATGTGCGTGACACAACATGAAATCATTCATTTCTCATCATAGACAAAAACTATTTTGGAAACATGAAAACAGACTGAAGAAAAATATAAAAAGTTCTTTTTGAAAAACTGAATCGCGATGTTGTTTTATTTGTTCACAGATTTTAGACTTTCGACGATTAATTTGGAGCCAGTCGGGTTTTTGTTCGCATATATCGCATATGCATATTAAGGTCATCGCAGTTTGTGATTGCATTTCCTGGCAGGGATTGGAATAAACTTTTCTTTCAAGTTTAGTGATGTAAAGAAATTCTCGACATGTATTCAAGCTCTGAATCATACTCGTCGATGGTTTTTTAAGAGAATTTTTTTTTGTATGCCTCCCGTTTGTTAAAACGAAATGAAAATTTAATTAACGTTTGACGACGAGTGATTTGAAGCTTGAATGATTAAACATTTATTATTAAAAATGTCAATATGTACTCACTCGATAAAACTGTCAGCAAGAAAATGTAATCAGAAAACGAAATCAGACCATAACTGCCGAGTTTATAAAAAATGCTGTCTTCTTCCAATTTCAGATCGAGTCGTTGCGAAACATTCTGCATGTGATTAAGGAAAGAACAAAATAAAAACAAATGTTAAAAAATTATTTTCAGAAAAAGAAAATATTAAAGAAATTTTCAGGCAAGTGAGAAAAACAATTTTTTTCTATTAAAACATGAATTGCGAAAGTTTTTGTTTCTTCTTTTTTTCATTCCTATGATGTTCTAGTTTAAACGAGAGAATTTCCATGCAAAAAAGAAAATAAATGAAAATCTGTGTCACATCGTGCGTCATCAATTAGAAGGCAAATGGATTTTATGTTAATATTTTTTTATGCTGGAATTTCTTTCATTTGCAAATTGTGAATTTAAATAAGCTTTTCGAAAATGTTAATTACATTTTTGTCACTTGTAATTTGAGTGAAAATAAAAGCGAAATGAGATATTTAATGTAGTTTGGTGAGAAGCAGTATAAATGAACTTTTTTATGTTTTATTTTGTGATTCGCTGTTTGTTAAAGTCAAACAATGTCGATGAAAAAGCAGGAAGGAAAAGTTCAACATATTTTCTTGTCCTTTAGCTCCTCAAATATTTTCACAAAAACATTGTTGTGATGTTGAAATCAATACAGAAAAAGTTCAAAAAAAGTTTTTCACTTTTCCTGTTTTGAATGAATTTAAAAAAACGAATATGAGCAGAGAAATTGGGTAAAATGTCATGCACTTGAATTTGCACTCGTAATCGCATGAATTTAATGAAAACGTTTGCATTTATTTTACAGGTGCAACTAGCAAGATCAATGAATTAAACTTTACTAAATCTAAACCCCAGTGAGTTGAATAAAATCCTAATTAATGAAAGGTGGAACTCTAACATTTACTCACACTAGGTTTTAATAAATCAACAAAAAAAAATTTAAAAGTTTAAATTTTTAAAAAGATTCAGACACAAAAATACTTTGATAGAATATTGAAAGTGGTAGAAAAAGAAAGTTTGTCGAGTTTACTTAAGTTTTTGTTTCTTAAACAGTTCTTTTTGTCTTTACCGAATCGTAAATCTAGACAGACATTAAAAATTGTCAGCAGAGGGAAAGATGATGAAGGTCGGTTAGTAATTGCGTTAGCTTTCAGTTCCAAAAATCAAAATTTAGATAACATAAACAAATAATTGATTTCCTCATGAAATCCCAATCACTACAAACCAATAAATCTTGAGGAAATTTCTAAACCAAATAAAAAAGAAATTTTTTAAAACTAAAATTTTTTTTTGTGTAATTTTGTTATAATTTCTTTTTTTTCTTTTGTGTCAAAGTACCTCGTCATTCTGGAATAGAACAGATAATAAATAGAGTGAGACAGATTAATTGTGTTAGCTTTTGGAGTGTTTTTATATTTTGTTCGGTTTTTATTTGCAATTAAAAAAGAAAAGAGAAAGGGAATTGTGGGTGGACAAATACAAATTGACGGATAATGCACATGGCAAATGAGACTTAATAAGGATCACAGATTTTTAAATAAATTTGCCTTTCCATTCCATTCAGATTCAAGATGCTGTTCCAAATGCCAAAAATTAGTTTTCATTTTTCTTGAAGGAAATTATTTAGGAAAAAGGTTTGAAATTAAGTTGCAAAAGAAAGAAAAAAGGGAATCATTAGCATCAATGCCACACAGTGGACAATCGGTGCGATATTGAAGACTTAAAATAACATAAACATTGCTTCTTGTGTAAGTTTTAATTTTTTTTTGTTTTGGGCAATATTAAAAATCCTTCAAATTCTTACCTTCGGGTCGTACTTCTTGTACTGATCCAATCCAAGACCTGAAATGTACATAAAACATATTAAAAACGTCAAATATCAAAATATTTAAAGCAATATAAAGAACTATCGAAAAGTAAAAGAAAAGAATGAATTTTGATGGTTTTCTGAAACTTTTGTCAACCGACGACAATCGATTCAGAAGTTTATGAGTTAAGAGAACAATGCAAAGAGTTTAAATCAACTTCGTTGCAATCTTCTCAGATTTATAGACGAGAAACTAGGAATATAAAACTAAAGCGTGAACCATCTAAATCTACCCTCGGGTTGTTTGATTCCTGGCGTCATCGATGTAAGGAAATCTAGGGGAGTCATGAACGGCTCGTAACTGTCTCCATGCGGAACCTGAATGGTGGCAAAATATCGAAAAACTTTGTCCGGTGTCGAGTATTGACGAATACGATTCTCATACTCGATTATCTGAATGGATAATTTCGAAATAAAACAAAAGTAAAAATGAATTTAATTATTGTTAGTAGATGAAACCAGTTGAACAACCAAACCCGATTAATAAATATTTACTAGGTTAAAAAATTTCTTTTCTTGGAATCGACGGGAAGTTTAATCACTTAGATTATACCAGATGACAAAGCGAACGAGCATGTTAATAATGAAACTTAAAAAAATACGAAAAGCATACAAAATTATTACCATTTGGTGCAGGCCCTAAACCCGGTGTAATAGCTCTAAGAAAGTCATCGGGCGTCATGTAGACGTGTGTAGAATCGTAGTAAATTATTTTTACAGTTGCAAAATAGCGAAATATTTTATCTGGAGTACTATAAGCCCTCAGTCGATTCTCGTAATCTATGATCTTTTACAATGACATCAATTTACGTGATAATTAGAAACTTATAAGTTAATTTTACAGAAAACGATAGAAAAGGATAAAAAAATAAATTTTTACAACAAAAGCTTTTCGTTTTTGAATTTATTCATATTATTCTTGTTAGACTATGTCTACTTGCTGATTTAATTCTGCTGGAGGTGACAGTATATTAGAAATCCCAATTTCTTTATAAATTCAAAGATTCCTTCACCAATTTACCTTTCTATCTCTAAATCCGACTTTTTCTTTAACGCGTTTCTTCTTTGGTTCTTCACCAGATGTTTCACTTTCACTATCTGAGCTACTTTCATCTTCAGAAGAATCTTTAATATCTTTAGCATCTTCGGCTTTATCTAATTTTTCCTTTTCAGGCTTAATTTTTGCTTCACAATCAACTCTTGGCATAGAGAAAAAGTTTTCGCCTGCTTCGTAGCCAAGAAGCCTAAAAAAAATAGAGAAATTAATTTGTAAAATCGCATACTTTTACTAATTTTTAATATTGNATTGAAATAAAATATTTATTTATTTAATAAATTGTTGCGTTTGATTGAGAACATTGTGACTCGAGAACGAGTTTGATGAAGTTTTTTTTTTGTTTTCGTTTTCGTCATCTGGTCAGAATTAATTTCCTTCCCTGTCCATGCCCTCCTTCATCTCTAAGACAGACAAAACTCATTCTTCTCTTTTCTTTACCGATCTTCAAACTTTCATTGACTTTTCTTTTCATCTCAAGGCTGCCCTTGCTATCTTCTCTATCGATTTTTTTTAAATCCCTTGTCCTCAAGAAAACTACATCTAAGATTTATTATTTAAAACAAAAAGTTTTCGCCTGCTTCGTAGCCAAGAAGCCTAAAAAAAATAGAGAAATTAATTTGTAAAATCGCATACTTTTACTAATTTTTAATATTGTTTACCCTTTCCAGTCAAGAAGGCATAAAAACAAAGAAAATCCAATGAAAAAATGAAAAGCTTTTGTAACACCTGGCACTGGAGTAGGTTTGTGTCCAAAGTTCTTAAAACCTCTGTAGTGTTCTTGTCTAAATGTTGATTTAGAAGCGTCTCGAACTTTGAACCCAATTGGTACTGTCATTGGGACGATCTTTGATTGTGAAAGAATCGTATTTTTCGCTAATAACGCTCCACAAAACCTTAAACTTGACATTGTGACTGAAATGGATAAACGAGAAGTAATAAGTTTTCAAGGTCCGCGAATTTCTATCTCATTGTATTGTTTACAACTGTAAATGCATGAATGCAACACATGTACTTTTTCAATGTTATTTCAAGTACTTTTAAGGAAGTAAATAAATCGATGGAAAAATATCAATCAAAACAAAAAATTCACATGGTTTTTTCATGCAATATGTACCTTAATTTGTTGTGATTTCAATTTCACTATATGATGTTGATAGTCTTATTACTTATTTAGACAATTTCATAACATTAATTACGTTTTTTTTCAACAATTTCAATTTTTTTCTTCACTGCGGATTTTATTCCGTTCGATTGTTTTAGCACATTTGTATGAAATTATGCTAAAAATATGAATTTTTAAAAACCGTTATTTTTTCATATTTACGTGCTAAAGATTTTCTTAGAAGTTAAATAAAGTAGGTGAAAATTAGGAAGACAGAACTTTTCAGTTTCAGTAGTCACAATTCCTCATAGTTGTGAAAATTTACTTAAATTTTCAAATTTTCTTGATTAAATTGTCATTTAAATTGAATTATTTGGTAATTCCATTAAAATTAAATTTTATAATAACAAAATATTTTAATCCTATTATTTCCCTTCATAAATATTTCCCAAGAAAATGTGTGAAGTAAAAAATTAAATTCCCTCAAATTCTTCTTCTTTATCCCAAACAATTTATCAAGCAATTGTTTAGTCCTTTTATCAATGTGAAGCAAGAATGCTTTCTTTTTCATCGTAAAAGTTTACTTGACTTGAAATGAAATATTTTACACGCTTTTTTTATCACCAAAGTTACACGCATACTTTAAATTCAATAAGCGACAAGAAAACGATTCTGTCTTGAAAGCATGAACGATGATAAATAAGAAAGAAAATATGTCTCGTTTCTTTTAAACAGAAGAAATGTTTTGCCTCCATTCAAGCACGAATAAGAATGTAAATAAACGATAAGAGTAACAAAGAGAAATTGGATAAAATATTATGGCTTTGAGAAAAAAAATGTCTTCTTGATCTTGAAAGTATATAAATGCGGTTTTCCTTATATCTATTATGAATTTCTTTTCTCTGAAAAATACTGAAAGATGAAGATTGCTACAACAAACAAATGATGAAAATTCATAGTCCAAGTAGATTGTGAATAATGAAAATTTTCTCAACGGACGCAAATTACTGAAACAAACAAAAACATGAGACAACAGTTTACAGTAAATAATCAAGAACGTTCTCTTTATATAAAAGCGCAATGTCAACGAGTAAATGTGTTGATGTGTTCAGCACAGCAGCAACAACGTTCATTGATTGGTGAAGGGGCGTGGCTTTGTAAACGATATTTTTATGCGTTAATGCCACCAATTGTAGGAACATTTTGACTCGAATTCATATTGCATTGGAGTTTAAAACGTTTCGGATGGAGTGAAAGAAACTGTAAAGAAAAATAAAAACATTTCGCAATGTTGTCCCGAAACTGAACAGTGAAACATGTTTGAATTGGATACTCGAGAATTAAAACGATAAAGTGAACAAGAAAGTATTATTAAAAGCACGGTGTAATGTAAATTGGTGAAAATAACAAAGCATACATCATAAACCGTGCACATGTGTAAGCTTTAGAGAAGTAAGGATACACCTCTTCACTCTCATTTAAATCACAAATTCAGCCGACGATTCAGTTACTGTCTCGACGTTCATTGATGTAAACCGCGGGTAATAAAAACATCGGCTTAGTTTCATGAGTTCAATCTAAAAAGGAAACATTTTTGAAAACTTAAACAAGAAAAAGTGAAAAACTTGGAATAGAAAGAAACATTATTAAACAAAAAATCAAATAATGTGCAATGTTATTGAATATTTAAAACGCAGATCATTTACATTCTATTAACTCCTTTTATTTACTTTTTAATAAAAAATTGACCGCCATGAAAATATTTTTTATGTATTCGCAAACACATTCACAAAAAATGTTGGCGACAATTTTCCCCCGGAAAAACGTTGCGGTAAAAGAAGGGAAAGAGAGAAGGCGGAATGAATGTTAATTCACAATATCGCCAGTAACCACTCACAATGAACACTTTTTCATGCTCAAACGCTATTACTCAAAATCCTCTGTTATAGATACAAAAAAAGTTCGTTGCAAGCCCGTTTCATGAGCGATAATACATTGTGTCGATTATTTATTATGTTTCAAGTAATCAACGTTACGAAAATATGATGGGAGTTAATGGATTGTAAGAATCTGTGCGCTGCTTGACTGCCGATGAGCCATTTGTTTTATGATTCATGTTATGTTTAATTTGCGATAAAGCGATGATGTTCGACGATCATGTCTTTTAATAAAATTACATTGCACATTATGTAGATATAATCGTTTGTAGATTTAGCTAAGACAGAAGTTTTAATGAAATTTTTCCAGAGAAATATAAAGACTTCGATGCTGACAACTAATGTGTGATAAATAAATTGCAATAGAGAATAAAAGGAAAAAGTGCAAGACAATGAAAATTAATAAAAACTGCAAGCTGTGAAACTCACAAAAGTTGAAGTGTCAGTGAATTTATCAGCTTTCGAGGTTCATAAATCTCGATCAAAAAATAAATTAAATTAAATTAATTGAAAGCAGAGAAGAAGAAAATCCGTCAAAATTTTTGCGTTGCAAAACTCAACGGCCATGGGAGCTGCCGTGACTCCCTGGTCATCAACAATGATGATGGATAGAATATCGTTGGACGATATGCCGCATAAAGGTAGAGGTAATATTTTATCTTTAAAAGCGATCGTACGTCTCTTTTGATCTCGTCCCGAAAAATATAAAAATAAATTAAAAATAAAAACTTAAAAAAAAATCTTCCATCAATGAAAATATTATTCCTGATGTCCACCCCTAAAGACAGTTTCAAGAGTCCTTTGTCAACACCAAAAATCACAAATGATGGCCAGGTGACTTTAAAAAATATATCACAAAGCAAAACAAACTCTTACAACGATCCCCGAAACTTTCATGTCGTCTCATTGTCTGTGCGAAGAGCAAAACATAAATTATCGAACCTCCGAATAATGGGTAAATGAACAATGGATGTATCGAGTCTATTACACGCACTTTAAATGCCGAGAAACACGATGAACAAATTCGTCGTTGTCATCGACATTGAGAAGTCCTAATAAAGAAGTTAAAAATTTCTTCTTCAATTCAGAAGCTGCAGCTCATTCACAATTTTAAGGGACTTTTGGCTTTGCTTCTTCATACATAAGTGTTTAAAAACCATAAATCATCCTTTTATTGTTGATCCTATTTCATGCCGCTTCAAGTGTGACAAAGGCAATTTTACTGGAGTTAAACTTTGTTTTGGATTATTCCGCATGCTTTGTTTGAATCTCTTCTTCTCCTTCTTCAATTAATCTCGAGGTCCGGAAAACTCCAATTTCCTTTCTCGTAATTTCATCTGCGGGAAGAGAATTTCACATTTTCCCAAGCTAAGCAACAAGCGGACTATTAAAGAACGAGATTTACTCCGACGGAAAATCATTTAATGAAAAGGATCATAAATTTCAGGCATCTTATTGAAAGCTTAAGAAACAAAATAAGAAAAATTTCCCTAAGCACAGCATGCAGTTAAAAGAAATGAATGGTCAAGTAAGGATCAATAGAAAAAACATCTTTTCAAGTAAAAAAGATTTTGTTTAGTCGTCGATTGATTCCCCCACGTATTTATTTATAAAATCTACGAGATTTACGGCAAATAAAAATCCCTTGAATGAAGATAAAATATATTAATTTTACAAATCTGTATTTAGAAATTTCATTTCTGATTTTTTATTCATTATGAATCATAAGGCAACATAAATTTCTATGATCACTCATTGATTTCTTGTATTGTTGCAATAACAAAGTTTTTCGACACCATTCCGTTAAATTGTTTCCACTAATCAGCATTCATGGCGCCAGAAACTTGAAGTATTAATTCAAAATACGTTAATTGCACCCGACTTACATCTTTCGATTGACTGATTTCGAAGAAATGAAACTCAAACACTCGTCGATACAATAAATAAATAAAGTAAAAAAATAGTTACAGAAAATTATGAATAAAAGTATTATTGGGATTTGATTCTGGAAAGTTTTTCCACATCGATGGATTTATTAAAAAGGCAAGCAATGAGTGGAGAGAAAAATAATCAAATAATTGCTTCTAGAGGAATAATGTCGCTCATAAATGATTTCGAACAAAACAAAAGTCAACGGAAGTAAAATTAAGGACTCGTATGTGGTCGATGCAAATTGCAATTTAGGGAAAAGAATTTCTCCTGATCATCGTCGCCACAATAATTCCAACAAACTTTTTTGGAATGCAAAGCAGAGAAAAAAAAATTATTTCAATTCATCGGTAAATTGTTGTATTGATTTCATTGCCATTTATAAGTACAATAAAACAAGTTGCCTGTTGTTGCGAACATTTTTTTCTGATTGTTCATCTATTTTGAAATTCTTTCACGAAGAAATATTTTCACACAGAAAATTCTCGGTTCGAATATTTTCCCCTGCTTCTTATTGCTACTGCAAAGGTAGTAAGAACATCTTAAAATTTGTCGAAACAGTAAGAGGTCCATTCTAATGTAACAATTATTTTACTGTTAGCAAAACAAACTGGCATGTAATGACTTGATTCTATTGATTCTCGCCATCCCTTCAACTCACCAGGTCTTTAGACTTTTGTCAACATTTTACCACGATTATTCATGTAATAATGGATTAATAATGGTTTCAATAAATGTTGTTATTTCTTAGGGATATTTCTTGTACAATTATTTTAAACTAAATAATTGAAACAAACTAAAAAGTTTTATTTGATGGCTGACAAAGTTTTTATCTCAAAAAAAAAGAAACAAACTTAGAATCTTTTCTTTATAAACAATTCCAAGAACATCCAACATAAAATATTGAAAAGGATATCATCCTATCAAGGTCTTCTAAAGTATCAATTTAAACCTTAATCGAATTTCAATGAAACTTTTTTATGTTCGTTCTCCTTTTGCCGAACAACGAAAGCAAAAGTTGATATAACTTATAACAAATAATAAGAAATAAAGTCAAGTTGAGTCGTATCCCAAGATATTGTGTCGGGTTTTTTGGAAGAATATGAAAACAGAATGTCGTGTAATTCAATACTTCAAATATGCGTTGTAGTAACCGAAAGACAAATCTTGAGACTTTGAAGAGTTTTATTGAAGAAATTGATTTAAAATTATTTTCGATTCCACGAATATTTGATTGGAAACCATGAATTAGATTCGAAACAGTTATAAAAACTTTGCTGTCATTAGTCATCTTGCAGGCAAAAAAATTCATTCATTTTGACAAACTAAACAGCAAGCACGCTTATAAATCTGAATCATTAAAAAGAAATTCCAATAATAGCAACTCTCCGATATTGTATTGAAAACAAGCGTTACAAACGTCAATTGAATGTGACATAAAGATGTGATGTAAGAGAATTTTTTCACTTGATTGACCAGAGAAAACAGACGAGACAGACCACCAGAATGACAAGGCTAGTGTATGTGCTTGCTGTCTTACACAAAACACAAAGTAAAAGCAGTTAGAGGAAATGTCTTAACGGGGTAATTAAAAAGATTGAATTACGTTTTGGAGTAAGGCATATTGGAGAAGACAAAACTGCCACCCAACAAGCATTAAAATATGCTAAAAGAAATTCTTCGACAAAGCAATAATCGATAAAAAAATGTTTTAAACTTTATTAAAGCTTATCTTCGTCATGAAAATTTAAATTATTAAGACATTCAATTCTTAAGAATATTTTTTTTGCAAGAAATTCATTTTAAGTCGTCTTTTGTTGTCAACACTTCAGGGTGCTGTGTTAAATCTCAAACAGCAGACAAATTCGAGAATTTCTTCCTTTAATTGTGTTGCTAAATCCATCAGCACATTTTCCTTCTTTTATTGATGGAATTTATTGCCGTAAAATATTATTGTCGGAAGAAATTTTTTCCTACATTTTTAAGGAAATAAATTAAACGCACAAAAGAAATTTCTATTGTTCGATTGGCTATTAATCGTTTACGTTTAAAATCAAAAATAAGAAAATATATTTCGAAACACTTTTGAGGTCGTTCGCATGCTGTTTGGACATGGGATTTAAGAAACTATAATTGCATGATCAATGGGATATGCTTTGTGATCTGATCGTGAGATTCTTACGCAATTTCTAAGTTAAAGAAATTTTGTTGCAATTCACAAGCTTCGAATTACAACAATTTTCACTGGGTGGTCAAATTTGACAAGAAATATTTCCATCTAAACAAGATTCACTATCACATTATATGTCATGTAATTCGATTACTCTCGTTTGAATGCGACGTGAAATCGATAATTTTTGTCTTCTCTTCATTATTATTGTTGTAATATTCAACATGGATCATCAACATTGCTAGTTACATGTATCAAAATTAGATATGTGTATAAAATGAGATGACGAAGAGATAACAAAGCGAAAGAAAACCAAAACAACGTGTGTGTAATATGCCATACAAGAATCCAATCATGCGATTAATCTGAACTGGCATTGTTCTAAAATGTCCACATAAATTTGTTAACGCTTCGATAATGAGACGATTGAAATAAAATATTTATTTATTTAATAAATTGTTGCGTTTGATTGAGAACATTGTGACTCGAGAACGAGTTTGATGAAGTTTTGTTTTTTGTTTTCGTCATCTGGTCAGAATTAATTTCCTTCCCTGTCCATGCCCTCCTTCATCTCTAAGACAGACAAAACTCATTCTTCTCTTTTCTTTACCGATCTTCAAACTTTCATTGACTTTTCTTTTCATCTCAAGGCTGCCCTTGCTATCTTCTCTATCGATTTTTTTTAAATCCCTTGTCCTCAAGAAAACTACATCTAAGAATTATTATTTAAAACAATTTCGTTTTCTTTCACATGAATAAACTTTCATATGACAAATCTTCTTGTGAAAGTTTAGTCAAACTTCTTGTAAGAAAATTAAATCAGAAAAATTTTGATGTTCTAATTAGAATTTATTCCCTTACACAATCTTTTGGAATTAAAGATAACAATCTGATTAAATTTTGGAAATGAGAAAGAAAATACGAGAATTCTATTTGAACAAGAAATTGTAAAAACATGAATTTGTTTAGTTTATTTATTATTAGAATGAGTTGAAACTTTTAATTGCTAAAGTAAAATATTATAGAAAAATAAGATTTTTTTCATAAAGTCTATGATGATTAAGTTTACTTAAAGAACTTTCAGTAGCGGCAATTGGTTTTGTAAATATTTTAAATTTACACAAAACTTTCAATCAAGCATTTCATTTATCTTTGTCAGGGAACTGAACCGGTTCTTGTACTAAATATTCGAACCGGTTCCGATCCCTACTATTAATTAATTACTACATTTAATGATTAAAACCACTGCAACCTTTTCTTGTTTTTAAAGAATTCTCTAAGAAAATAAATTCATCCTTACATCCTTTCCCCGCATTCACTCTAGCAATCAAAATTTCTCACAAAAACTGAAAAATTAATTTTTCTGTATTTTCTTTTTTGTTTATTTTCATATTTTTGTTAAAAAAAATCAAATCAAAAATCTGAAAAAAACTCTCGAAATCAAACGAAAACATTTGCCGTCTGTCGCACAAATTACACACAAACAAAATCCCAATTACCTCATAAAACAAAAACTTGATAAAACAAAAATAAGGTCACAGTGGTGTCAATCAATTAGGCGGTGTCTTTGTAGGCGGCCGACCTCTTCCGGACTCGACGAGGCAAAAGATTGTGGAGTTGGCGCATTCTGGTGCACGCCCTTGTGATATATCGAGAATTTTACAAGTGTCAAATGGCTGCGTCAGTAAAATATTAGGAAGGTAAGATAAAATTTAAATAATTTTAAGAAATAATTTAACAACAATAAATTAAATTTAATATTGACAGATATTATGAAACTGGCAGCATTCGACCCCGAGCAATTGGAGGCTCAAAGCCTAGAGTTGCAACGCAAGAAGTCGTCACAAAAATATCAGACTATAAACGCGAATGTCCGTCGATATTTGCTTGGGAGATTCGTGATCGATTACTGCAAGAAGGCGTGTGCACTAATGATAATATACCAAGTGTGAGTAAAAATATTGTTAAAGATCTTTAAACCTGTTTGAATTGAAGTAATTAAACGGAAAATGCACGTGTGTGTTTAACAACTGAAGCGTAAACGACCAGTTAGAAAAAAGTCCTCAAATTATCCATGCGAAAACAATCTCAAAGTGGAAACTTTTCGGTTTTCCAAAAACAACAAACAATCTCGGTCCTTAAGCAAACACAAAAGCATCCCCCAATTCATCGTAAATTTATGCAGAGAAAAAATAATTAAATTATTCATCGCACTATTAACGCACAGAAGAGTCAAGCTGTAGACATTTAAATATTTTTATTTTTGGATTTGCGAGTAGAATGGGTTACGACGATAGACATAAAGCCTCACACTCATCAACTGCTTAACTCGATGATCACATTAAACATTTTAATCAAATGGCTTGGAAAGGAAATTTTTATTTGTTGAAGTATTGCGTAATATTTACTTATTTATATGTACGACTGAATTTTAAAGTTCTTTAGACCTTGTTTAGTATTCATAAAGGGAAAGACATTTTTATTTCTTCATCGGGTTTGATTTATATTTTATTTTTGTGGGAATGATTGAAGAGCTTTGTGAGTAGAAAACAAGAAAGTTTTAAAAAGCAGCGCACCTGTGGAAAAGTTCTTCTTTAAACTTATTCAATCGTAATGAAACGTCCGGAAAAGTTTTGACATTCCATCATAAGAATTTCCTTCTTAAAGTGTGAACACAAATTATGCTTGAAAAATGGAGAACGGCGGTAAAAATTCTATGTTGATGTTAAGGTAATTTATTCACCCTTGCTGTCGTCTTTCAATGTTTCGTTCTTTCACATTCAAGATTACAGATTTTATGCTTCCACAATTTTTTTTCTTCTTTAATCATGTGCAACATTATGATAATTTGACATAGAAAGAGAATCGATGTCCTTTGGCAGTAAACTCGACGCTTTGTCTGCGAAAACTTGTAGAAATCTATGGTCGACTTTATTACCATTTTCCGATCGCTTTTCACCGCCTCATATCGAATATTTTACATCGTCGAAGTTTATTTCCGATAGAGGAAAAGTGCACTTAATTTTATTTATTTTATTTTTCACACAATATTATCATAAAGTGTCGCAGTGATTGTTAAAATTCCTGAATCAAACCGTTATTTAATGATATCGAAGCGAATGTAAATGGCAATAAAGCAGCATTCAAGATATTGTCACCCTCATTCGACAGCCAACGCCACCCTCCATTCTTTCTTCGTTCTGTCACGGCAGTTAAGCTTGCTTTTGTCGCTTACAATGGCAAGAAAATTTATCAAATGAAAATAGCAAACACTTCGTTAAGGGGTCGAGTAGTGATGCATGGTAGAAATTTAATCACTCTTTATGGATGTTATTAGCAATGTAACAACTAATTTTTCCTACGATACATCATTTATCTTGTTATTTCTTTTGATGTGCTTTCTTTTACACGAAGGTCGATTAATGTTTAAACAAAATGATGACAACTTTTGTTAAGAAGGGATAATTGAAAAGAAAACATTTGTGGGAAATGTAATCCGAATAATAAATATTTGCATAACGATACAATTCAAAATGAGTTTGTTGTTGATATTGTCGACTTAAAAATCTACACGTGTAATCTTCTTCTCATTTTCCATCCATCCCAAACTCTTAAAATTCATCATCAAAAAGATTTTACGTCATATTGGAGAAAAACATAAATTTAGATTCGTGAAAAGTTTTTTCTTATCTTTCGTCAAGAAATGAGAAGAAAACTCATCAAAGAATCTTCCATCGAATTTGACGTTCAAAGAAGGGAAAATTGCGTATGATAAACGGTTCTTCAAGTGGCAAAATTCCAATTAAGATTGAAAGCGATTATAAGTCTTCATTTCACATCAGGCATACATAATCAGATTAAAATGTTCCGCAGAAGTTTAAAATCATAATTTTCTAATATCATATAAAACACGATCCCTGAAATAGGAAAGCACATTAAAAACAAATTACAAATTTTTTTTAATAACTCAATAAGACTCTTAAGAGTTTTTATTTGCCTTTTTTTTCTTGAATGATTTCCGAAGGGAGAATCGTTTAAGTAGTGCTTCGTTGAAGAGTTTTGATAAGTTTTTCACTTCCAACGTTAACATCAGACAACTCTTAAAAATTTAATATAAAAAGCATATTGAGTTGAGATTCATATCAACGCATCCCGACACATGATGCATGTGACGAATGACAGTCATCATCAAAGAGACGGTGGTTGAAAGTTGAAACAAACATATCAAAACAACTTCACATTCGACAGCACCGAAAAGACGACGTCAGGAAATATTAAAAGGAATTTTTATTAAAGATTCTTATCAGTCGATGTATGAATGAGATCAACATTGTCGCAGTTCCTTTCAAATCGAAAAATGAGTGAACATTATTAAGTTTTTACATTATTTGTGAGGGTGCAGAGTGTGCAGGAAATTTAAATGACGATTTTAATGGGATCATATTTTATCGGGTTGGTTGATGTGACTCAGGCATGACCGATATGGAAAGTAAAAGGTCATCGATTTATTTTTCTCCTTTCTCATCATCTATCTGAAAAGAAGAAAATCAAATGATCACAATCTTAAAGATTGTAGAAAAGCTGGTAAAGGGTTTCCAACTTTCCAAAAGGATCTCCATTTGTGTTCATTGTAGTGTGATTAATTTTCTTATAATTTTCTTTTCTTCTATGTCTCTAAACTGCTTAGTGTGAGACTTCTTGTGTTTGTCTTTTTATCATCGTCTTCTTATTCTTATTATTTTTCCTATAAACTGAATCTGAAGCGCCACTGATTTAATTTCGACCACCCACACCAACTGTCAGTGTCCACCATTAAATTATCTGTCAGTGAACTTGTAATTTGATTTGTCTGACATTCGTTTCGAGATATTCTTTTTTTGTTGTTGTAATAATATCATTGATTCATATAATGAATTCATTTTCAATGATATCGCAACTATGGATCTTTAATTAAAAAAAATAATCTCGCTTTATCCTTGTTAGTCAAAAAAAAATCGAAAATAGATGAGTGTCGGGGTCAAAAGACTTTTCAACTGTCTAGCAGTCGACCACGTTCAAGCGAGTATCGTTATGACGTCGATGAAGACGTGGTGGAAAATGTTAACGGATAAAATAATTCGATTTCATTGTGAGAAGTCATTGAGCCGGGAAAAATAATTCCTAAGCATCAGCAGGCTGGTTCTATGGAATCGCGTCATATGTAGGAAAAAAATGTTCTTTGACAGATTTCATAAAACCTTCAACACGATCTGTTAATGCTTTAGAAACTGTAACAACTTTTTATGAGAATACGGAAAATGTGGAAGCACGTGACATGCACATGTTTGGTCCGCTTAAGTTTCTATTCACGACAAATGGATTGACAATAATTTGGCTTTGAGAAGCCTTGAAAAAAAAAAAGAATTTTGTGTGTTAGAACACATTTTGGAAAAGTTTGCATCAGCATAAAAAAGGGTCAAGCTGGATTGCTGCCAAAATATCCGTGAAATTTCATTGCGAAACAATTGACATAGAGCAGCGTTGTGAGCTCTGAAAATTCAATTTGAATTCGAGATTTTCAACAAGTTTATGTCGATATGGATCCCACTTTTGAAAGCAAAAGGGGCTGGCAGAACTCATGCGCAGGAAAGGAAATTTTGATTGCATGGAAAAGAAGATTAAAGGAAAATTGTTTCTTTTTCCCTTTTTAGTATTCGCAATGGTGGTTCACTTGAAATTTTAATATCTTAATTCTTCCTTTTTCCATATCGTATTTCCGGGAAGTTAGGGTTGAAATGAAATTTCGAAACAGTTGAGTTTGAGTGTTGTTTGTTCATACTTTGAATAAATATTTTCGTTATTAATTATTTGATCCTTAAACCCAAACTTTCTTATTAAAATCTTTATAAGTGAAGATCGTTTCAACTCATCCCTAAATACAAATATGAAATCGATAAATTTACAGTGAAAAATGTTTTTTATTTATCATATTTTGTAACTTTTTTGGGGTTGCCTGAGTTCTTACACAAATATAAATTTACTGACTTAATATTGAAGCTTTAACACCTGGCAATTCATTGTCAGCACATTGCAGATAGCAAGCAGAGAACGGTTTTTCAAACTCTCCTCATTCTCTTAGCATGCCGTTTTCATAGCGATTAAAGTCTTTTGTGAAGTTAAAGTTGCGGAAAAATTATTAACACTCGAATGAACTTTTCATACATAAAGTAAAAGGAACGACAGCAAGGGAGATGTTTCATTTATTTAAAATATATTTTCATAGTTTTTTCCTCTCTTCTCAATGTTGTCATCAAAGTTGTTAATTTATGCGACGCTCCATAAATAGATTTGATGTATAAAAATGGATTTGCTGTCATAGTTTGATCAAGGCTTGTTTTCATTTTAGTTAACAAATGTGCGAGTGGGTTTGCGTGGGATGATTTTTCAGTTTAATTATTTGGTTGAAAACCATCGCAACCTTTTAAAAGTTTACCTTGATTTTAATTGCTTGTTATGTTAATCTTCACAAACAAATTCAACTTGTGCAAATCAAAATAAAGGATTAATTTCATCAAATGTAATGTGATATCGTCATTAAACATATCATGAACATTATCGTTTGAGTAATTACTTATGACGCTCAATGCTGTTAACAAATTATTATGAACTTCAACTTCCCTGGGAATGTTGTTGCTTTTATTTATTCACAAGAAAGAAATAAAGAACTGCACAAAAAAAGTTATTTGTTCTGTCGTCACTTGAATCACATTCAAAGCCAACAAGGGTGACTTCGCTTTCTTGTCATCCCTTCATATCCAAATTGTTTGCCTCATAAATGAAGCATAAAGAAATAATAATCTAAAGTAGTACTTTTCAGTCGACTCAATGGGCATGGAGAATTGAAGTTGAAAGAATTATTTGTCGTTTTGCTTATGCTGTGATCGTGGAGAGAAAGGAAAATAAAATATTAAATTACCGTGAACAATTAAGGACTCTCAGCACACACTTGTGTTTAGTTTGATTTAAAAACACCCATCAATTGAATGATAATTACATGATTCGTTTAAATTATAGGTGTCTTCAATAAACCGTGTTCTGCGCAACTTGGCAGCACAAAAAGAGCAACAGCAGAGTCACTCAACGCCAAGTCATTCAAACAACACATCAATCAGTAGCTATCAGCCAACAACACTTGTCAATGATTCGATTTATGATAAACTACGCTTATTGAACAACAATCACCGTCATCAGTCGATACGCGATTCATGTTGGCCACCACGCAGCCCAACATGGTATCCACATTTATCAAACACTCACCATCAACAAGATGGCAACATTGCAGTTAATGACACGACAACAAATCATCTTACAACAGGCTTGATGTCGCCTCAGTCAACGACGCCCATTAAAGAATATTCGTCACTTAGTCCCAACTCTTGTAAAGCATCATCAATCAACGATGATATGACAAAAACGGCTTCAAAGAAAGGGGAGTGTTTCAAAAAAAAGTCAAGAATTTCACTTTTTATTCAGAGATATCTCAGGGTTCATGTAAACAAAGTGCGTTGTTTGTTTGCCTCTTGTTTTGCGATGATGTTTTTAATCAGCGTAATCACTTTTGTCGTCACATCTCGAATGCTTTTTGTTTTATTTTCATTTGCCCCATGTTGTGATTTTAAGTTTATTGTTCTTCCAACATGAACATCGATGACATGGCGGATTCCTGTGGCGGGATATTCATTGTGTTGGGTGTAGCATAAATGCTCATTTACATCAAGCATTTATTGTCATCGAGAGAAACTTTATATGCACAGCAATGCTATGATCATTTTGCGATTGAATGGTCACATGAGTGGATCTTGTTTGAATCAGATTAAAGTATCAATTTTTTAATTATCGTTTTTGTTGTTGTTCAGAAGATTTATCAAAATTTCCACTAATAAATCCCATTTTGAAATGGAAATGAATCGAAACGAAAATTAATTGATTTGAATAATTTAATTGGATTTTTCGGTTCGAGAAAAGTTTGTTTGGTGCGTGTACGCATGAAATATGATGGGAAAAAATTTAATCTTTTATTAGATTATTTTTTGAAAATTGGCAAAGTTTAGGAAATTTCATTAATAATATTTTGGGGGGAAATTTTTCATATTTATGCAATAATAATTTGAATGGTTTGAGAGCTTTCAAACATCTTAAAAAACGACAATGAAATTTCTTGTTACAAGCTTCTTGATCAAAAAGAAGCAAATGAAAAGAGATCGAAAACGATAAAACAAATTAAAATTCTTTTTGCATATTTTCCCTCCCGAAAACTCATTATTCAAACTTTTAACATCATCATCAAAGACGTTCCATTGATGGAATGCTGGTTTGACGAAAGGAAGAAATAAATTTTCTCATGATACGCGATAGAAATCAATCGAGAATTTCTTTTAAATATTCTCGCAGTGTTTCATTTGTTCATATTTGCTGAAGTTGCTGCTGCTGTTATTGAAAATGTGTTTGGTGTAAACAATAAATAAAAGAATCTTGTGAACGGGTTTTCCATCAATTCCTAACTATTATTTTCGCTTAATTACTTTTTTTCTCAAACAAAATTCCGTCAATCGAATGGGGGAAAAAGAAGGAAAAGAAATCGTCTCCCATCTATAGATTTTTTTTAACAAAAGACTCACAAACAAGACCGGGTTGGGATGAAACAATAAGGAATGTTTTTTATTTATCAAGAAATGAAAATCGGGCAAGGACACCAAGCTGCGAAACTCTTTTATGTTCATTCATTCTTTTATGCAATTCCAAGATATCGGGAATTGAAATGTTTGACTTCTGTAGATTGTCTCAGCATGTTGTCATATTAATTAGCTCAAAGATTCGCTGCAACTTTTAATCTCTGACTTTTCACATCGATTTAAATTTTTTTTTTCTTTCTATTTATCGTAATGCATTAAAAAATTTCTTTTGTTCTTCAGCGAAGTTTTTTCTTTCTTACTTCTAAAGTGAAGAGTGAAATATAAAATCGTCATGTGAAAAGAGAGAAAAGAAAGAAATCTGCCAATAATTGTTTGACTCTTAGATAGATGGGAACAATGAAAACTTCGTCATGAAGAAAAATTTGATTTAAACTTCAGTTTCAGAAAGATTGCAAAAATATTTCAAACCGTGACGCAACAATTCATTCATCCCCGTCTATAAAAAAAGTAAAAAATAAAAAACAGAAATCACTTCTGAGAGATTTCAAATCACACAATAAGACGACAATAAGAGTGGAACAAAGATTATGAAAGACATTTTTCTGCACTTTTCGATGAGAACAAAAGCAAGAAAAGAACTCACATTGACGGCTGCTTTAAGATTGCACAAATCCAAATTGATTTCTCAGTTCTATGAAGTTCTCAATAAAGAGAAATTTCTCAATGCAATATGTGACGAAGTCAACATTTGTGGTGAACCATAAATAAATTGATAATATTAAGAATTTAAACAATCTGAAGAAGTTTTCAACTCACCCCATCACTTTAAACTGAGTTTAAAATTTAATTCAAATTCTAATGAATAATGCAAACAGCCTCAAGCTAGATACAAACTTCATGTTAAAATTGTATCTTTTTCTGTGGTTAATTTGTTTGTCTTTCATGTCTGGAACAGACTTAACATTACAGACATCACATCTCCCCATAGACACATCAGTAACAATTTCAATTTTCCACTTGTGAAATATTCAAGAAAAAAAAGATATTAAATTAAAAATCAGATACATAAAAGCCATCAGGGTAATGGAAAAGCATGAGTAAGCACGAGAGATCAAAATGAGATGCACAAACGGGCAAAATCCATCACGAACAATTTACCCAATGTTCAGAAACAGAAAAGAAAAAAATTCAAAAGATTAAAAGGCCGTAATTTGCCTCAGCTTTTTATATTTCCACTGCAAAGAAAATTAAACTGGAAAATTCCTTGGGAAAATGAAGAAGCGAACAGCAAAAGTTATGATGAAATGACTGAAATAAAAATTATGCTTTTTTATAGCTCAAACAGTTGAAATGCTGACGGTTGTCATCTCCATTAACTTTTTTGTGATGGATAACTTGATGTTTAAGAAAACTTATGATCAAAGCTTTTCCGACGGTGTTTCCAACTTTAATCGAAGCTTCAGACATAAAATGAATTGCTAAAGTTATAAAGAAAATCTCACTGCTTTAAAAATCATTCATTGCCCAATGAAATATAAAACAAATTCGATTGCGTCTCTTACTTCACAACACTTGAGATTAAATTGATTGAAAATTGAGATTGTAAAGATTCAATATCGGTTACAAGGTCAAAAAAATATATTTTTTTTGTTATTATGAAGTTACAAGCATCACTTGACAGTTCATGATAAAATTTCAAGTCAATTAAATTCGACTCAGTTGAAAATCTTTGATTATGTTTTAATTAAGTGTTACAAATGGTGTTTTAATCCTTCGATATTAAATATAATGTTGAAATAAAAGAGTCAAGTCGTTCTGGCACGCTACATAAAATCCGGTAACGATTGTCGTCGTTTGAATTTATTCATGAGAGCATAAATTTATGAAATCTCATTGTAATCATAGACATAAAAAGCTGTATACACTCACTGATCATATTTAAGTGAGAGAATGGAAAACTGTCCACAACAAATAGTTTATGTCTCGACACGTGATGCAAATCTCTTGGAAAATTTTCAGGGTGTTTTTCCTGGCTTTCTGTCTTTCCATTCGGCTGAACAAAAGTAAAAAACGATTTACACAACTGGCCCAAAACGCGACCATATTTTAATTATATTGGAGTGGGATGGCATAACAAAATATAAATAGAAAAATAATTCGATAATCGCTCTAAATTTCCACACGAACAAACCAATTATTCCTCAATTTGACTTAAACTTAAAGTTTTTAATTAACAGAAAAGTTTACGAAATGAAAAATGAAGTCAAACATTTCACTTTCTCTCCATTTTCTTGAATCATCAACAAAAAAATATTAAAAAAAACATTATCGAGTGCGGCTTGGGTGAAAATGAAAAATAAATTGTTATTAAAAATAATAATAATTTCTACCTTATCACAACTTTCTGCTTGAATGATTGTAAAATGCATTTCAGTCTTTTGTTGCTTGTTTTCCCCTCGAAACGTTGTGTTCGGTATATACCAACAAGGGTTCTGATTTATTAAGTACATAATAGAATTATTTCATGTCCCCGAATAAGAAAAAGCGAAGCAGAGTCGAGTTTACATTTATATGCTCCTCCCTATTGTATGTGTATGTAGCATGACTATCCTGTGCGCTGTGAATACAATAGAAGGAAAATGTTTTGCTTGTCAAACCGTTTCTGGTTCGTTCAGTGCTTCTTCGAAGCATATTTTTATTTTCATGCGACCAACAACCCCTTTTTTACTTTTTACTGTTTAAAACTTTTATTCTTTCTTTTTTATATAAATTTAAGTCGTTAAAGACTCAAAAGTTCTAAATATCGCATCCTTTTTTATGATGACTACCCTTCACTTGTATTTATTCAAAATCGACCAACATTTCTCATTTTTCACAAACAATTTAAGGCGCAATCATCCATTTTATACCTCTGAGAAGTTTTCCTTCTTTTGCAGTGGAACCGAATTAATTGAGTTTGTTATTTTATCTTTTTTAATCTTCGCCAGTGGAAACGCAATCGGATGGAAACCTTTCCGGTGGCGAGGGTGAGAATTCCAACACTGATTCGACCATTGACACTGACGATGATCAAGCGAGATTGAGGCTGAAAAGGAAATTGCAACGTAATCGTACTTCATTTTCGAATGATCAAATTGATAGCTTGGAGAAAGAATTTGAAAGAACTCATTATCCAGAGTAAGAAATCATTAAAAATTTGTTTTTTTGAAGCCTTGTTTAAGAATTTAAAAATGTTCTCTACTCAGTGTCTTTGCCAGGGAACGTTTGGCTGTTAAAATTGGACTACCAGAAGCAAGAATACAAGTTTGGTTTTCAAACAGAAGGTGAGAAATTATTCAAAATACTTTTAAATGCTTCTACAAAAATTTAATAAAATCACAGAGCAAAATGGCGACGGGAAGAAAAGTTGAGAACTCAACGTTTATCAACTCCAAACAGCAACAATAACAACAACACTTTAAATGTCAATAATAATGAGATTAGCTGTGCCAATGACACAAATTCATCTTCGGAAACAAATCCAAAGGCAAATGTTCCAAACGGTTCGTCAAATATGAACAGCATGCTGCATAATCAACATCTTGGTGGTAACATGACCGACACCCACAACAGTGGAATTATTGGCGACATGCACAATCCACTTATTAATGGAAATCATCATTTGTCAACACCGTCGAGCTTAATCACTCCAACATCATCAGCAGCATCACTTTCGCCACCGAGATTCAACTTCAATCATGGCTTTTGTAGTACAATGAGTCCAATGTACACTCCACAAATGTCGATTGCTGATTCATACAGGTTTGTAGTTGACTGAATAGATTGAAGTTGTTTCAATTGCACGTCTCTGCATTTAATCAATTTTTTTTCTTATTCTCGACTATTTCAACAGTTCAATGCCATTCTCCCATCCACCCATCAGTTCCATGGCGAGTTTATCAGCAAACCCTTTGGGTCTTCAACAACAACATCAACAGCATAAATATGAACAACATCAACATCAACAATCACAATATCATCAACGGAATGATGATATGACTCCATCAACATATCAATGTCACATGTCTCGATTGAATATTCCATCGCCATCGCTGCAATCCCTTCACCAAGGTTCTCATTCTAGTTTATCTGCTCTTCAGAATCATCATTCGTACTCGTCGACTTCATCATCGCCACATAATTCAGCTGCTTTAGATGTTCCATCAACTCATCCTGTTCCTTCTGTTACTCCACCTTCGTCATTAGCACCACCAAGTTCTCTTTATTCATACGATCCAATTAATTTAGGTGGTTATGGCACAAGATTATCACCATGTGGTTCAACTGACAACTATCAACTTAATGGAGGTTACACAAATGGAAATGGCAGCACGGGTTCGTAGAGAAACTAAATAAATCATGAAACTTTATGAGTAATAATTCTCACATTAATTTCAGGATTAATATCATCATTGCATAATCCATCATCATCCGACATGGCCCATTACTTTTTGCGACTTCAATGATTTTAAGAAGACAGAAAAATGAAAGAAAATATTTAGATAAGTTTACTGATCTTGCCCACTAATCATAACTTAACCGCCAAATTAAAAAGAATTCAATGAATGTTTTATTGAATGTGTTTTGTCTTCGATGACAGTGACGACTATGAACATAAAGAAAATAATAAAAAAAAAAAGATGTTTTCGGCAAAAAGCCACACAATTATCATAGTTCTCAAATTTATTGGAGAGTGTTTTCCATGTACAAAAAGAAAAAACTTTTTTTTCGATAATTAATTAAAAATAAACAAAAGAAATGGAGTAATAAAGTAATTATCATGTGACAGATTAATTTCAGTTTTATTTTATTAAAATTGTTAAATTTCTGAATTGAACAGTTTTTAAAATATTTTTTTAAGGTTCAAGGAAAGTTTGAATTATGCGAAAATTAAGAAATTTAGAATTCAAACCAAACATTTGGGAATTCCCGGAAACATTTCAATAATCAATGTACGTCGGTTCACCATTTAATGAATTTTTTGAAAAGTCCAATCCACTCATAATGAAGTTGAAGCTGTTTGGTGGAAGAATATTTGATGTAGCTGGTAAGTAAGTTGTTGTTTCAAAGTTTGAGAAATGATGAATTGAATGATCTGATAATTGAGGTGGATCGTGATGTGTTGGTAGAGAAAGAAGTAAAGATGAAGCTGAATGCGTTGAAATTGCGTTGAAGGTTGGAGTTGATGTAGTGTTGTTGATGAGATTCATTGGGTTTAAGGCCTCTGGCAATAAAGATTGTTGAGTCACTGAATAAGAAGTGTTTGTTGAATTTTGTAATGGATCTTGTTGCTGCAGACAATTCGATGTGCTTTGCGGTGATCGATTTTGTTCAGAAATGCAAACTTGTGCTTCAGTCGGTGAATTTTCTTTCAAAAGTTCAGGAATAATGTACGAACATTTCTTCGCAGGTTTCATTTGTTCTTTATCCTTCACCTTATCGGGTGACATTTTAAATTTACTGTTTTTATTGTGTGATTTCATATGTCGAGCTCTTGATGAACTTTGGTTGAATTTTGCGTTGCAACCTTCGCGTTTACAAATATAAGGCTTCTCGCCAGTATGAATTCTTCGATGTGCAATAAGATTGCTGCTATTTGAAAACACTTTGTTACAGTTAAAGTTATCGCATTTATACTTTTTCAATCCATAATGTACATTCTTGATGTGAACGTTTAAATAAGCTGTTTTGTAGAAAGATTTTCCACAAATCTTGCAAATTTTACTTTTAACTTGCGAATGCGTTCCTTCATGTGACTTCAATTCGGAAGCAGTTTTGAAAGCTTTGCTGCACAATCCACACGAATGATCTTTAATTCCTGTATGAATCTTAAGATGCACTTTTAGATTGCTGGATGTGCTGAAGAGCTTCGGACATCGTTCACATGCGAACGGCTTTTCTTTCGTATGCGTTCTTAAATGAAGATTTAGATTTGAGATTTGTGTGAATTTTTTATGGCACGTATTGCATTCATATGCTTTGTAGTTCGAGTGAGTGCGTAAATGAAGCTCCATGTAACCTTTGTAGTGAAATATTTTCCCACATTGGAAACATTGTTCAGGTTGCGCCAGATCCGCAACTTTTTTTCTTCTCTTTTGCTTGAAGATTTGAATTTTTGATGCATTTTCACTCTTCATTTTTTCTTTGTGAGTCTTTAGAAGTTCATCCAATTGAAGTTTGTCTTTGATTGGCTTTGTCTTTGCTTTAACTTTCTTTACAACTTTTTTTAATAAATTTCCAGAATTTAAATCTAAGCACGCTCGATCAATGTTGAGATAATCAGTGGATTTAATATTGGTGTCAATATCATTGTTTAAAACTAATGGTTGATAGTTTATATCTTGCTCATCTCCTTCATTACCGAAGAACTCTTGAACTGCCGCTTGAATATCTCGCTCATCCACATTCGGCTCACCTTGATCAGGAATTGAAGTTCTAAGAAATTCTTGAAGTTTTTGATCGGAGTTTTTACATTGTTGTTGAAATTGAAAAGCTATATTTAGTTTGTAACGACAATCCCCACAGATAGAAGACGGTGCATTAACTTTATTGAAAACCTGTAAAAATATTTTGAGCAATTTGTTTTTGGAAAATGTTTTTTAAAAATAACTCACTTGAACTTGTGACGTCTGTAAAATCATGTCGCAAATTTGCATTCCTGATGTTACATCAACAGAATAGAGGGACATTAAGTCGTTTTTCTGCTCGAGACACGTCCTACAGCAATATTTTGTCGAGTTTGAGTTCATTGTTATTGTTTTGTTTAGTGAAAAACTTTAGCAAAAAATTTAGCAAACGTTTGGGCATTGAAAATTTAAAATTTTAAGAACCGTTAAATTTTTATATTAAATTGCTCTAAGAGAAATTTATGTTAAGATAAAAGATTTTATCTTTAAAAAATTTTATTTTCCAAACACAACAATAATAATCGAGAAAAAATAACTTAAACATCTAATTATCTTAAACTTCATAGGACATGTTGATCAACAGCATTAGAAAGATCTAAATTATTTCGATGACAACTTGCTTGATCAACACAAACAATCGTTTCTAAATCATCAACAGTTAATTGAAATGTTTTAAATTGTATCTGAGATGAAAAAAATAAATCTAATGAGTTTTTGATTGACAATGATTGAGTTGAATCAATAATGGCAACAGAATAATTTTGCTTATTTAACGTAAATTCATATTTTTCAAGGGTACGAAGAAGTGAAGTTATTGTGCCAAATTTTTCACTTGAAATATTAAGAATTGTCTTGATATTCTCGTTTGCCACAACAATATCGTACATTGAATATTGCGGGACGTTCAAATAAAAGTTTAATCCCTTGATTTCATCATAAGTCACACGTTGAAGGTTGACAACAAAGCATGTGGGATATGAAGGAACTGCAACTGATGACAACAATGATGAATCTTGATTAAAAGTGAATGGTGGCTGTTCATTAACACTACTAGAAGAAAAGGCACTGTCGATGACTTGAGGATTTTCAACCATTAATTGAGAGCTAAGAAAAACAGAAAAGTCTTCATTCATTACTTCTTTTGTTGATATTTCATTTGATGGTTCATTACCCGAATTAGAACTCAGATTTTCTGAATCCTCATCGATGTACTGAAGATTTCCCGGCATTGCTCTATTGAATGGTTTCTTACTTTTCGGGCATGGTTTGTTTAAGCATTTTCTTTTAACTTCCCCACTATTAGCCATAGATGTTCTTGGTCTCTTTTTATTCACATTACAATCATCTTTGTTTGAATTCAAGTGCTCGCGATCATTAATAAATTGTCGAGTTGATAGTGGTTCAAACTGTCGCAATTTATTTAAAGTTTCATCAGTTCGTTCACTTCCTAAACTTTCCTCGGTTGAGTCAGGCATTTGACTCGCACCAGCGGCTTCGTCAATGTAAGGATTTGCAGCATCATCTTGATATGTTGCAATCAAAGAAGCATCAACATCTTCAGAGTCGCTAATCACAATTTCTTCTGCCACAACTGGTCCAAGACAAAGAATTTCTGAATCTTCCAAAAACTTCTCTGATTGTGACATTTTTTCTCTTTTGATTGTTGGCAACACTCTTGCCATAGGTAAAAGTCCTGGTGAAAGCATAATGACTTCGACATTTTCTTGTGATTTGCTTTTATTTACACTTTCTGAATCATTTTGATGATCGTTTTGTACTTGCTGCGGTAATTGATCATCCTGAGTTGCGGACTCGAAAGTGGTATCAAAATTTTTCTGTGATTTTTGTTTGTTTACATTTTCTAAAGGATCATCTTGCTGATCGTTTTGTATTTGCTGCTCCAATTGATCATCCTGAGTTGCGGACTCGAAAGTGGTATCAACACTCTCTTGTGATTCTTGTTTATTGACATTTTCTGATGGATCATCTTGCTGATCAATTTCTATTTCCTGCTCCAATTGAATATCTTGAATGGCAGACTCGATAGCAGCATCAACATTTTCCTGCAATATTTTTTTATTTTCTTCTGAAGACACAACTTGATTATCGGTTTCAACTTCCTGCTCTGCTATATCATTTCCTTGAGCTTCAACTAACACTTCATTCGCCACAATTATTACTCTTGATTGCTCTTCAATTTGTTTTTGTCGTTGACGCAATGAAAGTTTCTCTCCTTCGATCTTCTCAATCAATTTAACAACTTTTTCTTTAATTTGAGGTTTGAATTTCTCAGTGAGTGGAAGCAACTCCTGGGAATTACGATTTAAAATTTCCTTAGCATAATTTATGAGAATTGTTTTCTTGTTTTCCTCCCAAATTTGCTCAAAATTAAGTTCGTACAAATGCGACAAATTTTGTCTGACTTGGTGCACAAATGTCACTTCCGATAGCAAAGTTCTCAATAAAATTTTTTCATCTCTTGTTAGATTTGAATAAGGCTTGGACTCAACATAAAAGTGTGGAAGTGGAATAATTTCGTTGTGTTCAATCATATTTGGAGTCTTACGTCGGACAGTGACATTTGAATCATGACTAGAATGACTGTCAGAAGTTGAAGGAATATTTATGACAACATTTTGATTTGGAAGTGAAACGAATGACGAACCATGACGATCAAATCTTTCACAGTTTTTCAATTGTAATCGTGGAAGTTTCTTTGGGTTTTTCACTTCAGAGATTCCTGAACTTGATGATGGTTCACAAATTTCTTGATCCTCAGAATCATCTGAATCTGATTCATCAGGTGAGGCAACTGTTTTGTCGTAAAGATTATGAAAAGGCGGAAATTTTCTTTCTTTCTGATCTCTGCTTTTGTACATTTCATAAAATTTCTGTTTACTAATGTTTGGTTCGGTTCTACAGAGTTCTTTGTACTCATTCTCAGCATTTGTGTCTGAGTAAAAGTTGTCGTAACTTGCAGCGATTTCATCCTGTCGCTCTTCTGATATTTCATTACAAATCAAATTATATTTTGGATCGACAAAAAAATCAGTCCACGTCTCACGGAATTTGCCAGATGCCTTGAATTCATTGAAAATCATTTCAGAATATAAATCATCGTCGTCATCATCTTCTTCTTCAATGAGTTTTGATACTTTTCGTTGAAAGTTGGAAATTCTTCTGATATCATTGAGAGTTAAATCCTTCAGGAAAAATGTCTCAACAAGATTTTCCCTTTCGTAATATTTTCTTACTATCAGTCTGTTCATTGCGGTGATGTTGATAATCTTGCGAGTATCTTTATATTGCTCCGTCTTTCTATTATAGTAGTTGAGACCGTCATTATGAATTAAATTTCCTTGATTCATGGACACTTCACACAGTTTCAAGCCATATTGCTTCTGGAATGCACAGAACTCATCAAATCTTGTCTCATTTTTAATACTTGGATAAATTAGGAGATTTCTTGCAATGCTTTCATCTGCAGGACCATGAAATGAAAACTGACGATACAATTGAGATCGTTTTCTGTTTAGATCTGACGTCACAATCCTTATCATAGTTCCTTTGTAAATCTATAAATAAAAATAAACTAAATATCGAAAGCTTATGTGTAGAAGCGTTTCTTACCTCTTCTGGATCCAACGAGCCTTTTCCTTTTTTATTAAATTTTTTCACAAAGTTTGAAGTAATTTCATCAATGTTGGAATGCGTTTGGAAAAATGTTTTACAAAAAGGTGAACATTCATAATGTGTGTTAGCCAATATATTGTTTGCTCTCAAAAGAAAGTATGGAAGTATAATTTGTTCAGCAACATCGTTTTCTTCTGTTGTTTTATTCTCTCGACCCATTAAATATTCCATAACTGATTTTTGCTGTGACTTTTTAGCTTTCGGCATTACTCAGTTTGTCTTATGCCTGTAAAGAAATTAGAAAGTATTAGCATGAGAATCAAAAGGTTTAAAATTATCATTCATGTTGCTTTGTTGAAATGAAATTTGGTTTGTTACCAAAAGTTTTTTAGGAATGAAATAACTTTCCGACTGAATTTGGAAATTTGAAAACGTCTAGCTATTTAATTAAGATTCAACATACCTGACAAATCTTTTATTTTACAGATAATAAGCTTAGATAAAAAATACAATTTCAAAAATGATCAAACTTGACAAGAAACGATTTGCGCGAAATTGTTGACGGTTCAAAACAATTTTTGAACCGTATTTACGTTAAACAGTTCAGAGTCATTGATGAATGAGAATATAATTCTAGAAAAACGACGTCATTTAAGTGAAACTATCTGTTTGCATCGTAATAAAGATGCTTTGTTATATCATTAATCTATATTAACAATAGAGAATTGAGAAAAATTCTATGAACAAATTATTTTTTCATGTTCACGGCATTTTTGAATTTATTAGTCCGGACTCAATTCAAATTTGTAACGTACAAAACAAAGCGGTTAAAAGAAATATTAAAAATAAAAATGCATACAATGTATGGAGGAGTGATAAACTGATCGCTAAATAAAGTAGTAAATGAAATTGACATTCGACATACGCTTGTCAATAAATTGTTTTTCATGACGAAGACTTGTGACATTCATAGAATGCTAACTTTTATTTTTTCATCATCATCATCATCAGGTCTAAGATAGGATCTGAAAAGACCCACCCCCGCCTGTTAAAACAGTCGGGAGGCAGTGGACATTCGTGGCAAATGATAATGGCACACTTTCCAATTACAACGGAAAATAGGTTGTGCAGACTTGTCACTGCCGTCCGTTTTGCATCCTCTTGATATCTATTTAATTTTTAAATCTGAATAAAAAGCAAACGAAGTTTTAATAATCGAGAACGCGAAAACTTACAGTGAAATAATTTTTTTCATCTATGTATCAATTTTTCTTAATAATTTCTCAGACACGACTAAATACTCATTCAATACATCTAGCAAAGGCTTTTAATTGTATGTGGGGTAGTTTTGTATTAAATATCTTCATTTTTTTAATTTAAGCTTAGTCTTCATTAAGTTTTTAATTGCGCCACATCACTCTTCAAGAATGACTATCAAAATATTTTCTGTAGTTTTCTTACTTGCGATAACTTTAAGACGTAAAATTTATAATTTAAAGTAATCGAAATAAACTTTAACAATTTTTTTCTTCCTTCAAAGAATCTCAAAGCAGAGAAGTTTGCGTGCCTTTGCCAGACTGTTCATTGGTATTGTGTGAAGGACCCCCAGAAAATTGTGAACCCATAAACGTTCCTGGCCAATGTTGCCCAGACATTTCACACTGCAAAAGATGTCTCGTTGATGGAACTTATTACGAGGATGGAGAAGAAGTTCCACAAACAAATCCTTGTCAATTCTGCACTTGCTACAATAGTGAACTTGTTTGTGCAATAATTGATTGCGCACGACCTCCGCCAGGTTGTGAAGGTGTAATCGTTCCAGGTCAATGTTGTCGTGACTATTCTAATTGTGGACTCAATTGTGCTGCTGTTTCGTGCTTGGCACCGCCCGTAGGATGCGAACCAATTGAAGTTCCTGGTCAATGCTGTCCTGATATATCTCAATGTAAATAAAGTTTCTTCAATAACAGAAAATTAAATCCTTCAGCCAACAATTTGAGTGTGAGGTAATGTGAAGCATTCCAAAATTATTGAAAATAAATTAAATTTTCTGCAGAAAACAAACGAAAATTCATAATTTTTCTTTTCGTTTTTTAAACTTAAAAATTTTAATAATTACAAGGACATTTCATATTTTGTTTCATTAAAAAACAATTTGATATTCTTGATAATGAATATCGAATAAGTCGTGTTCATTATTTGCTTGATATTGACGAAAAACAATTTAAAGTTGCCAATGTTGCCCAGACATTTCCCACTGCAAAAGATGTCTTATTGATGGAATTTTTACGAGGATGGGGAAGAAGTTCCACAAACAAATCCTTGTCAATTCTGCACTTGCTATAATAGTGAACTTGTTTGTGCAAAAATTGATTGTGCACGACCTCCGCCAGGTTGGGTGGGTGTAATCGTACCTGGTCAGTGCTGTCGTAGCTATTCTCATTGCGATTGTGATCCTATGTGTGAAGCTATTCCAATGTGTGATTATCCAATATAGGTATGTTCCTGGCCAATGTTGCCCAGACATTTCCCTCTGCAAAAAATGTAACGTTGATGGAATTTTTTACGAAGAAGGAGAAGAACTTCCACAGAGAGATCCTTGTGAATTCTGCAGATGCCACAATGGTACATATGGTGATTGCGCCGTGATGGGTTGCTTGCCACCTCCGCGATATTGTAGCGGAGTAAATATTCCTGGTCAGTGCTGTCCTGACTATTCTCATTGTGAAGACAATTGATCTTATTAACCCAATGACTCATTGGGTGTAGATAATCCATAATTAATGAAAACAAATAAATTTTCATCATGGAAACAAAATAAAATTATTATTTTTTTACTTTTCTTAAACTTAGAAGTTAGAGTAAAACATTTTCATTATTTGCTTGATATTGACGAAAAACAATTTTATTTGACTCTCTGATGTTGACAATATTCTTAGATGTTTATAAGCAAACAGAGAACAGACATTTCTACAGCCTACAAAGTTTCATCTTCACGTGGAAATTAAAGTTTACGAATTTCATTTTTTAAATTCTCCTTATAAGTCATAATTAGTTTCAGCTTTTTATTCTTTATTTTTTAATTAATCGAATCGTTTTGTTTATTTAAATTTCACAATTAATATGTAACAAATACTGAAGATGTACAAGCAAACTCCAGACGAAGAAATTGAACCTCCAGTTGTTGAAGGGATTTCAGTCGAAGTTGTTGGCGTGGTGGTGGTACCTTCAGTTTCATTTTTTCTATAATTTTCTAGCCAGTTCTTGACTTTCTCAAGATTTTCATCCAACCAATCGGAATTCTCATCAACTTTATCTAATCTTTCTTGAGCTTCGTCGTCTGATAAAAAATTTTCCATCTTAAGCATGTCAAGAATTGAAGAAAATACTTCTCGTTGTTCTCCGGTGTTGACGTAGTTACTCATTGCAGCTGTGACAGCTTTAAATTCATCTGGAATCCTATGAAACATTTCAGATAATTTAGAATTAAAAAGTTTTATTATAAAACGTCTTACGTTTGTCTTAAGTCGTTGAAATTCTCAGCAATGGTGAAAAGATTGAACACAGCATTCAAACCCAAAACACTTTGTCCCATTGTGTACTGTAAAATTGCTGACCTTTCCAGTTTACTTAATCCATTTAAAGGAGTTAAAACAATATTCAAATAATTTTTTAAGATTTCAGCATTTAACGAACATCCCAAGCCAGCTATTAATTCTTTATCAGTTGTTTCCATTCTTTTGACCATTATCAAATGAGTTTCTTCATCAGCTTTTCTTAAAGCTGCACATAAATTGAAAGTTCCTGAATCTGTTTCAATAAATCTTAAAAGTCGTTCGTGTTCATAATCCAAACAATTGTCATCTAAAGTTGCACAACTTAAGGCTGTAACAACTCGTCTCAACTCTACTTCTTTTGGCTCGTCTGAACTTTTACCTTCAAATCCCAAATTAGTCAGATGTGGTTCAAGTAAGCTTTGAACAAAATGTTGAAATTCTGCAATGACTTCAGAGCCGAGCAAATATTTTGATACAATTCCTTCGATGTTTTCAACAGCATCCCATACAAACGCATCTCTTTCCATTGGCAAATATGTCATCAATTCAAATATTTGTAAAACATCTAAAAGTTCATAGTCTTGCGGGTTCATGTCAATAAACATTTGTCGTCTATGAACGGCTGGAATTGTTTCGTGATTATTTTTTATTTCGTTGATAATCTTCTCGAAATTGTTCTTCTCGTAATTAACTTTGTAATAACCATTCACACCTAAATTGATTACGATCCAATCATCTTCAGGGATGTCGTTTATTGTTGATGTCTTTTCACTCATCCATAATTTCGGCGTCATATCATTGAAATTAGGATTTGATTTGATGGTATATGAAATTGGAATTGCGTAGATTTCATCACCACCTCCAAAACGTGTTTGTGTCAAAATTATTGTTGTTCCCGTTCGTTCAACATTGACAAGTGGATAACCAGCTTGTTCTTCCCATGTTGTCATAACTTGTTCCAAATCTACGCCATTATCTGGAAAATCTTCATCATAAGCTGCTTGAAAATTCCTGTGAACATCTTGTGGTGTTGCTGCCTTAAAGTACATGTCATTTAAATAATATTTTAAAGCTTTAGCAAATGTTGGAATTGTCATCGTCATTTGCATCATTCTCAGAAAACATGCACCTTTGTCGTAAGAAATTGTGTTAAACTTTGCTCGAATATTGACAGGTGTTTCAACATAAAAGTTTAATGATTTAGCATCATTAGCAATTGTATCGAATCGAAAAGCAGCACCTTGAGCGTTCTTATGGAATCGTTCAATATAATCATCTTCAGGAAACACTAAACTTGATGTGTAGAATTGGAAAAGTCTCGCAAAGCCTTCTTTCAGCCAAGTAAAACTCCACCATTTAATGTTCACCATGTTGCCAAAATAATGATGCGCAATTTCATGTGAAACGACTTCAACAATTCTTTTCTTCATCTCAATGTCATCTCTTCCTTCGATATACAAAATATTTGATTCACGATATGTTATCAATCCATCGTTCTCCATAGCATTGAATTGAAAGTTTGTGATGAAAACGTGATCCATTTTAGAAATGGGTAGAGAAACATTTAAATATTCCCTCAGTGAAAGCATTACAGGATGAACAACGCTCAAAGTGAAGTCGCCTTCACCAGCATCAATCGCATCTTTTTTTGCATAAACACTCTGAGTGATGTCCAAGTCTTCATTAAAGCTTGAGATGTAATCATAATCACAAACTATGAAACCCAAAATATAAGTTTGAAGCTCAAGCGTATCAGCAAATTTTGTGATTACGTAATCAGAATTATCGATGGGTTCGATTGATATAACTGGCATATTTGAAAGTGCTTTATAATTAACATTATGTTGAATTTCTACTCCAACAACTGCACGAATTCCGGGTTCATCAAAACACGGCATGGAATGTCGAGCGTCAGTCATTGAAAATTGAGTAGTTGCAATGTATCTTGTGTTGTTGTTTGAATCTACGTAGCTTGATCTATAAAATCCGGCGTTATCTTCGCGTAATACTCCATGATAGCTTATATCCAACACAAGTTCACTGTTTATTGCCATTTCTTCAGGCAATGTAATTTGAAGCATTTCATTCACTTCATTATAGTCAGAAGAAAGATTTCGAACTTCTGTAATTTCATTTGTTGGCAATAACGAAATGTTATCAATTGTTAATTGACGTTTATGCAAATGAATGAATTGCGTGGCTTCCAATATTTTTATACGAATTTTTACACGTCCATTGAAATCAAAAATTGCTTTATCAACATCTGTTGAAAGGAACAAATCGTATCTTAATGGAATCGAATTATTTGGAAGCCGATACTCAACATCGTCATTTTCAGTAATAAATTTTCTTTCTGTTAATATTTCTTTAGACTTCCATGAAAATGTATTCGGAATAATTTCACCATTTTGAAAGTTGAAGTCGAGATCGAAGTTACTTGATGATGTAGGTGGAGATAAAATTGGATTTGCGGTCACTGAAATTCTAATTAAGATGACAGCAAATGAAAATATTTGCAACATTTTGAACACTTCAAGTTAAAGCAACTAACTGAACACACGAAAATAATTCTCGATTAATTATCAAACGTGATTATTCGATTAAATGAATTAATCTTATCTAAGCCATATTTTACTCATTTTTTTTCTCTTGAAAACAATAATTGAATAATCTAAATCAATATTTTTAAGCTTTTTTATTCGACTATGAAAACATTAAATTCTGTCAGATACAATTTGGAAATTTCCTAAAGTTTGGAAAGGAGTTTCTAATAATCAGAAATTTTATATTCTTTCTCTAAGAAAAGTCTAATTAAATATTCCTAAGTTTATAAATATTTTCTAAACTTTAGTTTTAAATTCACAAAAATATTTGTTTGTAGGATAATTAATTTTTTACGGCATCTTTATGGTTACTCAAAGCGATTTCCATTGACAATTTTCCTGCAAGGATTCCATGCTTCTCCATGATGTTCCATAACGTCGCCATGAAGACAAAGAAAAGTGTCAAACCACAAAGGAGAAATTTAAGGATCATGTAAGCTGTCTTAAAGCCATAAGCCGGATCGATCTCGACAATGTTAATTAAAATCACTCCAAGACCGATTGCCATCATTGTGTAGCTTCGTCGATGAGATTCAAGTTGCTTCAGTGATTTGTTGCATGTTGTGATGCATTCTTTGAGATTCTTTATGTTGTTTAAGATCAAAGTTTTATCATTATCAGAGTTGTTTGTTGATAACTTTTTCCTTGAGATTATAAATTTGGCATGGACAGCTTCATGGTCGGAAAAACTAACATTTAATTCAGGAATTTTCTCTATCATTGGCAATTCATACTCATCAACTTCACATTCTACATTTGTGTTTTCCCGATATAAAACATAATCGATTCGAATGCCTTCGGGCTTTTTGGAAGAAACGTCAGCTGTTGAATATGAATTGTCGACATATTCGTGTGTGCCAACAAAATTTGAAGGCTTCTCAATAAATGAGTCTTTCATTTGGGAAGTTGAGAGAAGAACACGATAAGCTAAATCACCAGGCTCAGTGTTGAGGTCACCAGCAAGCACTTGCAAGCTACAATCTCCTCGAGTATTCTCCAAAAATTGAGCAGTATCAAATGCTTGAATTACACGATGAGTCATGTAATCATCACAGTTTTTATCATATTCTGCATGCAGCTGGAATTTCAAAGAAATCAATCATTTTCGTTTTCAAATTTAATTAGATGATCTTACATGAGCCAAATAAAAGTTGATTATGTGATCTCCTACTTTAATCTTACACAAGCCAACACCTTTTCCTCCGAACCAGTCACCATGTTGGATTTTATGAACATAACTGTTACAAATTAAATCGTATTGAGATAATTTTCAATTAGAGTTACTCTTCAAATTCTTACCCATTAACACTCCAATGATGGAAGAATGTTGATAAAATTTTATGACGTGAAAAAATGCACAATCCACTGCCAAAGACGCCACTGTAGAAGTAATGTGAATATGGATATTGAGCATTTAATCTTTCTTTGATCTTAACATAATCATATTCGCTCCACACTTCCTGAAGACTTATCACGTCATAATCGCTTTGAGCAAAAGTTTCTGCAATGTGTCTGACTCTTAAATCTTTGTCTTTTGAAACAATCGGAATGCCCCAAATGTTTAATGTCAACACACTTAATGATAATGACATTATGGAATGAAAATTAATTAAGTCTTAAAACAGAAACTTAAAATTTCTTCAATTTAAAATAAGTGAATAAATTAAAATAAAATGTTGATGTTTGAATGTAAACAATACGATGTGGTGCGTTCAGTTAACTTTCATTTTTAGTGGCGGTTCAAAATGTATTCAGTGAACTTTTTTAATGTAAACATTCAAACCCCTCGAAAACTTGAAAAATCCAGCAGCGCTTATTTTAATAATTTATGGAGAATTATAATAAAACAATTACAATTAGTGTGCATAATGTGTGATGGCCAAGTCATTGCAAGCTATAGACTTCAAACAGACAGCTTGGAAAAGCTGCAACTATTGCAGTAATCATTTTTTTAAGACACCAAATTTATTTCTAAAGTGAGTTGGAATTTTTTTGACACTCTGCATGAAACAGCTGATAAGTGATTTATTAGATCATATAAGCTTTCTTATAAGATAAGCACTTCTATCATCAAAATATGACGATTACAAAACATTTTGGAATTTGTATTCTTAATCTCAGATATTTATTTATTCTTCTTATTCCAAATATTTTTCAGGCACTTGCGTGAGAAGCACTGCACGGTTGAAGGCGGCTCTTTTGTATGCCATTACGGCTATAATGGTGTCTGCTCATCATTACCATTAGATGGTGTCTCCGACAAAGATTACGAAGCTCACGTCGAAAAGTATCATGTCAGTCAATCCATGAAGGAAGCAGAAGAAAAATGGAACATTTTCTCAGCAGCTCAGAATCTTCCAGCTGTTCTTAATGATCCATCAAGAGGACGTCAATCAAATCTCTTTACAAAAAAATGGGGTGATAGCTTTGTAGACCGACAACTTGTCCCACCATCTTCGCTTCTGCCTCGAATCGATTGGACACATCTGGAACTTTATTGTAAGAAAATCGGCAAACGATTTCGAAGACACACAAGATTAGGAAGTGTTGGAAGTACACATGATTTTAAAGCACCAACATCGAGTTCCATTTCACCATCAAGTTCAATTTCTAGTCTACAAATTATCGACACGTCAAATTTAAGAACAATTAATGAAAATGTGCTGAATGAGACGACGATTCGAGACATTCCTCAAGTCTTTCTTAAACAAGATTTAGATTTCAGTCAACCAGAAACTTTCGCTTTAGTCTTTCTCGGTTTGGACATCAATTCTGATGATGATCATCAGGAGTTGCAAGACAAGTTGAGTCACTACCTTGACATCGTTGAGATTCAAATTTCTAAACAGGTTTGTTACAAATCTTCACACATTTCATGAACATCTGGTTGTGACCATGAAATCTTTTTTCAGATATCACAAAAATCGTCATCATTTTTTCATGCTATGACATCGCAAGATACAATCATGGAAGAGATGTCAAAAGCTGTTAGAAATGTTCGAAAGCTTCGAGAGAAACTTTGTTTGATTGATAATACACTCGTTCGTCAATCACTCAACATCATAAGTTGTGAAAGGATTAAAACAAATAAACAAATGGTGCTTGAAAAGCTTCGATTAATGGCGACAGTTCACCAAACACAACCAATGATTCAAGTTCTTCTTGGTACACAAGATTATGTTGCAGCTTTGGATCTCATCAGCACAACACAAGAAATTCTTGCTCAAGAGTTGAGTGGAATTCATTGCTTTCGTCATTTGCCACATCAATTGAAGGAGCTTGAAAAACTTATCGATAAAATGTTAACAACTGACTTTGAAAAGTACACAACATCGGATCTTAATCGTCCATTAATTGAAGACGATTATCGAGTTCTTGACGAAGATAAAATTGTTTCCATAATTAGTGGACTTTTAAGAAAGAAAAATTTCACATTTATTGACTCTTACAAAGACGAAGCAATCACAACAATAAGAGCCTTAATTAAACAACTTGTGATTGAAGTTATTGCTTCATCTGATGTTGAGATTTGCTTGACTGGGTCAGGCGAAGAAGCTCAAAGTTTGTCACTACAGGAATGGATTTTATTGCTTGAAGCTGCTACTGCATCTCTCATTAAACTCTTAAAACGTGTTCGACTCATTCACGATGTTATGCTTCATGTTGCTGATTCAAGTGCTGGAAGAAATATTGAAGGTGACAATGTCAGTTATTTAAGTGACAGTGAAACATTTCTCACCATTACCGACCATAATTATATCGAAAATAAACTCACAAATCTTCTTCAATCTGTTGGAAATTATTGTCATGAAAGATGTGCAAATCTTGTGTCCAATCAAAGTCTTGAACAATATTCAGGAACATTAGAAGAAATGGAAAAATTATCGCAGATTGTTGAAGAATTTTGTAGTAGTTGTGAAGAAGTGATTGGAATTAAATCGATTCCATTAATGACAGCTTTCAAAGCTCAAGGCACGAGGTTTAGTCAGAAATTTCATTCGGAAAGGAAATCAAAGTTGAGTTTGTTGTTGGACAATGAACGATGGAAGCCAGCAGAAGTTCCTGGCGAGTTCCAAAAGATGGTCAATTATATAGCAAAGGGAAGTTTCATGTGGACAAAGATTGAAGATAATCAAGCAAATGAACCGTCGATAGCTGCACCAATGTTGATGGTTGGTGATGAACCTTTTGCTTTAGTTGGAGCTGCTTTGATTCTCGTACAAATTGTCTCCGAATATTGTCGATGTTCGTCACATTTGCCAATTATTGCTGTACAAATGGGACGAAATGTTATTGATTTATTACGAACATTCAATTCAAGATGTTGTCAACTTGTGCTTGGTGCTGGTGCCGTTCATGTTGCTGGTCTCAAAATGATTACAATCAGTAATCTTGCGCTTGTATCTCGTGCACTTCAACTCGTTCTTTGGCTCATTCCGCATGTGAAAAATCATTTTAATAATCTCGTTGCAAATGGAAATGCTGGAAGTTTATCAGGATGGGCAACAGTGGAAAAAGATTTTCTGAGTCATATCAAAGAAATCGAAAACAAAATGTTGATGATTGTCGGTCAATTAGTGAATCAACAGTTGCTGAATTGGGATGCACGTCCACCGATTCCATCACAAAGTTTTCGAAACATTTCCCGTCATTTTGTGAAGCTTCATGAGGCGATTGCTCAGGTGTTGCCGTCTGATCAGATTCATTGTGTCTTTAGAACTGTTCATAAAAATTTCAAAGACAAACTTCGAGAACAGTTGTTGAGGAATAATATCATTAACAATGGCACGCCACAACATGGCACGGTCATATCAGAGTTGACGTTTTACTTAGAGACACTCAGAACATTGAAAGCGATGCCAGTTGATGAGCTCAGCGATGAAACGATGGACGATATTTGGATAAAATAATTTTTTCTGTTCATTCAAAATGATTTTCGATACTTTTTAATCAACAAATCTAAACATTCCTTGAATATGAAGACGAGAAGAAAATTTTTCTTAAACATTATTTGGATGAAAAAAAGGTTCTGTGACGATTTAATTTAATTAACAGCTGTTTCATCAGCACTGCGTTGTGTTGTTTTAAAAATTGTTTTATTGCGACAATTGGTGCCAAAGTGTAGTCGTTTCGTTTAAGTAGCACATTTTTAATAAAAAAAAGGTCGATCATGTTCACTTTTATTTTTCTTTCTAATTAATTGGAAAACTTAAAGATTTCCATTTGCAACATTTTCTTAAAAAGACGAAAGTTCAAGTCGTACTTATTACGATTTATTAATTCAATTCTTTTAATTGTCATTAGTTGTTAATTGAATTAGTTTCTAAGGCTTAACTTATTATGTTGATTAAACAAAAATTTTGAAATCGCAGTCAGAAAGAAAATGAAGCATTTGTGGTGCAATTTACCGAACGATTTTTTCATGTCGATGAACATAAAATTTGTAGTTAAAATTATTACCCATTTTGAAGAAATCTCTTTGAAATTTTTGGAATATTTGTGAATGGTGAATCGAATAAAGTTACGCAAATAAGATTTTATGAAGATGTTGACAATTTTTTCAATTTTACAGATAATTTCTTCAATTTCTTATGATAGTTTAATGAAGCATTAGCCAGCTGTTGTATATAAACATCCCTTCAACGTCATCTGCAATTTATATCAAAGAAGGTAAGAAAAAACATAAAAATTTCTTCACCATGACTACGAAGCACAAACAATAAACACACTCGTTGAATTATTATTAAGAAAAAGGGAAAAACAAGTCACTCTTCGAAGTACTTTTCAAAGTCAAAAGCAAGAAATTTATTACATAAGAAGGACATACAAAGAATGGTTGACTCAAGTGAAACAATTCAAGAAATTGCTTACAAGTTAATGTTGGAGCAAAATAAGAATGAAAAGATTCTTAATGGGCCAACAGAACGAACGACTTTTGTTTTAGGATCAAAAGGAGTTGTAAGTTGATTAGAATGTCTATTAAAATAAATAAAAATGAATGAAAATTATTCTTAAGGGAAAGACAACAATGATTAACAACTTCTTGGATCGAAATGAATCAGTGAAACCGACACTTGCACTTGAATATTCATTCGCACGTCGGACGAACTTAAGTGGTCAGTCAAGTCAAAAACTGATAGGAAATATTTGGGAGCTTGGAAGTTTAGCGAATTCTCATCAATTGATTGACGTTCCAATCAAGTCACATGGTCTTGAACAATTTTCCGCTGTTATCATTTTGAATTTATCAGAACCAAGCGAACTTTCAAACGATTTGGAATCAGCGCTTCAAGGACTTAAGCAATCAATCTCCAATCTTTATAGCGACGATGAAATACGAAGGTTTAGACACAATATTATTGAAAATGGATCGTTCAAAGACCACCCGGATATTAACACTATGGAAGTCATGCCGTGCACAACGGTCATCATCGGCGGAATGTACGATAAGTTTGAGAATCTTGATCCTGAAGTTAAAAAGCATGTAGTGAGGTTTTTAAGATCCGTTAGTCATGCCGTTGGAGCCACTCTGATTTTCTATTCAAATAAAGTTTCGTCATTGTCAAAGACTGCTCGTGACGTTATGAATAATTTGTTGTTTGGAAGTCCACAGAATCCTATTCGTGCTGTTAAAACGGATTACAACGAACCAGTTCTTATCAGTCATTTCAGTGACTCTTGGGAGAAAATTGGCGTGATGCCAAGTAATTCGGAACGCATTTCGATTACCTTCACATCCCAAATTCAACAGACAAAGTCGAAGGAAAACAAAGAAGTGAATGATCCGACAAAAGATCCAAACTTTCGTGAACCCATCATTGACGATTTACGTGCGATGAAAGACGAAGAACTTTTCAGATTAATTAAAAATTCTGAGATGAAAGTTAAATTTGATTCCTTCAATTTAGCAAATTCTCCATTCAATTATCTTAACTAGGTGAAAGATCATTTTGGCGCGGAAATATTTCCTTTGTTCATAAAATATCAAAAGAAAATCTTTCCTGGAAATGATTAAATGTTAGAAATTTCTGAGAGAAAAATAAAGGAAAATTGTGTTTGTGTGAGTGAGTAATAAATTGGAAAATAGATAGTTTTGTTTGAATGTGTGAGGTAGTGGAAAATTGCTTACGGGTAATATTTCAACAGGGTGATGATGAAGAGAATGTTATTGTGAAATTTAATTAGTTTTGTTTACAAAGAAAGTGACGTGAAACATATAATTGTTAGTTAATTAAATTAATTTCTATGAAGAGTTTATTTGTCACCCTATTCAATGAAAAACATTCGTTCCATATCGAAAGGCAGTGCGCATAATCCACAAGTTGTTCTCACAGTTCAATAATTTTTCGTGTATGTACGGCAACCACACATTCTACTTTACCTCACATTTTTCGCCTTCGTTTTTTTTCCTTCTCAATTCTATAAAATTTTATTTTTTGGTGTTCAGTTTCTCTTCATAAAACCGTCTCAACGGAGAGAAAGAAAAAAGACTCGAATATAAAAATTCTTATATTAAAATATTTGTGATTTTTCATCATAAGTCATTGAGAAGCCGCGAAACAAGCGTGTCGATTTATTTGAGATTTCAAGGCAGTCTCTATGGGCTTAAACGAAACAAATCATAAAGCATAAAATAAAACAAATTGTAAAATCCAAAGTGCAGACTTTTTATCGTCATTCGATTTTTTTTCGTTTTCATTTCGGTGAGCATTGAAAGAGAATTTGTGCTAAAGTAGTGAAAGGGTCAGAAGTCAGAGCTCGTCGATTCAAAAAATCGAAACTTCAATGTTCTAATTTCGTTTTGAAATCTCCTAATATAAGCTTGATGATAATTCACCTTTAAAATGCCAAATTAAATACACAGGAAGTGAGAAATTTAAAAGAAAATTGGAGCTTACACGAGTCATCTAAATTCATGGTTTATCAAGTGATTATGTAAATGCAGTGAAAGAAAGGAAACAGAAAAGAGGATCTAACGAGAAAAGTAAAAAAAGAAAAGAAAAGTTTTCCATTGTGAATAAGCAGCAAAAGCTGCTACAAAGGGAAGATATCTGAGAAATCCGAAAAGGAAATCGTATAAACCAAGCAAGTAAGTTAATTAAATACATTGACTTTATACATAGATATCTAGGAACTTCATGCTCTCGTTTGAAACAATTAATTAGTCGGAAGCAGTCCGTGATGATCCATTAGAATAATTATCAACCCATCAATAATCAAGCATGCTTCTCTTACAAACGTCATAAAGTTTCAATATCTCCATTAATAAATTTCTTCATAGCTGTGAAAGTTCTCTCTGAAATGTCGTAATCATCGTAAGAAATAAACCGAGTGATGAAAGCGTTTAACCACAAGATATTTAGTATGACGACGCCTTGCATTTGTTGTAAAAGATTGAGTAAGGACAAAGATGTATTACATAACCGCATGTATTTCCATTCACGAGAAAAAAAGGTGAAAAAATGAGGAAAATAGAGCGAAGAGCTTTTTTTTCCTAAAAACGGATAAAAGTATTGATTTGTGTGGTGGAAGGAAAATGCCTTTTCCGAGGTTTTCTAGCAACAACGCTTGTTTTCATATCTTTCATATCGAAAGCATAGAAGTGGAATTTAATTTAACAAAGGGTCATCATTAGCAATTTCCTATCAATTGTTTGCTTTTTGCGCAACACATTCAGTCAGAAAATGTCTAACACTGCATTTGATTAAAGAAACGCCACTGAAAGACTTTTTTATTAATACCAAAGTTCAATTCACGAATATATAAAATTCGCATAAGAATGTAAACTTAATGAAAGTTTCTCCGTAGGTAAACAAAACAAAGGAAGAAGAAACAAAGTTAAGGTTTTAAGAATTTTATTGCGTGGGCGTACTGAGTCTTAGCAAACAATTTGCATGCCGCGAATGCGTTGGAGAGTTGATGATTTCAACTGAAAATAACCTTCTGGTTTTTTATGAGGAGGCTCGAAGGTTTCTTTCTTTTCGTTTGCTTGCTAAACTTCTGCGAAGGTGCGTGATTAACGGAACGCGAGGCTTGTCATCGCATGTGTCATACTTACTGTGCAACTCGATATCTCGTCTCTTTATTATGACCTTACCTATTTGTTTCCTCGTTAATTGATTGCGTAACCATTTTGCAACGGGAGAAGTTGAATTTGTTTATCTATAAAGAAGTATCATCATTGTTTAAATCAATAAATTTCTGTCATTGTCATGTCATCCTCTTATCTTTGACGGCAATTTCTAGAGCAAACATAAAACGCAACACTAAATGGTTTTATGTCTTTTGCTTCTCCTTTTCATTCTTTCACATACACTACATTGCGTTATAAATATGTAAGATTTTCTTATTCTTGTTCACAAAAACGTAAACGATATGTAGATGTGCCTAAACTTTTTCTTCTTTTAAAGTTGCCAAGGAAAGCGAAATAATTCTCTCGATTTCTGCCTTTCTCATTGTTCTCTTTTATATTTGCAATGCGGTTTTAAAAATTGTATTAAGCTTTTTGCAATTTATGCTGAAATCGTTTGACGAGCATTATTTATGATTGGCAATATATTTGTGTACGGAAAAAATAATAAAAGTTTGCCTTCAGTCATCAGAAAATCATTCGACGATAAAATTGAGTTATTGACATTTGGTGATGGAAGGAAAGTTCTAAATGGAAAAAATTCCCAATAAATCTATCATTAAAAAATTCAATTAATCTATGAACTTTTTTAAGCTTTTATGTTGCAACAAATATTAGACAACATGAAAAAGCAATATTGAAAAGCTAATTGGCATCCTTTTGTTCCTTTGAATTCAATTAATGCAAACTTCCGTCAATGTTATGGAATATTTAAACCTGACAACCATAACAAAGCTTTTTCATGTTTAATTTAGGAAGCGAATCTATAAACTGCACAAAGAATCACATAATGTTATTAAGAAGTAGATTTAAACAATGTTAAAAGCAGTCTCCACCTAAATCGTGTCGCATCACAATGACATAAAATATGTCAACAATAAATCCACGTATGCTTCCACGTTGTCTATCGTACATACTTCAAATGTAGACGAAAGCTTCTGGAAATTATTAATTTTCTTTATTTATTTACTAACTTATTCTATTGTGATTCCACTTGAATGTCAATGTCTTCATAGAAACTTTTTCTTACCTTTTAAGGTTCACTTTTTAGTTTTTTCATCAATGTCTTCTTTTCAATTTAAATCCAAACTCCTCTTCGTACAATTTTCATTAAAAACTTTTGTTTTTCAAATAAAATATTGCGAGTTCAAAGTTTTTAAAATTCTCTTTTTGTTTCAGTGATTTATGTTCAAGCGACTTTATTTATGATGATGAATTATGAGAGATTTCTCAATTCCAATTCAACTTAATACTGTTTTGAACCTACGGAGTCTTAAAACAAATAAAAAATGTTGGAAAATTCTAAAGCCTGGTAATACTTGGCGTGAAATGTATTCATAAGAGCATCCCATTAATTAAAACTTCAATCCTTCTTGTGTGACTACATTTAATTGAAAAATTACACGTTTTACAAACTCTTTTTTCAAATAATTATATTTTTTTAATCGAGGGTATGTTTTGAGTTATCCTGTAATCCTTTTGTGCTTAACATGGATATAAAATTGTTAAATGAATGTTAAGGTAGACTTTTTCATAAAAATTAAATCCTCGCATAAAACTAACAAAATTCTTTACTCGATGTGATTACATTAAATGAACAAATGGATGATTAAAAACCAAGCCAAACTTAGTAAAAAAAACAGTGGCAAATTTTAAAATCACACAATCAAAGGATTACTTCAACAGTGGACATGGTTCGATGATTTATTAAAATTCGTCATTCCAATTCGATAGTTTTACATGTTGCATAATTTTAGGCGTGAGAAATTTTTCTCTTTATTGGCTTCACTCGATTGTCAAAGGATACTTGAGAAGTTCTCATCAATCTCAATTAAATAAATTATTTCATGTTCGACAAAAGTACTGAGTGACTCTGAATATGTCATTATTAGATTTGGAATATACTTTGGCGTTAATTAAACCTCATGCGATCCATCATCGTGCTGAAATTCTTGAGAAAATTAAATCAGCGGGATTTCACGTTCTTCAGGTTGAATAATTTATTAAATTAACAAACTATCTGCTATCAATTTCCGTTTTCTTAACTTTTTACTTAGGAGCGTTGTGTTAAGTTAACCAATGATGAACTAACGCGATTCAAATGCAATCGATTAGATGAGGATCGCTTCTTCACGACTAAATTGGACGGTTCGCAGTCTGGAACGTTCATTGCATTGTGTTTGTGTCGTACAAAAGCAGTTGAATTGTGGCAACGACTAATGGGACCAGAAAATTGTTCAGTGGCTAGAAAAACGACACCCGAGAGTTTAAGAGCAATTTACGGAGATGTAAATAACGAAACGTTGAATGCTTTAGATGGAAGTAGAAATTCTGATGACGTTCGAAGTGATTTGCAATTTTTCTTTCCTAATAGTAAGCAATGAGACAAGAAAATAAATCATTTTAAATGAAACTTCTTCATCATACTTTCCCTAGTCATTCATGAACCAATTTTATCAGAGATGGAAAGAATCAACGCTTATCTTAACTTTGTCATTTACAAACCGTTGATAGAAGCTCTTTATGAAATGATAAAAATTCGTCCCGATGACCCAATTTTATGGCTTGCAAATTTTATGTTGGAAAGAAACAAAATTAAATCAAGCATCCAGGAGATGAAAATTCGAACATCTTCAACGTAATTGAATTATAAAGCGACGTTAACTAAACTTAGTTAATCAATTACAACATCTTTCCTGTTGATAATTTGATAAAAGCGAAACATAATTGAATGAAAATTTGAAATTACAACAATAAAAATTTTATCAGCTGTTAAAGTGTCGAAAGTTTCTCATACGATTTTTTGGTTTCAATGACACTTTAAGTGCTTCGCTAATCTGTATGAAATGCCACAGAAAATTTCAATAGAAAGAAGAAGCAAAAATATTTTTTTATCACACCCTGAATCGACTACATGTAGAGGAGTTGAATAATTAAGAACCAATTTTCAACGAGTAAACAGTTGGCTCATTTAATTATTACAAAGAATGTCACAACAGTGACGTTCCATCGAGGGTCGTTTCACGTATTTATTCAAACTCATAGTGAATTTAATTGAAATCGTGGGAATTTAATAAAAAGAAATAAACATAATTATGTGGATATTAGCCAAAGCTAATTGCTGGTGGAAAGTTGTCCAAAGAAAGACATGAAAACAAACCTAAAATTTGGTCATGAAATAATCGATGATCAGATTTTGCTTTCTTTTTGTAGGGTGAAAAAAAATCATCATAATTACCATTTGAAAGTAAAGCAGCGCATGCTCGAAAAATCGGATTAAAATGACGCATTTATAAGCTCAACGCGATATTTATTCTCATATCGTTATATTGACTCAAGGAAGAAAAAATAACGACAAGGAAGGAAGTCCCGACATGTGCAATATCGTGTGTAGGATCATCGTCCGATGCTTTATTAAATTTTCAAGTGTTGTCGTCATTGTAAACGTCTGTTTATGATGAGAAAAAATAAATTGAAAATTTCTCATTTCATTCTCGTTTCTCACACGTTTTGAATTAAATATGAAAATTTCTGCATAAATTAAGAAAAGAAAATTTCTCATCTCTATTCGTTATGGTCAAATGAGTTCTTAATTGCCTTGTTTGTTCACCCTCGTAAACATTTACTTGTATTTTTGCATCGTAATTACTTGAAAGAAAACGAAACCAGCTTAAAGTTGCCCTTGAATTAACATAATTACTTAAGCATTATATTCGTCAATATGAAATTTAATTGTTTCGTGATGTGTAAAAAAACTTTCGCTAAAGTGAAGGGTGAGTAACTTTCGATGCAATATGACGAAAGATTCTTTGCACGAATAAGCAGAAGAAGACTTCAACTTAAAGTTCCCAGTGCAATATGGATATGAAGCAACAACAGCAGGGACGAGAGGGGTTGATGTGAACAATGGAATGTTTAAATTGTTCAAATTGTTTCTCTCCGCCATGTGATCCCTTTTTTTACTTTTTCTCATTTCAAGAGATGTGAAAATAAATACCTTTGGTGTTTCGGATATGGAAATGTTTTATGGAAGGTGCATCATCTTGCTTTGCCTTCATTTCTCCCTTGTCCAATGTCCTGAAAGAACTTCATGAGAAAAAAATGTGGTCGATGGGAAAATTTCAATTAAGGTTTTAGTTTTATTCCTTCAAGAAGGAAGATGAACAACAAGGAAGTTAAAAAAAGGGGAAAGGAAATCACGATAAATGACTTTAGTTCGGAGATGTTGCAAACTTAGGAAGATGAAAAAAAAAGGACAATGAGATACTTTCAGGTCGTTAATCTTTTTGGGACGATGCATAAGAGAGTCTTGAAACTTCCTGAGATTCAAATAAAACTTCATTTTCACGTGGGACACAAAATCTTCGGTGGGAAAAAAGAAACAACTTTTATATTTATTTTAGTGGACGGAAGATGATTTTGACATCATTAGAAACCGTTGGATATTTGTTTACATGATCATTAATAATTAATTGCGGCCAAAGAAATGAGTTAGCGCTTTCAGCGATAATCGGGAACAACAACATAATAGCACAACATTAAACGAACATCAAAGACTCATTAAAAATCGATTTTAAATTATTCTCATCGAGCATAAAGATCAAAGACATACCTAACAGTTTAAATTGTGACAAAGAAAACACCTGACAATGGATATTTCTTCAGCAACAGTGAAAACATTTTCACTTAAATAAACTACATTAATGCAACTTTTTGCATGCAGTGATTTTTTTTATTCTCATGCAAAAATAAATGCAAGAAAAATTTAACATTTCAACTTGAAATTTATTCACATGATGCAAAAAGCTATTGCTATGAATTTTACATAAAACTGTGATTGCACAACCTGAATTGACCCCAATTTTTTAATATAATATTATTTACTTTAAAAGCTTTTCCATACTCAAGAGCTGAACCTGAAATTATTGTGAGAAAATAAAATTGAATGCGTCTAATACAAAATGCAAGTTGTCGCTGATGTGTGTTGGCATTATTTAGATAATTTTTCTAGTTTTCCTATCTTTGCTTGCCATTGTAGAAGAATTCAATTTGTGTGTTTACCTGCCTGCCACAGGTATACAATATGCTTCACTAAGTGACAAATACCTTCAATGGTAGTCTATGGGTGTATGATAATTGGATAGTAATAAGTAAGTGTGCGATGAATGATAATTCTTTCTTACTTTACTCAAATACTACACCAATTAAATAACCATTCCCATAAATTGAATGAAAACAAAATCATTTTCATTATGACACGCTATCAGTCTGATAATTTATTGCATTACATATTTGATCAAACAAATAATCAAATTTGCAATTGTCTCCCTGAGATCTTTTGAATCACCCTACACGAAACACCATCAAGCGAAGTCGTAACGTATTTTTTCATCAAACGGAATATAATTTAGAGTATGAATGTGTAGGGATTGCGTTGAGAAATGTTTGCTTTATAATTTGAGTCTGTAGTGTGGGAATAGACGTTAAAAAGTGTTCAATTCCAGAAGTAATGCGAGTAGAAGCTAAATCTGGATGGTTTTGTATGCTAATGAAATTGTTTAACATTTAATATATTCGACTGTATGATTTCTTGCATACTTTGATATCAAATCAAAAAGTTTTTGTTCTAATTGAACAACATAAAAAAGGAAAGAAAATCAATTTTTTGATTAATAAAAAGAAAAGGAATGAAATATTAATTCATAGGTTCACGTACCCTACACCACTACTCACACATCCCATACGATCGCATGCAACACTCACACTACCATAAATCCATAACGTATTTTCTCTTCTGATACACAAAGCCTTGAGTGGTTATATCCATCGTTTCAAACAGTTTTAAGAGTTCATCGAGAGAACTGGCTGCTGCCAGTGTGTTCCCCTGTTTAATAGTCTTATCTGAATTGTTTCCCCCATTCCTTGTTGCTATCTTATCGTTATCGGTGAAGTTAGACAATCCAGCATTGGTCTTCTAATTCGCGAAAGAAAAAAAAGACTTTCTTGGATTACTAAGCAGTGTTAATTACTGTGGAAGGTGTGTGACAGGAAGGTTGCAGAAAAAAAAATTATAAAGCAAAGCAAAGAAAACTTGCTTTCAAAAAAATATAAAATCAAATTACTCAAGCAAGTGATTCACAATTTGCAACTTGTTTGAAATTGTGCAAGAAAATAATTTTACAAGTGAAGACTTAAGAGGGAGTAAAAGAGAAAATATTGATTAATTAAGTTAAAGTTGAAATTTCAACATCACTAAAGGATGTGGTAAAACAGGATGCAAGAAAGAAGAAGACAAAATCATACAAGTAACGGTTATAAAAACAAAGGATCGAAATACAACCACAAAAAATAAAAGAAGAAGAAGAAGGAAGTTAATTACAGTCTATTAAAGTTCACAGTGTCTCCGTACAACGTCTGAATATTAAAAGTGTGGAAAAGGAAGCCATTGAGGTGCTTCACATAATTCATCTATTGACTCGTTAGTTGACGCGATCTCAGACGAAACATTTCGTGAGAAAAATGACAATTTGGTAAATATTTTTAAAACGAAAGAATTTTTTTTACGTATGCGGACAATAATTTCATTCGATTGCCATAAATCTCAAAAGAAAAACTTGTGGATGTAAGAGTAGAGTTCTTAAAATTATGATATCATTTCGAGTTAAAGAAATCTTTAAAGATGAAGTTCGAAGCAAAACGAGGAATTCCACCATGAGTTTGTGTTGAAAGTCAGCACATTTCATGTTGTTTTTATTTAAAACCGGTTTCTCTTTAAGTTGCTTGTTTCTCTTGCTTAAAGATGAAATGTCTGTACAGTGAGTGAGTGGTAGAGCTGGTTATAAATATTGTTTGAAATTCTTGAAGATCCTTGGAGTTGAAGTTTCTTTTTTGCAACATTTTACTGTCATGAGAACATCGTTGACCTTACAATCGTCTTCGAAGACGCTTGCCTGCAGTAAATTAATCGGGGAGCCAATTATTTCTTGTTCTTTCAGCTCAGCCTATCAATTCTTTGCTAATAAAAATTCCTTTTGCAACTTCATCCATCGAGAAACGTTTGAATTGCTTAAGTGTTTTGAATCATCAATAGCACGCAGTTAACATCACTAATTTTCTTTAGAAATATTTTTGTATTAAGTAAGAAAGAATGAAAACATGTCTGAGTCGACATTGGTTACGGTTTTGAATTTTAAAGTTTATTTTCGTCAATATGATTACATCATGAAACGTCAGACGGTATTTCTAATGACGACATTCGATGCTTAAGCAAATATTCGTGATTTATCGCTAAATCTTCTCCTGATTTCAAAGCGAAATTCTTGAAAGGATCTTTGAAATAATCAAGAAAGATTTAATTTGATACCAACAAAGAAATTTCCTCGACCCTAATCGAATTAAACGTTTCCAACTGAGAACTTTTTAATTAAGAACTTTTTAATTAAGAACTTTTTCTCTTTAGAAATTGTCACTTTGAAAATGAATTGAAAGAAAAAGTTTCACATTGTTGACATGTGTCAAAAAAGCTGCTCTGATTTTACTGAAAAGATGTGTCATAAAAATAAGATCTCATAGTTACAAGATAATAGAAATTTTCTTATGCATTAGACGTGCATTTGTTGATATTTCATATCAGAAATTTTCTTTTCTCTCTTCAAACATGAAAATGTCAAATAAAATAATTTCCATCCGCAATCATTGAGAGCATCACAAATTTGCGCAAATAAATGATGATAAGAGATAAGTGAAGCAATAAAAATCTTTTCTAGATTTTAATGATAATAAAATGAAATTCTCGTTGCTAACCATAAAGACGTAAAATCTCATTTTAATGAGTACTTAATTAAGTGTCATTATTTTTGAAGTCTAAACGATAAATTGGAGAAGTAACGTCAACCAACTCTCGTACAATTCATTTAGATATGAATTATCACGTTGTAAGACATGAATAAATCTGTTGGTTGTGCTTATCAGATCACGAGCTCGTTCAAGGATGTGTTGGGAGAAGAAATAATGAAAGATGAAATAATTTAATTACACTGCATTGAAGCGTTGTTAGCGCCGTCGTGTAAATGGAATCAACAAAGTCTTGTGTAAATTGCAATGAACGTTAATCGCCAAACCTTCGATCTGTTATCATTACAAATAAAAGTTAAAAAGTCAGTTGAAGCAAACACAAATCTTTCACTCATTCTGATTATAATAAATTTATTTCCAACATGATTTCATCCAGTTTTATTATTTGTGATTCGATTTTAAGATGAAGATGGCAACGTGATGTGATTTTATTAAAGATTGGTTCAGAGAACTTTTATTTAAATGCTAATTTATTCGATATGCAATCGATGAATCATTTACATCATGCAAATCGCCAACATCCACATTCTAAATCGTTTTCAATTAACTTTCAATGATTCTCAACTTTTTAAAATAAAAATGTAGACACAAATGTCGGTTCATGAATCACGATAAGTTTCCGGTTGACATTGTTTGCCTTACATGACCTGACATTCAACAAATATTCGTGGACCATGTGAGTCATTGTGCCTTTCAAATCAATGACGCTTTTCTTCTTTCACACAATTCTTTTATCCATCGATGAATAACTGAAAGCTTAAGTCAAGTTAAGAGAGAAAAATGTTTACGATTTTAATTCGAGATTTTTTCTGTCTTCTAAAAATGCCAACATGCACCATGGTTGTAGCATCGAACATTCCATCAAGTTAAACGTTTCATTCCATAAATTCAATCGTCAATCACCATAACGTGATAAAGAAAAATTTTCACATTGAACCGTGTCAATGAATCATTTGTTAACAGCAAATTGCGATTCCGATGATGGAAACTCACACCATAAGAAAAGTTTGTCGACAACTTGCAGATCCAGTTTCTTTGTTGCCCTTTTCTCGATTCCCAACAATGTCCGATTCGACGAAAACGCAGACAAATCTGCAAGATTCGAAAAGTAAGAAAGAGAAATCTAAAAATTCCATTTCAAATACGCCATGGGAGTGATGAATGAATAGAAGAAATTAAATATTTGGAACGAGAATCTCATTTTTATATTCTGTATCTTTGCTTCAGTGAATTCTCAGAAATGAGTCATGGGAATTGGTTTTAATTAGCATGAGATATGATAAACAGACGATTATAAGAATTTATGCTGATTCGAAATCTTAAAATCACTTCATGGAACTTCCAACTCAACTTCTAACTTTTATCAAATCCTTCACATTAAAAGTTGTTCGCCTTGATCATGATAGAATAGAATTAAAGTTTCCAACGTTCTATTGAACATTCCATGCTTTAATAACGTCAACGATGTATGCGAAAATATTTTCATTGAATAATTACTCGCTAGACAGAATTGAATTGAAATGCGAGTTTAAAAATATTTATGTAAATATTAACAACGATTGAAAGGAGTGGGCAAGAAGTCATAGTGTTTATTGCATTCGCTGCTTTGTTTTTTAATTTATATTTTTGCTATTAACTCTCAATGCCTTCATAAAATCTAAACAAGTGAACTCATATGATATGAAAAAAGATTCTTTGTTGTTAAGTCTCGCAAGCCTTGAGGTTTAAAGGAGAAAAAAGTTTATGTACATGTGAATTGAATCTTTTTCATGCTTGATTGGCTTCCAACTAAGTTTGTTTTAACACCCACGCAACATCTTTCTTTCTAAACCTTACCAGAAAACGTGACATTTCTCTTCTGTTTTTAATTTGGAAAGGTTTGATTAGTCAGACTCAGTCCAATAAAGAATTTGCTGTAAGATTCATTGAAGTGAATTGCGAAACATAAACTAAGCTGTTCTTACGTACAGTATTAGTCGTGGTAATGCGGATACAAGAAGAAACTTGCATGTCATGAGACAATAGCGGCACATGGCATGAAAAGTTTAATAGATTTTTTCTTACAATTTACTTCTTTGACGTTCGTTATGTTTCTCGTTCTATTACTCAGCTCAAAACCTTGTTTTGTTCCTCAGAGTTCAACGGCATTAAACATTTTAGGCGGCTCACAGTTGAATCATAAAGGGAAGTGCTGGATGAACGGGACTTAACATTAATTCACTCATGCGGAGAAAAATTCTTATAAAGTTCTGCCAATGAAACAGAACAGAAATAAAAAGTCAAAAAGACATCGACTCAAGGTCAACGGCAATTCTCTTTCTCTGTAACATATTTTTATTCTTTGTGTTTGGCTAATTCGCCATTAGCGTAGTCATTAAGTCATTGATGATGGTTTGTTGGTTTTGGTGAGCGAACACGAGCATTGGGTCGAATGATGACAAACACAAACGAACAACGTCGTTATGGAAATCTGGTTTTGTGTCCGAGTTATTGTGTAGTATTTTTATAATCGACATTCAAAGATCGTTATGGGATCGTTCACCTTTGAATCAAAGCTATGGAAATAAAATAGAAGGAATGTTATGCGTGTTGATCGTTATTTGGTGATTTGATTTCCGAAATTGGTTTTTCGTAACAAGATTTTCTCACATCATTTTCAGTTTTCTTCTACTTTGACTTCCTTCTCACGTCGTTTGTCTTTCTTCGCTCTATCTACCTTTCTTTTAAAGGCTTTGCAAGTTCAGAGTTAAATTTTTATGGAGCTTTCTTTCACATCATTCAATATCAAGTTCAATAAATTCAAACATAAATGGAAAAACATTTTATCGATGAGGTAGCAGCAGCAACAAAGCAAAGTAATCGAATTTTCGGAATCACTCGAGGCATTCAAATTTCTTTGGCAATTAAATTAGTTTGTGAACACCTAAAGCTGTCGTTTTCCATTGTTAGGTTGGGGAAAAGCTTTTAAAAGAATAAAAATAAGCTTAAAGCAAAATTATAACTTCGATCAATATAAAATGCAAATGTAGGAAGCCTTCGGGGAAAATGATAATTGCCAACATCAATTCGTTGAAAAACAAACTTAATTTAATGGAATCTTAATTACGGACACCAGAGTTTGAAGTTTTACTGGGATTTGATCTGAATCTACATAAAAAATCATAATTTTTGTAGTTTTCAAATATTTTTCTTGTGTGTGGGTTTAAGACGGTTTAAGATTTCCTAAATCCAAGATAAGAAAAATTTAAGTCGGATTTAGGTTGCTTAGAAGCCATTTAGGATTTCACGTAAAAATTTTATTCTTTAAGAAGATTGTTGACCACGTTTGACAATAAAGAATCTTCAATTGCAATGACCTCGAGGCAAAAAGAATGATTCAGAATGAAACGGGGAAGAAATGTTTACAGTTGTAAGGTGAGTAATATTTCGATAAAAATAATCATGCGTTGGCGTTGTCAGTAATGCTATCTTGATGCTGTCTTATTTCCATGACGTCAATTATTTGAGTGAGTTTGGAATTAAATACTGACACAAAATTGCTTCCATTTATTCTTGCAAAAATTCTCATTTAATTGAATATCATCAGAGGGCTTTAATCACACCAATTTATATTTTGGACGGTTAAAACGTGCTGGTGAAAGTTGTAAACTTGTTGATATAGCATTAGAGTGATTGATGTCAGCGGTTTTTATAATTTACGCTCAAAATTCATCAAAAATTAGGCAAATTTATGTTCTTGTTCGGTAGCGATCTGATAACTGAATAAATATCCGCTTCCGTTAAGGTTTCAAGCTTTTCACAAGCCCAATAATGATATTCAATGCTGAAAAGTTGAATGACTTTTCATGATAATTCTCACCGAAGCGAGTGAAAGTTTAACATCAAATTTCACAAATTGTTAATATTCTAAAGCCGTTCTCACATTGCCAACATCTGTTGATGTTACTCCAGAAACGAGCGACATTTCCTCTGTTAAAATTCCCATCCCGCAACACTCACGTTTGTATCGAAGTTCAAAGAACGTACGAGATTCAATTAAAAAGCATCGTAGATCATTTCGATAACAAGAGGGTTGTCGCGCTTCTCTGAGATTGTTTTTTATTGCTTCCTTTTCACTCGAGTTGCGTTTGATTTTTCCTCAGATCATTCAAGTTACTAAATCAATCTATAATTTATTTTAAATCATACGGCACGGGAATGACGATGTGATTCAGTCTTTAACTTAAATGGGGCGTATTAAAGCGAGAAACGAACAGACTTCCATACATATAAATAAATTTATGAATCATAAGTTCTCTCATTTATGATTACTTCAACTGTTTGTTGTTATAAGAGTTTGCTTGAAACTCTATGAAATTGAATTTTATTGACTGTTGATTGTAATTAAATAATCGCCTCTCCACCAGATAAATGAAGAAAAAAAGAAGCAGAAAATTTCTCATTGACCCCGAATTTGAGATTATTAATAATTAAACCAATTTAAGATTAAATTCGATTTAGGTTGTTACTTACGATCAACGATGGATCATGATGAAGTGAGATAAATGAATGAATGAATAAGGTTAGACAAGAGGTCAATTAATTGTTAAAATCACCAGAAAAAGAGAGAAATTTCATTTTTCACTTCTAAACTAATCAAAGAAATTACAACTTTTTACACTTAAAATTCAATTTGAGTTTCCGTTTACACTTAAGACATTTATAAGATGCGCATAAATATTTAATTTATGTAACTCACTTTCACATGTTCATCAAACTATCAAACAAATTGCTTAACGCTTTATTGTGCAATGTTTTAACAAATCATTAACACATTGAACGAAGAAGGGAAAAACTCGTGACGACCAGACGCGTATTTCATGCCACATTAGTTTCGTCTTCTCATATGCCAAACAAAATCAATTCACTAAACGATTGATTGACTTTCCGGTTAATTATTTCCGCTACATTTTCTTAAATGTTTCTAAGATCATATTAAAGGTACAAACCAGTATGACATTTAATAAAATGTCAACTCAACATATGTAATGATACCTTTGTCGATCAATTATGACTTTACTTTGTCGGTGAAATGATTTTTAATTAAATTTTTCTCTCTTCCATTTAACTTTCACCATCGACATATTTTTTTGCTATATTGCGTGAATTTTTAATCCAATTTAATCGAAGCATTGAAATCATTAAAACTGCAAGGTTGTAAAGTTTAATGAAACTTTTTTTCAGCATTTTATCATTAATTTTTACAATTATGACGACTTCATTAAGCTTGATATCAGATTGAACTTTTGCCATTGTAAAAAGCAAATCTTCTTGTATTAATTTGTGTGATAACGATGAGTCAAATGCGATAGCGTTTGAATATTGATTTTGATAATTTTCTTCCCTCTTCACTTCTCTGAATTGACGGAAATATCTTTTGAAAGGAAAAGGGAGAAAAGGTGGAACGTTCTGACCCAAGATAAGTCAGCATCACAATAGGAAGTGAATGGAAAATTGCTGAACAACTAAGCAGATGTTTCATCCCCGATAAAATGTTTGACTTATGTTCATGTGTTGAGCATAAACTCATTGGAATATACCTGACATGAATTATGTACATGAACATATCTCAAATACAGCCAAACATTTGCCTTCGTATATTTATACATAATTCATTTGTTTCCTTCATTTCTTTAATGTTTTTTAAAGAACTTCGGGCAGATGTCGCATGCACATTGCTGTGCTGCTGTTGCTTCACAAAACTTTTCTCTTTTCTTCTCGTTTCGATCTCATTTTAAACCTTAATGTTCCTTAGAAAAATAAATAAAGACACAATGCTGTCAGATGGTTCAGTTTTTGGTATGTTTTAAAAAAAATAAAACTCAATGTCATGAATTTCATTTTTAACAGATGAAATTGAATTTTATGTAGACAATTGATTTATTAAAGTCAACTACAAAGTATGAAAATGAATTCCGCAATTGCTTGAAAGCGTTTGTTTAGTGTGGAAATTCAATTAAATAACTTTAAGTAAATGCAAACTTTTATGAACTTCAAAGTTTAATAAAATCAAAGTGTACTTAAGTTCATTTATGATAAAATAAAAATTGATGGAATATACGAGTTGTTAAGCGATAAAAATATTTAATTAGTTTCACTTTCAATAACAATTCATTGTTAGGAAGACTACAAACATTTTACGTTTCCTTATCGCGACAACGTTTCATTGTTTATTTTATGTCACACATTTTGACGACTTCAATAGCTTGGCCATAAATTGTAGCTGCTGAATGTGATTAATTTAAAGCCTTTATTGAGTTCATTCCATTAGATACTTTGCTTAAGCTGATAACATTTATAAACAACTCACGGAATTGTTTTACTCAGAGGAAAAGTTTGATGGAACTTTTTTTAATTTTTCTCAACACTCATGGGAAAGTTTTTTCGTTTCCTCCACACTTTGAATCGTCGTGTGAAAAATTCCGAAATGAAATTCTTTGAAATATCAGTAGCAAGTCGATTGTTCTTGTGCAAAAAAGAAAGAAAAGGTCGAAAAGTGTTCACATGCTTCAGCGTCAAAATAATTTGTTGTTCTTAAATATACGACGAGACTTTAAGTATGATGAAGGGTGCGAAAAATTGTAAATACTTGCTATTTAAGATTCTTTTTAAGTTGGTCCATCTCATTCCTGCATGATGCATGGGAATTTAATTCTTGTCGAAATTATATTCAAAATTGAAAGAAGGAACTGAAACTAATAAATGCCTAAGGGGATGATTGAACGAAGGGGGAAAAGAATTTAAAAAATTCCCTTGCCGTGTTTTCCATTGTAACCTTCAGTCAGCTTAACATCCGAATTTCCTCATGCAACCCAAAACGATTGTCGGATGAATAAAAATTTTATTTTACAATTTTTTATGCTTTCATGAATATTCATGAGAATTTTTTTTATTTTTTGATTTTTACCTTCTGAAGTTTCATTTTTTTATTTTCCTTTGGTAATTTCTTTTTTGGATCAGATGAATTTAAACGAAATGCGAGAAGTTCTCACAAATGTGATTCTAATTGGGTTTGAAAGAAATGATAAGCTGAAGATTGCTGTTGGCAATGGAACGATTTTAGGATGAAGAAATGTTTGTGAGTTTCTTTTTCAAGTTAGGATTAAAGGATGAAGATTTATGAACAGAAACTTCAAAAACGTTGATAAAGATTCAAAGTAGATTAAAAAAAGAAGTTTCTACTTGGAACTAAAGATCATTTTTAGGGAAAAAAAAGTTTCATCAAGTATTTAGAGATTAAAAATTTGCGAAGAGGGAAACAGAAATAATGAGAAAAATTAATCCATGTCATTGTTAAAAGGGCTTTTATGTTTCTGATCTTATCATGTTACGGATATTTGTTTGATTCTTTAACAATCACAAAATAAAAGTCGAAAAACGTTGATGAAAACAACTCCGGAGAACAAAATTTGTCTGTCAGGTGCTTCACCTCTTTCTAAAGTTTGATTCAAACTCATGATGGGAAAACTTTTTTTTTCTCGGAAAACATAAATAAAACCTAAACAGTTCAAATTGCCAAACAAGAAATTTAATGACTGAATTCACGAGTTTTTTCTAACTTAATGAAGCTTTTCTCGGTCTTAGAATGTTCATTGTTGTGATTTAATTTGAAACTTTTGATTCTTGAATGCTTAATTTGAAATAAATGACTCAAACATCTCACAATAACTTTCAAAAGAATTTTTATCTCTCCGTTTTCTCACCTTTCGAAGCTTCAATTTGTAAGGCGATCTTAAACTTAATGGGGAAAGACATTCATTTGCTGCCTTGTTGAAAATATCTTACAAAATAAAGATTCAAGTGGCCATCATTAGATTCATTCCTCGCACAAAAGATGTTGAAATATTTTACTTAGAAACTTCCGGGCCAATGAATTGCGAAATTCATATTTTTTATGTAAAGAAATCTCAATGAAAAATTTTCATAAAAATGGAAAACCGATGAATGGTAAACAAGGAACGGAAGTTTATTGAACCATTTTTAATCAAATTTAATCAATGAAGTGACTCAATATGTTTATCTGAATTCAGCATAAATATTTTTACAATTTTAAATTTAAGAATTGTTAATCGTGTCACGATTTCAAAGCTCTTCATTTGGAAGTTGAAGCTTTGAAGATTCAAATAAAAAAGGCGCTTTGGGTTGCAAACTTTAAACAATTGAATTACATTTCTATTTCCATAAATTTCCTTCAACTTGGACCTCCATTAATTGCCTTTTTTTTTCCTTTCGGACGTAAATATTTTGTTATAAACCTAATTGCTTGCCCTAAAGGTTTCACTTCAATTGGTTGTTTAGATATTTATTTATTTTTCCTTCTCCCCCCTCTTTCGAATGCTTATAAAATGTCTCAATTTCTCAATTGCTTTTCACGAGTTTCTGCTAAAGCGAATAAAAATCAAGACTTTCTTAAATTGCAACAACAAGAATATTTATTTTCCCATCATCAATTGAGTCAACAGAGTTTCTTGGAAAAACGAATCAGAATATTTAATTGAATTCTCAAATAGATATCGCTCGTTTCTTAAAAGAAGTATTTGACGGAATGTGGTTTGAATGCTAATAAAGTTTTGATTTAAGCTTTATTATTAAGAAGATTTAAAGAAATTTTGTACATTTTGCGATTTAAATAATAAAATCATGACAATCAAAAAATAAAATAAGAAACTAGAATTTCCATAAATGATAATTCCGATTTCTATTTTTTGCGTTTTCACGATTTTAACAATCAATCTCGTCGTTCTATTTTGAACAATCGAATGAATATATTGATTGAGAGACGGTAAAAAATATATCAATTCATGGTTTGAGATTTTGGCAAACGAATCTTTCACGATAAGTAATTTTTATTGTCGCCGCAAATCGATTTCGATACCATCACAAAATCATTAATTGAATTTGATTCTTCTTTGCTTTGTTCCAGACTTTTGTGTTTCGAGAAAGAAATATAATTAAAATCTATTTTTGTGAGTTGAAATCTAACAGCAGATTAATACTTAAAGAGAGAAAAAAATACGAAATAAATTAATAAACGGAAAAGCGAGTAATTGCGGATAAAGAAGAAAATAAAGTATTCAATTTACGCTTCTTTAGAAATTGTTAAATATCACAATTTCGATTCAAAGAAACAAAGAAGGAAAGTAAGCCACCTGAAGCAAGAAAAATGGGGAATTCGTCATCATCGCATCAGCCACTTGAACGTGGATTCACAAGAGGAACGTTTGGTGATATCAAGAATGTGGTTGGTATTCGATTACTTAAATTTATACGTCAACATATTTAACTAATAAAACAATGCAACATTCGAGAGCATGAAGAGTATTGTGGTTTCCTCGAAATCTTAAACCATCAGCATGTAATTTAATCTAACAGAAAATCTTTCTTTTACTTTCATTAGAAGTCATCGTCGTTTCGCAGTAGCAAAAGATCCCCAAGGAAAATGGATCGACTTCGTAAATCATTTCGTGATTCCTTTAGAAGACGTAAAGATCGTGTACCGGAAGCATCGAAACCACATCAATGGCAAGCAGATGAGGCCGCTGTGCGGTCAGCGACGTGCGTCTTCTCAGTCAAGTATCTTGGATGCGTTGAAGTGTTTGAGTCGCGGGGTATGCAAGTGTGCGAAGAAGCGATCAAAGTTCTTAGAGTGAGTTTTCCATTTTCTTTTCATAATTATCGATTTCACATTTGTCTAACGTTATTAACATTTTTAGAATTCAAGACGTAGACCAATTCGTGGTCAACTTCATGTGAGCGGTGATGGACTTAGAGTTGTGGATGAAGATACGAAAGGTCTTCTTGTTGATCAAACAATAGAGAAAGTAAGTTTCTGTGCACCTGATCGTAGTCATGAGCGAGGATTTAGTTACATTTGTCGTGATGGAACAACACGACGTTGGATGTGCCATGGATTTCTAGCATCAAAAGATTCTGGCGAGCGATTATCGCATGCTGTTGGTTGTGCCTTTGCTGTGTGCTTGGAGCGAAAGCAAAGGCGTGACAAAGAGTGCACAGTTACAATGACGTTTGACATGAAGAATTCTACATTTACACGCACTGGTTCTTTCCGTCAACAGACAATGACAGAACGTTTGGTTGACCCACCATCTGTTGCTGTGGCGCCACAACCAAAAGCTTACAATCCATTCGCTATTGAGCGACCACATGCAACACCTTCAATGATGGAACGCCAAGGAAGTTTCCGTGGATTCACACAAATCGGTGCTCAGTCGCCTTTCAAGCGACAAATGTCATTGCGAATCAATGATCTTCCATCAAATGCTGAACGTCAAAAAGCTTTTCTCGATACCAACATACCACAACGAATGCCGGTGTCGCCGATTCCAGAAGTATCGCCACAACAAGTCGACACTGTCAGTGAATTGTGTAAAGAATTAAGTCAAGGTTTATCGCTTCTTACGACGAAAGATACTGAAGATTTCCTGAACTTTGAAAAACTTGCAAATGGTATCATTGAAATGTCATCATCTGGTGTTACAACTCATCTTCCATCACCACCGAAAACTGTCACAAGTCCAATCACTTCAATGACACCTTATCGACCTTTGGTGTCAACATCAACCATAAGTTCAACAATTCCAATTGGAACTGCAATGCCGATTCAACAGCAACCAATTCTTGAAGAGACATCATTGGCTCCATCAAGATTCAATTCGTTGGTTGCAGTCACAACAACCACGACAACGAATAGTTCAGTTACGTTTAGTAACATTGCAGATAATTCATCACAGTTGATAACTGAAACATCGCAACCTTCATCACCACAAAAAGTTGTTCCCATTGAAACTGTAACTCCACTTCCGAAAGCTGATCAATGGTTGACAGAGATTGTTAAAAATACTTCACCAGCTCTAAAGAGAGCTCCAGGTTTTAATTCGCAATCACGATCAAAGTCACTTGCTGCAACTGATCCATTTGATACCAGCGTAGCTGAATGGGCGACAGGAAGCAATCGACCTGAAATTCATAGCACAAATCCATTCATTTCACCTCCTAAACCTACAATTCAACAATCTTTTCAAGTCCAATTGTAGGGGTTAGAGAAAAATTCTGAAAATTGTGCCGCACTTTGTGATATGTAAAAATTTGGGAGTTTATTGAACATTTCTTCTTCAAATGTTGAAGAATAATGTAAAATGTTATGTGTGCGGTACATTTCAGAATTGTCTAAAGTTTCTAGACATCTAGAAGCAATATTTTTTAAAAAGGATATTTAGATATGTCAAGTTGGTGTAGCTTAGAATTGAGAGAACGAGGTTGAATGTTTGTGGGTGAAAAGCTTATTGAAATGTTGCCACAAACAGAGAAACTTAAAATTTTGACTTAATAAAGGTCAAAGTGATATCAAATAAAATTCAAATTTGTGAGTAATCAAAGCTCATTGTTGTTAAATTTAAAACCAAGTTATAAGCTTAACATCAACCGCTCAGATCGTAAGAAATCCAATCGCTTGAGAATTTTAAAAGTAAATCAACATTAATGTTGCCATGAAACATTCGATTAAAACAAGCAAAACTAAAACATTGTTGAAACATTGAAGAAAATATTGAAAACATTGAAAGCTTTCTGCACACAACAAAATATTAATTGATGCTTCAATTTCATCTTTATTTCAACTTGTACATAAATAATTTGACTTGATTGTAAATAAATATATTTTCTCATGATTTTAAACCTTAATGTACTTAAACACCCAACATATAACTCGATTAATTTGAAGATTTTGTTTTTATTCAAGTGCAATAAGAATGATGAAAATTTTTAAATAATTTTTTTATGCACACAAATAAAAAGCCTGCCGTTGATATGCATTCCAGCACAGCTACTAATGTTAAAGAATCAATGAAATCTTCATCTCATCTCATCAAAAAAAGATTCATTCTCATAACTCAGTTGGTAGAATTTAAAAGAAATAATATAAAGAATTCATTTTGTGGAACCATAAATCGAAAAGAAAAAATATTCTAATCTATACAATATCTGTTCTCATAGCACATAACAATTTTTATCTAAACTGATGGACACAACAAGAAATACATATCATTGTGTTGCATTTAGAGGGAAAATAGCTGAAATTTTTGACTAAAATAATAGTTTGACTGCTAAATCGAATCTTTAAAATATTTTTATATTTAAAAACGCGGATCAGAGCGACATGAGATTTCGAGGTTCTTTTGGATACAACATAAATACTTGATTTATCAATTAATTAAACATTCCATTGAATTCGAGAAACAATGAAAAGTTTTTAATCGTGCGAAATGATGAGCTTTTGCTTAATGGTATTCTGTAAATTTTTTGCCTTGTTTATACTGTAAAATATAACGCTGTATTATTAAATTACTTAACAATCTTATAAAAATTGAAGAGAAATAAATAAATGACTTTTAAAGTCACGCCTCACGAACACTTAAAATATTTCTTTTAAAATTAATGACTCTGTGTCATCGACACATGATCAAATACGATGAAAAATATTAAAACAAAACATACAGTAAAATGTTAAGCATAAAAGTTTATGTTGATGAAATAAAAAAGAAAAAAAAAACACAAAAGAAAATTGAATTTTTTATGACTTTCAGATATGATCAACTTGATTGCCTGGAATTCATTCAGTAAAACAAACAAAACTATTAATAAAAATCATTTTATTTGTTAATTATTTTAAAAAGCTTTAAAGACAACAAATACATTTTATTAAAATATATTTTTAATAATCTGGTGAGAACTCAGACAACAATCAATAAAATATTTCTTTTATCTCTAAAATGAAATTTTCTTTAAAAAAAAATCGCAACAAAGAAAAGCTCGTTGTCGAAGCTTTCCGTTTAAAAGCTTCTGATATTATATACATAAAACAAAAATCAAAACAAAAGAAACAAAGCTAATAAATTATTTTTAAACAATTTGTTTTTAATTTTTTTAGAATCTAAAGGCAGCTTATAGAAGCGTATCGATGGCATGAATAACTCCATTTGTTGATGGAATGTTTGATGTAGTAATCGTGCTTTCGTTTACTTTTACTTTTCCTAAAAGGAGAAATGAAATCAAATTTTAATTTTTCTGATCAAAATCAATTTAATTTCGTTCACTTACCTCCATTCTTTTGTACTGTGACTGCTTTGTCATCTGCTAATGTATCTTTGACCTGAAAGAAATAAAAAACGTCATGAGAAAATTACATAAATTATTAAGTAATGAAATTAACATTTACCTGATAGAATCTCATGCCAGAGGTGAAAAGTGTTGAAGGAAGAACGTGTCGTTGAACAAGCTGCTGAGCAGAATCTTTGTCACTTAAAAGTACGTTGAGTTCTTCTTGTGATAGATGTGAAAATGCGAGATCCGTTGGTGCAAAAACTGTATACGTTTTAATACCTAAAAAGAGAAGAATTTAAATTGAAAGTTTTAAATTTTCAGTTCATTTATCATGATAAATATTTTCACCTTTGTTTTGTAAAGTATCAGCCATTTTCGATGCAAAAACAGCTCGCAGGAAGTTTGTGAATCTTCTTTCTCTATCGGATTGCAATGTTTGTAAAATATCTCCAACTGGTAATGGGAACATAACACGATCAACAGCATGTGCAATGCCTTGTGGAATGACAATGTCATTGTTATCAGCGGCAATTGTTGCGCCATTTATTGTTGTTATTTTCACATCATTCCATTCCGCATCTTGCATCTGATATTGATTAACACGCAATTGAGTCCCAGCCAATGATACTCCAGTCATTTCATCTTGTAATTCTTCAATCTTAAATGAACCAGGAATGACATGATGAAGCAAAAGTCCACTCAAAAGTCTTGGATTATTCTTGAACTTTTCTTCAGCTTTTTCGGGACCACCGAGTTGAACCAAAAGACTCTTAAAAGCTTTGTCAGATGGAGCGAAGACTGTGTAAGGTCCAGTCTCATTGAGAATTCCATCCAAGCCTGATTGCGTCAGATATTTCGCCATTGCAAACAAACCAGCATTTCTCAAAATATTTGAAAGCTCAGGAGCTTCTGTTGTTGATCTAACAGTTGGATAAGTTGAAGGAGGTGTCGTCGAGAATGTTGGCGAATAAGATGGCGAAGAGAACAATGATGAAGCGAATGATGGTGAAGCTGTTGCTGCACTTGCAATTTGTCCACGAGTTGATGAGAATTTCTTATGATCAACATTATGAATAAAATTATTTGGGCTTGCAGTTGAGAAATTCGGAGATTCTGTTGTTGGTGACAATCTCTGAACTCGTGGTGTGACTGAGAAAACGCTTCTTTCTGGTGTTGCGAATGTTGGAAGTGTTGAGTAAGGTGATCGACCATTGTCATCTGAAGTTGTTGGTGGTGTCGCTGAGAATGAATATTGGAAGATTGGCGAGCTTTTCGAGCTTTGATGATGACTTGTTGTGACAGTTTGTGGAGCTGCAGTTGAAGATCTCACCAAAGAATTGAAGTTTGATGACGCACGATGATTTTTAGGAATTGTTGTTGATGATGAAGATAATGGAACAACTGTGAGTCGACTTGATTGTTGACTGGTTCTGTATGAAGTTCGTTGTTGAGTGACAGTTGTTGATGGTGGTGGCGTTGGAATTTCAATTGGGCTGTCTTTAGGTTTAGCTGCTGGTGGCAATTGAATTTCACCGGTTTTGATACGCTTCAAAATGCTGTCAACTTCAGCACCAGATCGCTTAGCTTCTTTGTCACTGTTGGATTTAACACCTTGAACCTTGTAAGATCCGTCGTCGAGTTCTTCGAGATAAACGAATGTCACCTTCTTCTGTTGCGGAACTTTCTGAACTTTTTGCAAGCCACTTTCCGATTGTTTAATCACTTCAAAGTCAGCGCCAGGTGGAAGAATTCCACTCTTTGCTAAATCTTCAATGGAGAGTGGTGGCGGTGTTGTTGTCGAAAGTGTTTGTTCAATGATATTTGCATTTCCATTTCCAGCTTTTGCTTTGCGAATCAATTCAGGATCAGATGTTCGAATGACTTGAACTCGTTCACCGTTTGGCAAGACAATGTCTTGGGTTGTGAAATTCTTATCTCCGAAATCTTGATTGTCCGACAGCGCAAGTTTTTGAAGTTGTTGAAGAAGCTCTTCACGACCGATAGGCGATGATTTCGCGGTTTTTGATTTTTGACTTTTGGGAGTGTCTTGCTTCAATTGATTGAACAAAGTTTGACGATTTCCCTGTAATAACAGTTGAATGTCTTCACCATTCAACGTCTTGACTTCACTTTTACTCTTTGTCTTCTTAAGTGGAACGACGGTCAAAAGGGGACTTGTGGTTGTGACTGGTGCTGGGGGCGTTGTGGTCGTCGTTGTTGTCGTTGGATGATGTCTGTAATATTCCTGAACTGATTTCTGGAATGCTGTCAAATCTGTTGGCTGAACTCCTTGATGTCGGTGATAATTTTGGTTTTGAATCAATTGCGATTGTTGTGGACGTAATCTTTCTTGAACTTGTTGTTGATGTTGCTGTTGTTGCCTTAAGAATTCTTCATGTTCCTTCTGTGCTTGCTGTTGTTGCTTTTGATAGAATTTCTGTGCATATTTCTCTTGTTTTTCAATTAACTTCTGTCGCAATTGTTGTTCACGTTGACGTTGTTCTTCTGTTCTCGTATCTTGGAAGACATTCGCTCTTGAATCCAATGGCAATGGTTGAGATGGTTGCAAGAAAGGAATATTTTGTGGCTGTTGTTGGAAGTTTGTAGTTGGAGCATTGAATTGTGGAGCTTGATTAAGTCTTGACGGCTCCTGCTTGAAGTTATTTTGTGGAACGAAAGGACCTTGATTCGGGAATTGAATTTGACCATTTGGCAAGAAATTCTGTTGTTGACGCACTGGAAGCTGTTGAGTTAAAGGTGCAGCTACTGGTCGATTGATGTTGTTGAAGATTTCTTGTTGTGCAAATGGATTGTTTGATGTTTGTTGTTGGAATTGATTAAAAGGTTGGATGTTTGCACCTTGCCCGCCTACTTGGTTGTGAACTGATCGTTGGAACTGTGCTTGTCTAGGGTTCTGTAAGGGTAATGCGACTGGAGGCTGTCGGAAAAGGAAAATAAGTTTTCTGTAAAGTAAATAAAATTTTAATGCTTTTACTTGTCTGCCTTGTTGAGGTCGGAAAGCGGGAGGTGGCTGATTAGGTTGGAACCTCGCATTGTTAATTACCGACGTCTGCGGTGGAAATGCAAACGACTGAGATGGTTGTTGAACGAAAGTTTGCTGTGGTCTCCCATTGAATTGATTTCGGAATTGCGGTTGGCCTTGATGAACGTTAAATCGATGTTGATGTTGCTGGATGTCGGTCAAAATATTAGTTTGTTGCTGTTGCGTTAACTGACGACGTTGGATTGCAGACTAAATAAGAAAAAGAATAAATTCATTAAAAACTGTTTCAATATATGGAGATTGTTGTATTTATCACAATAAGAAAGATATTGAAGTAATTTCATGGCTCATGAAGCGTTTTAAAAGTTCAAACAGCAATTAATTCCATAAAAGAAATCACAAATATTCAAAGTATCTACGCAAAGTCATAAGTCTTGCATTTCAAAAGTAAAAAGAAAAATTAAAGATGTGCGAACATTTAGTTTGAGTATGTTAATCGTTTTCATCTCTGTCTGAACATTCCAAATAAGTCTCTTCATGGATTCACAATCAAAGATATAAATATAATCTCAAAAGCTTCGATGACGACAAGAAATTATTAGTTGGAAAGTGAAATTCAAATCGAAAGTGAAAAAAAAACAGAATTTAATAACAACATTGTTGGATCTTCGATGATTTAAATCTACGAAGTTTCGAAGTCAAATTTCACACATTAAACTTCTTCTTTCTTCTTTTTTTGTTTGGATATTCCACGAGCAGGTAGATGACCGAATCTTACGCAACTTTGAGGAGTGTTTCGTGTGCTATTATAGTCTCATTATAATCTATCTACCGAAATTGGATTAAAAAGTTCCGCTTAAAGCTTTATGTGCAGCAAAAAACAGATTAATATTTTCTTATTTATAGCGGATGTAATCTTTGAAACATTTTTGGGAAACTGTTTCGTAATTTGTGTTGTTAGATAATATTTTGCACATGTTTAAGATAAATTTGGAATAAACTCTTTAACGCTTACAAGATCATCAAATTGTATTGGCGTGAAGCTTGTTAAAATTTAATTTTAAAACATAATTTCACAGAGTTTCTGATTAATAAGCTAAGTATGGAAAGAAATATGATCCGACATGATTGGAATGATTTTCATTCGTTTTGCATTACATTGCATGTGGAGGGCTTTTCCTTTTACAGTGGAACTTCGATAAACAAATGCCTCAAGGGGGATCAGTTTATCAAGGTTTATCTGTTTATCGAAGTTCCACTGTATGATCCAACATCAAACATAAAATCAATCACTGTGGGAATTATGTTATTATTTTCACTTCTATGCAGCGATTTAAAGCTATTCAATGTTCAAAGAAATTGAGAATATTTATCATAAAAGATAAATGTGATCTATGCTGTTGAGACTTCCCTTTAACAACAGTTTTAAACCTAAATTACAAGATATTTCTCTCTTCAATCAAAAGGGAAAGCAATGCTGAGATGAAAGAACAACAGATTGTAAATAGCGATTATCTCGTTATTCAATCAAAGGAAGGCAAAGGCAGTCTATTAGTTCACTTGTTGTCTCTTTATAATGCTCAACAATTACTACTGAGTAAGACATTTGATTTCTTAGTGAATGAAACATCAATTTCTTTCCAATTTGCAATGCTACAAGCAATTCGAAGTAAAAGCTGATGAAACAATAAATTGAACTACTTTTGGATATCTTCATATGTTGTTATTGTCATCGCGTGTGCTTTGGATCATTCATTCTACTTATTTAGTTGAATTGACGTCAACGATTTAACAATTTCGTTTTACTTGTTTCTATTTATTTATTTACACATCTTAAAGAAACTGTGAGAAATTTTGAAAGACTCTAAGGTTGAGTTGGTTTTGTCAATTCACTGTTGACGCGAGAGATGATATCGTAAAGGAAAACGACATCAATGATGTGACTTTCTTCAAAAGGTGATTGTTGTCGAAGCCAATAAATCAGATTGCGGTTTGTTATATCATCCACTGGATTGACTCAATCACACAGTCTTGCGCAAAAATATCAGAAAATAAAAGTTAAAAGCTGCATCAATAGCTAACTTCGTTGTTATATCAAATAATTATCTTGAAATTTCGTTGCGCAACTTGATCGTGAATATTGAATAGAGAAGAACTGAAAGATTATAAAAGTTTTCTTTTAGCTTTGATCTAACTACAACTGCAAGCCTCGATAATAAATTTCTTTTTATGGAACGAATGAAACGCTTTGTTTAAGTCTTTTGTTCAATTAATTACAGCTTTATGAGTGACTACGATACATCAAATGACTACATTGCGAGTGTTTTGTTATCTAAATAATTTTCTAGAAATTGATAGACGTTGGAAATTAATTGACTGAGAAAAAGTATTTAAAATTATCATCAGAAAATGAAGCATAAGATGATGAGTAAAGTTATGCATAAGCAGAAATAAACAAAAGAAAAATTCCGAAAGCATCATAAAAACTGCATAAATAAATCTTTTTTTTATTTTGAGTAAGAGAAACAATTCGAACTGAAGCGCAATTAAAGCAATTGTAGATTCAGAAAGCTCAATCTTGTTGTGCAACGTACATGAGAGTGTGGATTGAATCATAAGTAAAAAAACAAATAAATTAACTTCCTTATTTGTTATTTTTTCATGAAGTGAGTGAAATGTGAGTTTCATAAACTTTTGACTTCGACGAAAAACGAATCTGATTTGCAATAATTATGCTACTTATGCTGATGCACGTTTGCGCATAAATATATTTATAAATAATTGAAAACATGTTGAAACGAATTGCTACGGGCGAGGAAAACTCACAATTTATGTCCGTTTCAACGATCAACGATCGGCAATTCAAGTGCAATGTGAAGGTTAAAGTCAACAACAAATTCTCTAACATTCCGCAAAGTAATCAGGAAGAGATTGTTGTTGATTAAGTGGCAGTTATTTTTGTTTCTTTTTATTTTTCATGAAGTTCATGGTAGATGAAACCAGTCAGTGAAGAGACATGAACGAAACATGACTTTTTTTTATTTTACCTTTCACTTTTAACATGAAAGAAAAATTCTTTTTAATGATTGTGAACTTTAATGGAAATTATTTATAGCTTTTCTTCTATCATAAGCTGTGAAATTTATTATTCAAAGATACTGTGGACAATCATGTTATTGATTTAACCATTGATGAATGGACATAAAACAAGATAAACTCGATTCTCGTTCTTTCTCTTCAAAGACGATGTTTGAGTAATTGCTTCGTTCCAACGCACCATTCCATGATTTTTCTCCCTCAAGCACATAGATATGTGATTTATGCTAATTAACATCAACATGCAGTGTAGAGAAAAGTGATATAATCAATTAAAATGCTAATAGTTTTCCTAACATTCTACGAATTCTTCATTTCAAGTCGCATTATTCGAGCAAGTTTTTCCCTGCTGGGTATGAAGTTTTATTGGAGTTGCTGATTGCTAATAAAAGCATAAAAATGTTAAGTGAATAGAGAAAAGAAAATAAAAGAAGCATAAAATTTATTAAGTTGTGTTTAATAGACTTGTTTTTACAAATAAGTCGGCAATCTAACTAGTACCGTAGGCGTAAGAAAAACGATTTTGTGTGACTCTGTGGTTCGTAATTGAAGCTTGGAATTGTTGAAACATAATTAAGAAGACAAATCACAATATTATTTCTGATAAATTACTCTACTTTTTCTTCTCATCTCGTTTTTCTTTCATCGACAAATGACAAGGTAGAAGCAAATTAAATCAGCAGCAGCTTTGAGCTTTTTTATCTTTCTTTGATAATTATGTGTGAAAAATTCCTTGCTCACGCCTTTGGATAATTTCTTTCCAACCTTTTTAACGATAACAAGCATTTGGAGCCGGTCTTAAGGTTTGTTAAACATGATTATCGATCAATCATTATACTTGTCTATTAATTAAGCCGCTTATCAGATTAAATCAGTTTTTAAAGCTTGAATGACTTGAGGAATTTTATTTTTAATTCATTTTACTCTCATGATTATTGAATTTAATTCAATTAGTACTTATGAATGTAACATTTAATTGATTTAACTAAAAGTTTTTTAATGTTTTTAAGCAAAAACTTTTGACTTCAAAGGTCAACAGCTTTGAGTAGCTTTTTGACCAATTCAAGAAATTTTGATTTTGAAAAATTTAAGCAACTTTTTAGCTTTATGAATTGGTAATGTGAACTTTCGACTCAAACTTCATTATAATTTCTGATGAAATTTCGAAGCTCAAGATGAATGAAAATATGAAATTTATGGTTGAAATGTGTTGCATGAAAATCTTTCGCAACACCTCAAGTAATCTCTCGACCGTTTAAGACAAGACGATGATTCGTGACTTAATAGATCATAAGCAGACAGACAGGTAACGTGCCTAATCTGAAACCATATTAAGTCGTTAAATTTACCGCAAATGAAAATAATCATGTCGAGTTATGGTTTCGACTAAGCAGCCGTTTCGTTGTTCTCTTGTTGTCTCATATGGGCTAATGTCTTATGTTTCACCGGATATCAAATCATCGACGGTGATTTATGACACCAATTTATTCTGTCACATTTGATTCGAGACTGATAAGTTCTCTTAATTTGGAAACATGAATTGCTACTTTCTTTTGAAAGGAATTTCTGCTTAAAATCGAAACTTTTTTAAACATTAATAAAATGTAAAATTTATGAAGCTGCGTAAACAGGAAAATTTCTCGTTTCAATATTAAATGCCATCATCCGAAGTGAATGTTTTAACTGAAACAATGTAAAAAAATTGTTTTGAGCAAAATTAAAGATGCGATAATCTCAAGTTTAATCCTCATGTTGACAATCTACATAATTCGATGAACATAAACTGCTGAATCAAGCTTAAGAAATTAATGTTAATTACTTCATACATTTTGGGGATTTTAATCTCGACTCGGACAATAAAGGAGAAAAGTTAACGATTGCGGAAATGTCTGTAAGTTGAATCATCGTGATGTTAACGATTTTGGGAATGAACACAAAGTTTTGCAGTAAAATTGGTCATCGAGCCTGTCACCCAAGCCCATCCCTGCTTGTGCAGATTCTTTAAAAGATTATTGAACAATTAAACAATTTTATTTTTATTAAAAATTAAAAAGCGAATGTAAACTTATCTCCCTTGAAGGATTAAAAGAAATTCGTAATAACTTCCGTGTTACTTTCATTACTTTAAATGAAAACAACACTCGTGGGGAGATAAAAAACCTGATTTAAAACGAACAGGAATTGCGTTTCGAAATGCACTTTGCACAGTTTTATAAGCAATTGAATACAAATTCTTACGTAAATTAATTTCAATCATATGAAACATTGTCGATTGAAGAAATTCCGGCAGAAAAAAGTTTCAATCTTTTCACTTTCATTAATACGGAAAGAGAGGAAGTTGCTGATACAGTGGCACATTTATAATCATTGAAAGGGAAAATGACTGTGGTGATTTAGATATTCGCATCAATGCTGATGTAGAGCGTTTGAACGGCAACAGTAATAATGGGAACCGCAACAGATATCCAAACAACAATAATTACAGTACTAACAATAATTACAATCCAAATATTTTCGGCAACGCCGCTCCGGGAACTTTCAGTGCTAGAGGCTATGCCCGTCAGTACAATTACTAATCTGTGTGTGGGAAAAGTGTTGCTTCCACATTGTATTATGTTGATTTGATTTATCTGAATAAAGACATAATTTGTCTTGACGTCGTTTTGATCTGTAAGCGATAAAATTTTCTCAACACTACCGTGGCGAATTTTTTTCTTCTTTCTAGAAAAATGTGAATGTAAAGTTTTGTTTTGCGTGAAAATTAACCATCATGTCTAATTTAAAACAGCATTTCATGTTTAATTCTTAATTAGATTTTCCAGATTTTAAATTCAATGACATTTGCGGATTTATGGCTCATTAGTCTAACACATTTGATCTTAATTTATTTTCTTTACTTCATGGTTTTTCAATTATTTTTTACTTTTGCAAAGTATTTTGCAACGTCGTGTTAATCATTTATCTAATCAATGTTGAGTGTTGTCGAAAATGTAAAATAAAAGTTATTTACATCGAATATCATATTAGAGAAAGTGTCAAAAATTCCACAAGCTCGAAGCTACCTCAAGCATGTTGAGATGAGTCACTTGATTAAAGTTTCATGTTTACATTTCTAATCTGTCGACGAATTTCTTCTACTAATGTCTTCCAAATACGTTTCAACGCAATTTTAATATGTTTTGAATTATCATTGACTCTTTTTATCATTCGAATCATAAATCATAGAAGTGTAAGGAAAAAGAAAGATAAAAAAAGTTTCAAGGCGATCAATAAATCAGACATTGAAATGTCTTAAAATATTTTACTACACTCTTTGTGGGAAATCTTCCCGCTGTTTTAGTCGCAGACGAGACTTGTTCCATCTAACATCTACAAGCGACCATTCAAATGCAGTCATAATGGAATGTGGAAAGTCATAGTGTGTGTTGTGCCTCTTTCTAATTAAGGCACGAAGGCCGTCAAACCCATTCATGACTCAGTTAATCACTTACTGAATTAAAACTTTGTTTTTTCTTTCTTTTCTTTCTATTTTTTGCGCAAATATGTGGAGGTTGTATGAATGTCTAAATGGCAACAAGATTTAAGAGATGCTTTGATTTCAAACAATTTAACAACAGCGATGACCAGTTATTGCATGAATAAGAGCTTAACTTTTTTTAGTTGTCAAAACAACGCTCGAAAATTGCGATTAATTAATCCTTTTAAAGCTTATAAACCTTTAAAGTCATCCTATTACTTTGCCTGATTGTAAGATTTGCGTTAAATATTGCTTTGAGTAAAATACAAAGTGATCTTGTTCAAACGCTTTTGTAAAGTCATGAAATTTATTACCAGCTGTCGATTGCTTAATGGACATTTTAGCGACGTTTTTCTTCTTCTGTGGGTGTCTAATTCAACTCTTTTCGTAACAGTGCGTTATGCTTGTGTTAAAGAGAAAGTTCTGATATCATCTAACGAACTCCATCAATTATCTTGTTACAAAGTTGAATGAAAAGCTTTTGAACGACAAAGAAATGTGTGACGAGTGTCTGCTTTAGGTAGGAAGTTCTTTCAACTAAATTTGATGATTAATGAAAAACATTTTTTTTTTTCATTTAGCGACGACGATTATGTAACATCACGTAACATGGCCATGCTCACGCATTCATGCCGAATATCATAATTAACGATATTGAAAATTGTTTTTACCGCTCTCGATAAATATTACAAGTCATCAGAGATTAATTTTGAAATTGTTTTTTTTTCTTCCTTCAAACATCAAAGCGAGAGAGAATTGTGCAAAAGACTTTCAATTTTTTAATCAAAATTTTCCTTTCATTCATGTCTTTAACATTGAAGTTTCAGAATCAAATTTGTTTTGAAAAGAGATGAAGAAGAAAAAGTAAACTAAACGCAAATTTAAAATTAATGATTCTTGGTATAGAAATGAATTGCCGACATCATTGCAAGCTTCTTAAAAGCCTTCTCAACATTCATATAATGACCGCAACAACAAAGACATGAAAGAGAAAAACTTTCGCTTCTTGATCGTCTCGCGACAATGCGATGAAGAAGAAGGAAAGATATTTTCTCATTACTCTTAATGTGTTTCAAACATTTTAGACGGGGAAGTTTAATCTCACGCACCTTTAAGTTTTGTTTGTTTAAGACGAAGCGCGACGATGCGTCACAAGAGAGAAGAAGAGACATGACCAAGGCATGCCAACAGTTAAACGCTCGTGTTTTCAGTTCAATTTAGATATTTACTGCTTTTGTTTTATGAGTCGTTTTATTTTGTGGTTTGTGGAAAGCATCTTCATCGCTAAATTGGTTAAAACATAAAAGCGAGAAATGGTGTTGTAATTATTATCCAATACCTCGATTATATAAAGCCAATTTCTGTAATTTCCTATCGATCGTCATTACATTTCTCTTCTCTTTTAATAGTCTTGAAACATCTTGAAAGAATTTATAAGGAAATCAAAATGTGCATCTCGCGAGCGATTTCACTTTGCACGATGACAAACTGCTTGGGAATGTCCAAAATATTTTCATCAAGGAGCATTCGACAAGCGGATGACACAAATTTCCTGAATAATCTTCAAGATATTTAACATGTTTCTGACTCAAACTGAAGGGGAATTTACTGGTTAACTAATGAAGGCGTCGAAATTGTCACTCTAAGTAAATAATTGACTTCGTACTTTATCAACATAGACAGTTTAGCTCTCAATCTCACATTCGACATGTGCTCAAGCGGAACTGATCAACGTTTAATGTAAATTGAAAATTTTTTGAATGTGCGAAATGAAAATCGCAATTCGTGATGAAGAAAAAATTGGTTTTCATGGCGAATTAAAATCAAATCAGTGACAGACAACGATCGTGTAAATGAAAGAAAGTAAAGAAAAATGTTTCGAGTTTTTATTCCTACGGCTTTAAAACTATTTCAAGGCAATAAAAACTGTTAATGAGCATCAAGATTTGGTGTTTTTGGTCACAAATTGCAATTTAATAAGATGAAACAAAAGAAGGAAGAGATCAAGTTTAGTCATCGCTTCCAAGTGTTCACCTTAAGACTGACATCAATTCATGTTAATTTTATATTTTTTATTAGTCTATTTAATGACATGCGACGCGGAATTTGTGAGATTAAAATAAAACAAAATTTCTTTCTAATTTCAAAGCGACTCGTTTGAAGATGCGACTTTGGCAGCTGTTGTTGTGATGGTTCAATGTCAACATCAAGGTTGTCGCTTTCATCGTCAAATACTTTCATCTCCGACAAAATTTCAGATCGTAAAGACAAAAATATCAAAATGGGAAATAAAATGTAATTTATTTAACTTTATTTATGAAGCTTTAATGAAGGAACTTCATAAATTATTCAAAACGTAAACATCAGCAAAGCATAAAAGACGAAAGTGAGTTTCAACATAGCAGATGGCGATGAACTTTTCTTTATCAATTTTTTACGGTTGAATGAAAATATTGACGAAGCATCAACAGTTCCGACTTTTTATATCTCCAAGGTTCCACGACCAAATACACAAAAATCAAAAAAAGAAGAAACAAAAGATGTAGAAAGTTGAAAATAAATTTTAATTTCATAAACTCTTCTCATGTTTTTTCCGTGTTTGAATCAATGAAGAAAAATTTTTCATCTCCGTCAGCGAGAAACAAGTGAACATCTCCAATAATTTGCGAACATGACCAAATAATTAATTATGAGTCTTTTTGAATTGATTTGTTGATGATTCAGTTGAGATTGTTGTTGCTACTCGCTATTTACGACACGATTTTCAGTAGGTGGAGAACATTTTTGTTCACGTTCTTTTAGAAATCGAATCGCTTTCTTCTCTTTTCTTCGAATGAGAGTAGAAACATTTTTTGTTTCCTCATTGAACTTCACGAAAAGTATATAAAAAAAATAAAACAAATTAATAATTCTGCACCACGAAAAATGTGCTTTTAATGTTTTTCAATCGCTCAATACACAACAATGATCTGCATTCTGGTTAAACTGTTTTCGTAAAAATGAAGAATGGAGAAATGAAAACATAAAATTATTGATTGAAAATGTATGAAAACATTCAAACAAAAGATTTCAATGCGTGGCAAATCGGAAATAAGTACAATTTGTAATTTCTGCGATTTCGCTCACAATAATTCGCGTGAAGAAAGATTTTTCGTTTCCATTGTTGAATCTTTAACATCACCAGCTTTGTTTTGACATCAATCAATTTCAAATTTAAACTATTTCAAATAAAGTATCTTTTTCCGGTTCGATACTGCTGCGATGGAATTGAAAATGTGATTACTGGACAATGGAATGAATCGAGGAAAATTTTTCTTCGCTTGACATTGGAATGTGCTTGTCAGGTCTGCTCTTTCACTTACTCAATCGCTCTTCATGTCTGTCTTGATAAATAAATTGTAGCGTGTCTATTATTTATACAGGTCACTTAAAAGTTTTCACTTTCATAAAACTGTCTGCTTTAACAGTTCCTTTTATTTATTTAATCTTTATGGAGAGAAAAATTTATCGTTGCATAAGGAAGAATTGTTTAAAAGTTTGCTTTTAAAAGTTCAAATTTTATAAATTTCTTTCTCAAAAATTAAATAAAATGTAAAATTGTAAGTAAGACTAAGCTCAACGTTGATTTAAATCAATGTTCAAAAGATTCATCCATAACGCGAGTGTTCTGATGAACGGACTGTTGAAATAAGAGTGACGTTCATGTACCATCTGTCATTCATCAAACCATCATAATAAAAAAGTTTCATTCGATAATCTCCCCTTGGAAATATTTCTGGCATGACTCTTACTGGGACTATTGCATTCTTAAAATCGACTAACTTAACAGGACATCCTACATACATGTTGCTTGATGCAAATCGTAATACTTCGAAAAGAAGTTTGAATGCTGGATTGGAGTAGCTTTCCATGCTGCACCACTCAACTTTGGGAGATCGAAAAACTTCTCGGTACATGACACTGTAGCGATATTCCAATGTGAACGAATGCTTTTGAAAAGTTCAAATTTTATGAATTTTTGATCAAAAAATAAATTTTGAATCTGAGTCAAAACTTACGAATGCCTTCATGATTGGTTTGATAAACTTCACGTACAAATTTAACGCGTATGTTGTTCTATTAACAGGCTTTACAAAACACGAATTATTTGGATAAACGTAATTTTCAGCATAATCACATTGAATGTCTTTAAATACGAATATTTGATACGGTTTCCCATCGTGTTCATTTGGTGAACAAAGGTGTAAAAATAGCAAAATTAAGAAAAAGGAAATTAAATTTTCCATTTTGATAAGTCAGGATTTCTATTGAAAATATTTTAAAAATGAGCCGCACTCGATGATTTATAGAAATTTTATGTAGTAAGTTAAGTTATCTATTCTATATCGAAAGTAATTACAAATTATCCAAATTACTTTTGTCATTATGTGAAAATGACCTAACTTGAAAGAGTTAATTACTTTTTTAAAACTTCATTTCAGTCATAATTCGTAAATTGCCAAGGAATGTTTATTAAATGTACTTAGAATTTATTTTTGTTGGGTGGAAATTTCAATCTTAATTTCTTACTTGCACAGCTTTGAAATAAATTCAAAAGAATATTTAATAATCCTTACTCAAAAGATTCATCCAAAACGCGAGTGATCTGATGAACGGAGTGCTGAAATAATGGTGACGTTCATAGTCCAATTGTCAGAACCATCAAAATGAAAAACTTTCATTCGATAATCTCCTCTTGGAAATATTTCCGGCATGTAATTTAGTGGAATTATTGCATTCTTATATTCGATTATTTGAATAGGACATTCTACAAACATGCTGCTTGATGCATATCGTAATACTTCGAAAAGACTTTTTATTGCCGGATTAGAGTTGTTTTTGATGCTGCAGTACTCAAACTTGGGAGATCGAAAAACTTCTCGGTACATGACACTGTAGCGATATTCCAATGTGAATAGTTGCTTTTGAAAGTGCAAAATTTTTAAGTTTTTTAATCAAGAAATAAATAGAAATTGAAACAAAACTTACGAATGCCTTCATGATTGGTTTGATAAACTTCACGTACATATTTAACGTGTAAGTTGTTCTATTAACAGGCTTTACAAAACACGAATTATTTGGATAAACGTAATTTTCAGGAAAATCACATTGAAATTTTTTAAGTTCGAATATTTGATATGGTTTCCCATCGTATTCATTCGATGAACAAAGATGCAAAAGTAACAAAATTGAGAAAAAGGAAACAAAATTTTCCATTTTGATAAGTCAGGACTTATAATAAAAATATTTAAAAACGAACCGCACTCGATGATTTATAGAAATTTAAAAAAAAAAAAAAAA